ATATCAATTAAAATTTTTATGTAAATTGTTATCAATTTACAAATTTAATATTTAGCTTTAATTTATTCCATAAAAATACTAGCAATTATTTTTGAACTATTATAAATTTTAATGTAAATATTTGTATAATTCAATTCAACTTGAAATTTTTTTATTTATCCTTTGAATTTAAATTTGATTTTCCCCCTAAATTTGAAATAAATGGCTAAGCAATGATATTAGTTACGATTTACTTTTTACACTTTCTCACATGATTACAATTGATTACACAAAAAGATTGTTATAGCAATTGTTGCATAGCATAAATAGCAAATAATTTTAATAAAATTATAGGGAAAATTCAGCTATTAAAATATAGTAACTTAGATAATTTGACCAATATATAGCTTATTGATGCACAAAGTTAATTCTGATCAAAAATGAAACCGATCACACAAAATTTTTTTTCCATTTTAAAGAAAAGTTAATTATTTAATCAAGTACAAATCTCATGATATATTAAATAATCTTTGAATTTTCTAAGTGCAATTATTATTATATCTAACTTAAATTTTAAAGTCTTAATTTTATTTGTTTTAAAAGAAATTTATAACATGTACTTATTAATTATCATTTTATTAGATTTTTTCAACTAATTTATATTTATTTGATTTCTATTAATATTAGAGAATGCATGATTATATTCAAAAGTTATTATTAATATTAAATATATTATTATGATGGTAATTTTATAATCGATTTATTAATTAAAAAGATATTTTTCACATATATAAAAACTTTTCTTTAATCAGAAAATATGATATAAAATTAATCTCAACTTTTTTAATTTTAATAACACTATAGAATTTCTAAATGAACAGAAATTTTATACTGGAGTAAATCCCTAAACCAGAAAAACTATTTAAGATAGTAGAATCTTTAACTTAATGGATTTATAGAGTATTAAAGATATTTATAAATTAGATATGTGAATCAAATAACTTAAGGTTGAAGACTACAGAGCTAGCAGCATAATTAATATAAATATGTTTTGCTGAAAAGTTTTGTAATTTATAAAACATTTTACTTATTGCCATTACTTCATTATTCATTTCTGTTAAGGTTTTTATAGATATAAACTTTAGTATAACGAGAGTCAAAGCTTTATTTAGTTTGATTTACAGGATTGCATTCATTTGGGAAGTGGAACTTACTTGGAGAAAGACTTTCTTGAAATGGAATTGTAAATTTTGAATCTGGTTAACTTTGATGTAAATCTCATTACTATATCTGATTTTCTCTAAGAAGAATAAACAAAATATATTGATTTAGTATTATTTGTAACATTGGACTCAGGATTTTGGTCTTTCTCAAAATTCGATTTATATGAGGCCATCTTATTTTTTAATCATAATCATAAGAAATCCTAAAATGAGACAACAAATAAGGTATGTTATTCTAATTATTTCTAGATAATCAATTTAATTTAAGCAAAAGTAAATTTGTTAACAGCAATTGAGAATGAATAAAAAAATAACTTTGAATATAAAACCAAAAGAATTCAAAAATAGAGATTTAAATAAAAAAGATTTCATAAACCCTAATTTAGAAAGTCTTAACTTAAAAGAAATAAATGTTTAAATGCAATTTTTATATGAAATTGTTTATGAAATCATATAAAAAGTTCTAAAAAATATAATAAAATTTGTACTTTCTGTAATCATTCATTGATTTGAAATTTTTCATAAATTTTTCTGTTATCTTCGCATATAATATTTATTTTTCACAATATAAAGTTATAATCATTTTTGATAATCTATGATTAGGATTTAAATCCATATAATAATAAAGATGTTTATTAAAATTTAAAATTTTATCATACAGGAAGTATGAGAATCATTTCTAAGTGTATAATAAAAAATTCTATCTTGAATAGTATTAATTGATTTATTTTAGTTGATAAAAATAAATTTAAAATTAAAATATTATTATTATTTGAAAGAACATGTTATTTAAGCCCTCGAAAATGTTTTAATCATTCTAAAAATTGTTTTTTAATAAAATGTAATATAATAGAAAATTAAATAGATAAATTATTTAAGAAGATTGAATGATATTAATTAAAAATGGTCTTGACTATTATGAAATAGGTTATTATTTGAGAGAGGTGATGGATAGCTTATTTTTTAATATAAGTGAGAATGAAGATGCATATTTAATAAATAAAATCTTTTATTTAATTAAAAATGGTTGTCAAATCACTAGCTCATAAAAGGATAGTACACAAGAGAACAAAAAGATTTGTTAGATTCGAATCAGAAGATTACCCTCACAAATTAAGACCTAGTTGGAGGAGACCTCGAGGTATTGATAATAGAGTGAGAAGAAGATTTAGAGGAAATAGACCTATGCCAAAAGCTGGGTATAGAGGTGATAAAAAAACAAGGTATATAAAAATAACAAAAATATTAGATATTTGGATTAAGCTGGTTTCAGAAAATTATTAATAACAAATGAAAAGGATCTTGAATTATTACTTACTAATAACAGAACTTTTGCAGGTGAATTGGCTCATAATCTCTCAGCTAGAAAAAGAGCTACACTTGTAAGAAGAGCAGCCGAACTCAACGTTAGATTGACTAATGGCAAAGGCAAAGTAAGAGCAGAAGAAAAAAAAGAATGATTTCATCTGTACAATATATAAACATACATTAAATTACAATTAATATAATAATGTAATTCAAACACTTTCATTTCTCATTTAACAATTAATTCAATTTGTCTATAACTGATGGAATATTTATAATCTAACTTAATTCAGAATAATTATGAAGTTTCATGCATTCCTATAATAATATTAATTAAATACTTATATTGTTTAAAAGAAGAATTATTTTAAATTAAATGTGTCATCATATAAGCAAAGTTCTTATAAGATTTCCTTCCTATAATTATTTCTAAACTATTTAGCCAATCTGCTTTATCGAGAATTAGCTTATTTTTTTTTATTTTGTAATTACAATTCTCTAAATTCCTTAGATTTTAGCTCAAAATCATAATCAATTTCAGGAAATGCATCTTAAAGCACATGCTGAAATACTTTTTCAAATGTAGGTTTTTGAAGATATTTTATGAATAATAATTAAGCAATGATATTTATTTTCCTATTTCCCCTGTTAACTATATGTTAAGCAGTATCTTACCATAAAATAAAATATTAATCTAATGACACTTACATAGAATTTAATACTTAAATCATACTTATTATATCCTTTAAAATAAATCTATTTAAGATCTCCACAATATTATTCTTGTATTATATTGTGTAATACATTTGGTCTACCTAATCTCTTCCACTTAATTTAATCAATTCTTAAATTAAAAATATTATAATCTATTAATTTTGTTAAATAGTAATGCTTTCATATTGTTTCAGAATTATAGTTTCTAATAAACTTATGCAGCTCTTTTTTAAGATAAAAGCAGCATCATGGCATTCATTTTATTAAGCAATTTATAATCTTTCTTAGAGAAGATTAAATATATTTGATGATAATTAAATAAGATTTAATAACAAGAGCTCTTCAATAACTCTTAATATTGTTTACATGTGATTAAACTCTGTATCATCCATAAGCAGTTTCTCATTTGTCATATACAAATTGCTGAATAAAATACCTGTAGAATTGTTATCTGAAGCAGGATCATATTCTTATAACAAAAACTGTAAAAATTCGAAAATGTGATTTTCTTTTGAATCTAAATTTGTATCTATCAAAACCAGTGCTAATTTATATAAGTGATTTAAATTTGTTCCTAAAGGAAAGGAAACAAACAGAGCAAAAAACATATCACACAAAGCTCCTATAAGCAACTATGACTTAGTTTTCATCAATATTATTAAATCTGAGTTTTCAATGATTTTAACCAAAATTTACATTGAATTTGCATTTGTTTCTGAATATTTTAAAATTAGAGTTTCTAAGAAGGACAACAAAGGCCATAAAATGCTGGATTTTTATAAATTGCATAATAATTTTACAATTACAGGTGCAATTTATTCAAAAAATTGAATATTCCTAAAATCAAAATTCTAGCCTAAACAAATTAAAATATTTTTAATGCACATTAAAGTTTAATATTAAACAATTTAATCTTATGAGTTGCTTAATAAAAGTCGAGAATATTCTAAAATCTAAGGTAGTTCAGAATCACTGAAACAATTACAATAGCTTCTACATAAGAATGCAAACCTTCTTTAACTTTAAATCGTATTTGTCTTTATTAAATATTATAAAACAGGTTAAATTTAGATAGGTTAGATCTTTAATTTTGTAGTTATTTTTGGTGTTGATCCCAATATTGCAAATAAGCTTTCCAAAATTTATTAATTTGCATTAAAATTACTATTTATTAACTATTACATTATTTGAGTAATTTTTTGAATGAATAAATCAGGAAATCTTTACATCAATTAATATTGGCATGCTAAGCATATTGTAAAAATAGGACAATGCATTTCATTTTATGGATCATCAATTGTTGAATCTTCTTCTTATTCTATTAGTTCTTCATCACTAAGGTCAGTTGGAATTGCTGCTATTTGAATGAGTTATTCAATTAAAAATTGCATATTTTCCAAAAAGAACGAATTAAAAAGTTAATTGGCAGTTTGAATTGTTTGTTTATATTATTCTGAATTTGCTTCTTAAAGTTTCTTATTGTAATTTTTTTCATCTTTAAAATAGAAAAAGATTTTTAATATTTTGATTATTCCGATCAATCCTGTTCTTAAAACTCTTTTATCATCCCATTCATTCTATATTATTAATTTCAATAATATCATATAATCTTAAAACCCTTATATAATACTTAGTGAAAAAAGACTTTAAATATTGCCTAAACTATGAAGAAGTGTTTTAAGATTGGGTTATAATAATTTTTATTGCTAAACTATTTTTAATAAAAATGCTGATTTCTCTAATAATAACACAAACACTAATTGTATTTTCTCTCTAAAATTAAATATTAAAATATTTTTACTGGTCTTATTCTTAATGAAGATGCATTATAGATAAAGATATCAGTCTATCCAATTTTTTGGAAATTTTATTAACAAAAGAATAATTATTTATATTTTGTTGTAATTCTTGAGATTATATTTACGTTACATTTTTCCAAAGGAGTAATAAATTATTCCAAATCGCTTAAAAAAATTATGCTTATTAAAGTTTCCAAGGAGCTATGAAATATTTAATATTAATACTATTTCTAATTTATACTACACTTTGCTAAACAACTTTTAGTGAAACTATTAAATCATAAGTTAATGCACAATTAGTTGATCCACTTTATATAATAGTTTATAGGCCTTTAACAAAATAGTTTACTAATCCTTAAAATTTTAATGGAAAATCATGCTTAGCAATGACAGAAAGAATCAAATTGATTTCTTTCTTAAATTTATCATCTTAAACAACCCCCAAAAATTATAATATTTTATCCTTTACATGATTTTTCAACTCTTCTGATATATTTTAAATTTTCTAATTATCTTTGAACTAATTTTTGATCCAATTTCTCACTATGACGTTTTTTATTAGTAACAATGCTTAAAATTTATTTAGGTATACCTTTAAATATATAATTTATATAATTAATACCTGACTGTTCTCAAAAATTTACAATAGTGATACTAAAATGTATGGATAATTTTATTCTAAATTTCTTAAATAAGCATCTGCTTCTTTTCCAATTTATTGATTTTTGGTTGACATAATTATGGTAAAGGCTTCTTCTATTTTTTAAGGATCAGGAATTTCTGTACTTAACATAGGATTATTATTTTTAAATATTAATTCTTTTTATTAATTTACACAAATATTTTCAAAATAAAATGTCCCTTATACCACAACGAATCTATTATCCTGGTAAATATTTTAATTTTGAGATTTTATTCAAATCTAATATTTCCTAAGAGCACAATTTATATATTTGATTAGTCTATAAAGAACTATGGATGATATTTAATAAATTACTCTTCATAAAATTATTTAAATAAATTCAGATAATTTTAATTCAAAGGAGATATTCCTAATTTTTATTTAATTAGATTGAAGCGATATTCATCAATATTAAAATCATTTTTTATGATTTCAGCTTCGACAATGTATTTTAAAGTATCATAAAATATCGATTAATTTAAAACCAATAAAATATTCTTCTTATTACTATTTCCAATATATTTTAAAGCAATATCAGCTAAAAACTTTGATTGGATATTTTATAATACTGGATTTTCATTCAAAATCTTTGAAGGGGGATTTAAAGATTCTGGTTATGTGCCACATACAAAACATCCAATCTTTTGTGCTTTAGCAACATGTGAAAAAACTTGATTTAACCATTTAAATCTAAGGGTTTATAATTCTTAAGTTATTTTTTAAGGATTTAATTAATTTAAAAGTAATTTTAATTTATCATCAATTCCTAACCCTCCGAGAATTAAATGTGTTTAACTTGAGTTTTTTCTTTAAGCAGAAAAATAGAATAATAATGATTCTAAAGTATATGGTACTTCAAATCCTTATTAAATACCTGTAAGTATTTATTTTGAATTATCAATTCTAAGTTTCTTTTTTAATTCTTCAATAATTGGTTCATAATCAGTTACTAACACTTGTTAAACTTGATCTTTAAAAATCTTATTTGTTTCTAGATTGTTGGTTATTTTATTTATTATATCAAATTTTTTATTTTCATCCAATTATTGAATACTCAATGGAGCTAAATTTAAAATTACAGTATCAAACTTTTTCTCAGCTATTAATTGTTTTGTATCTGTTATATCTTCATAATTATTGGGATAAACTCCTTACATTATAATTGAAATCCCAGATTTATGTGTCAAAGTAGCAGTGCTGGTTAATTTATTTGGATCATATCTAACAATTAAATTCCAATAGCTTTATCTCTTTATATTATATAAATCCAAAACAACTGGAGTAAACATTCTTGTATTACTGATCGCACCAACATTAGCATCTATTTCAATTAAATGTTCAAAATTAGCATTTTCAGCCAATTAATGATAATAATATTACAATCTATCAATCAAATTCTTATCAAATAAATAAGGGTGATTTTAGTAAAATTTATAAATTTCCTTATATAATTCAGCATCTGACTTATCAGTATATTGATGTAAAGAATTTAATATTTCAACTGCAAACTAAGCAGATTTTAGTTTTGTTAAATCATGGTTATGAAAAATTAACTTTGCTGTATTAGCTAATTTTTACCCGATTTTCGGATTTATAAATCTTGAATTTTCTAAAGTTAACACAGCATAAGGTAGATCATTTGAATAGAGTACACTATCTTCAATTTATTCAATTTTTTCAATAAAAATGCTTTTTATGTAATTATAAAGCTTGGTCTTTTCTCTACAAACCTTATAAAATGAAAAATATTTATTTAACATAATTATATATTTTATTAATTTTTTAGTCATCAAATTAAAATTTTATGCTATAATTGGAAATTTTATAATGAGATGTAGATGATTAAACTAATCATTTTTTAAGTGAAAAAATTTGAAAATCATAAATTAAATGAGACTTAAAAACTCAGAATTAAGTTTTTAATTTAAAATATATTAATTAGATTTATTTAAGAATGAGATTTCTTTGTAAAAATATATTATTCTACGAATAATAACAAAGTAATTATTACTATAATTCAAATTGTATAATTAGTAGATTGAAAAATTTATTTTACAAATCTATTCTTAAAATATATTTATACCTTCCTCAATTTGAGTTTAATTTTCAATTAAAACTGAAACTTTATCAAGAATTCATTTCTTATTTGCTTGCTGGAGAGTGGAACTTCTATTGTTTGTTTAAAATATATATTTAAATCCTCCCAATTTTTGAATATTTCTTTATCTTTTTTTAATAGATCCTCTTCAATAAAAAGCCTGACTTAACCATAAAGAATGATTAATTTTTAAATCTTTGTGTGGTGCTGTATTTGATTCAGGTTTAAGTTAGAAAATGATCTGATTAGTAAATCAATATAAATGCTAATATTAAAGTATTTATTTGATACAATACAATTTTGATTATTCTATCTGAATTAGATACAATAATCAAAGTAAAGAATTTGTCAATTGCTCATTTAAATCATAAACAAATCTCAGATAATTTGATTATACACTTCTATTTTAATTCATTAAGAAAACTTTAATAATTAATATTCATGGAGTATTATTAGGAGTTAATAAAATATTATTTAGCTCAAAATTAAGGTTACTTTGAATTTAAATTAGGAATTGTTCTAGGAATTTATGGTATCTAAAAATGAACTTAATTTGCTGGTAAAATAACTGCAATCAAATACATCTTAATTACAGATTTAATTTCATCTTAGTCAGTCTTTAATTTAGAGATTGCAACAACTATTTCTATTAAGAAATGAAGGCATTTAAATTGCTAAAAAAAATAAGTGAAGATGGATTACATAGTTTGATTAGAGCAAAATAAGCTACTAAAAATAAAAATCATTTAATTAATTAGGGTAATAACGTCGAATGATAATTATCTAATAGTTTGTAAAATATATTATCTGCTTTGGAAAGAGTTTATAATTTTATTTATAAAAGATCTCTAATTTTAGAAATATTTGAAATTTTTAATAATAATAGTTAAAATTTTAATTATTAAAAAAACAGCGAATTAAAAATTAAAAAGGAAAATCAAATTTGAAAACTGTGATCAATTTAAGTTTTAGAATCTGTTTCTGAAAAAGCATGCTTTATTTTACAATGTAAATTAAGAGATGCTTCTGAGCCATATTTTTTATCACAGTTTGAACATTTATACTTTTTTGAAATTTCATAAGCTTTTCTTCTTAACTTTTTAGAAGGTTAAGCCAATTCCTTCTAAAGTAATCTTATTTCTTCTTAACACTTAGAGATTTAGTCTCTTAGGCCCTCATTAAATAATACAATTTTTCTTGATTCAAGTAAATAATTTTATGAATGTTCATACTAAGGACATTCTATTATAGACATCATTATAATACTTTTTATTGCTTTATTTATGATAGATATTATCTTATTCATATTTCCATTCTGATTTTCTTCTTGTGACATAAATTATTATCAATTTTAAATTTGATTTAATTATTAAAAATTATGTTAAAAATTATTTGTTATAAATATTGTAATTTTGTAATTACGGATATTTTTTGTGATTAAAGTGTTAATTATTAAAATAGATATATATACATATATATATAGGAATAATAAAGCTTTTTTTTAAAAATATCATTATTGAAACCCTTTTATTTAGTAATTCCCTCGTTATGAAATTTTGAATATCTCTTCTGCTGCTTCATCTAACATAGTTTCGAAAACGACATCAGCTAATTCAACTGCCACTTCGGCCTGTTCTTCATCATAATTTAACCATTTTTCTTCTGATTCTTGAATCTAAAATTATGTATAAAATATTACTTCATATTCTAACATTTGCTATAATCTATCTTCTTTAATTTAATTGAGGTAGTCATCTTCTATTACTATAATTTCTCCTTAAGGTGTCTCAATTTTTTCAGGAATGAAACCACATAAAAATGATCCCCATTTCAACATTTTAGCTATAGCAAAACCCATAGCTCTATCAATAGATTCTTAAGTTGTCTAATTTTAATAGACTTTTAAAGGATTAGATTTCCATGGATATGGTTACCCTCTAATTCCAAATGGTCTCACATAATTTATAGCCTCATTAAAGGCTTCATAAATCATTCTTAAATGATAAATTTCTAATTCCTTAAATTAATCAGTTATGTTGATATCATTATAATATTTTAATTTGAGAGCATAAGATTAATTAAATTTTGTCCAAATTTCTTCATCAATCAAGGGTTCCATTTAATGAATGTGTTTTATTAGTGGATATAAGGGTCCAGATGTTGAGTCATCAAGAGCATTTTATTACATATCACTTAGTGAAATTGTCTTTAATAAATCTTAAGGTGTTATTCCCAAAGGAGTATTTATTTATTAGATAAATACTGCAAGATAATGTTCTAAATAATATTATTATTATTTACTCTATATAAATTCACTAAATGAAACTAGATAATCTTTTATAAAATTAAGAGTAGTTGGAAAACCTGGAGGAAATTATTAATCTATTTGAGATTCTTCATCCCATTCCATCAATACACCTAAAGATTATAATGGAAAATTATTCAACTCTTCAGCAAATTCTGAAATGATATTTTAAACAATATTTTCTGTCAGATTATCAATCTTTCTATCATCAAAAGGAATTATTGAATTTCTGATATCCTCTTTTGGCTCTGTAAATTTGTTCTCAGGAATTTCTATAGTTTCTATCTATACAATTTCTTAGGAAGGTACAGATTATTATAAAGCAGATGGTAATTATTAAGATTTATGTAGTGAGTTATTTATTGATTCTGTGTGGACATTAAATATTGTGCTTGTTTAAATTTCTTCATTTTTCATAGAAATTTCATCTAAACTTACTTATTAATCAAAACTTCTCACCTACTTTCGATTTTTAGAATATTTCTTAAATTAATCATTCTCTAAATTATTAATTAAAATATACTTATTTATTACAATAAGCCATAATGTGGCACAGATCTCTTTTCTATCTCTCCATCAGATTGTTCAGTTTCTGAACGAATTGAAAAGATTTACCTAATCGATAAATTCTCTTCATCAGTTTAAATTTTCATTCTTTCCATAAATTATTAATCTTTTTAGGTAGATTTTACAGTATCTTTAAACATTTGATGTAATCTCTCAACCTCATTTTTAGATTATTATAATTTATCTCTTTCCCTTCTATATCTTTTTTCTAATTTTTCTTTATTTTCTGAAAATAAGTCATTTGAAACTTTTTTTTTATCTAACATTTTTTCCAACAATGCAAGCTATTAATCATACTTCTATTACAAAGCTTCTTCCCTTAATTTTATAACTTCCATAAAATATTCTGGATCAGAATTTAATCCATGATATAAATGAAGGCTTTTTTAAGGTGTTTTATTCTAATTACTTTCTTATTCTTAAATCTAAGATTCTGTTAACTATTATTGTTATTATTATTGCTATTGTTATTATTATTGTTATTGTTATTATTATTATTATTATTATTATTATTATTATTATTATTATTATTATTATTATTATTATTATTATTATTATTATTATTATTATTGTTATTATTATTATTATAATAATAATTATTATTGTTCTAATTATTATAATTACTATTACTATTATTATTACTATTACTATTATTATTATTAATATTAAAGAGACTTTGAAGGAGATGATTATTATTATGAGAATGAATCCAGATTTAGCGGAGGAATACTTGTGTTACCTCTAGGGCTAGATTATTAAAGTGATGATTATTATAAAGACTCTGATGGAGGTGGTGCATTGCCTTAAAATTGAGGGAATTCAAGAGGATTTAATCTTCTATCTGAATCTGTCATTTAATTTACAGATTTAATATCCTCCTCTTATGACAATCCTTCAAATTATTACTATAATTTGTGTCCCTCATTTTATTACTCCTCTAATTCCTACTATTAAATCAGATATTAAAGATATGCAAAAACCACTTATCTTGTCTTATAACCTCTCCATACTTTTTATATCATAGTTGCAGCTACATTTTAAATTTATTCTATTTCTTCATCACTCATTTCATTAATAGTATATTCTTTTGGAGATGTTGAGTTTTTTTCTTTTTAAGTATGACTCTTATTACTTTAATTACTTTAATGAGTTATATTTTATTGTTGAGATAATTATTAGCTATTTGATAACTATTATTAAGAAACCTATTAAAATCTTTCTTGCAATTCATTAAATCGGTCTTTAATAGTAGATTTAGTTTATTATTCAAATTTTTCTTTAAGAAATTATTCTAAAAATTGATACATTTCTTGTTCGCTTAATTTATATTAAAATCCTTTATTATTCATTTATTCATTTATAGCCTACATTTGAGAGAGTTATTCTTAGAGATAAGATTCAGGTAATTATTATAACCAATCTAAAAATTTCATTTAACTGGTTTTTCTAGTATGTGATTATGTACTACTATAACTTGATTATCTGAGAGATCTCATAAGTTCTTTATACTCTTTTTCTAATTTATTAAAATTAGGAGGTTCTGAAGTACGAAAGTGTTAAGATGATTATTATGCATGATATGATGCTGCTTAAGCTGTTAAATTTGATTTCACTGAAGCATTTCTTGATTTAGCAAATAGTTTGGCTTCTTAATCTAATATTTATAAATTTTATTGTAATTTTTCTTTTTTTAACTTTTATAATTATTTCCTAATTATATAAATATAAGATACTCTTCAATTTTTTATTGTCTCCATAATTCTCTTTTATACATCATATATAATTTAACATCCTAAATGGCCTCTTTATTTTCACAGTTACTTATATGTTTTTAAGGAGATTAAATAGTCTCTAAAACTTATTTTGATTTTTATTCTAGTAAATTTCAATAGATTTTTTACTTTATATCATTTTTTATATATCTTTTTCAGGTTTTGAATTGAGAAAATCTAATCCTAATTTATGTCTTCTAATTTTTTCTTTTATTGCATGTTCTGTAGCTGTTTGATTAACTTATTATGGTTTTTCTAATTTATCATGGATTTCCAACATTTTTGTCCAATATTATTTTAGTTTATTCTAATCAACACCCCAAGGTAACATAGATGATGGTGGAGATTTTGACTTTATATAAATACAATTTAAAATTTACTCTAACAAATCTTTATTAATTTATATATCTTATTTGCTAATCCATTATTTTTCTCATCTCATTAAAACTAACTACTCTTTATTTTTATATTTCTTCTTTAATTAATTGTTCTTATTTTTCCTCTATGAGTAAATTATATAATATACTTTAATGTTTTCTTAAGTTTTATTTCAACAGCTACTCTACTCTAAATTCTGATTCATACTTATCTATTATTTATATTTTCTTTTTTTTTTAAAGCTTCTTCTTCTTTTTCTTCTTCTTCATTTAATTCTTGAATTTCAATAAAACTTATGAGTCTTTAGTAGGTGCATTCTAATGGATTATTATTTATTGTTGCAAATTTATTATTGGACCAGAAGATGTACGTTTGAGTGATTTACCATTATGGGGACTCTTTTTTTCTGGACTCTTTATTACATGAACTATCTCTTCTTCTAGTTTATTGGTCTCTGTAGGACGTTGAACTAATCTCGCCGAATTCATTATCACATTTGATTCGACTTTACGACACTGCATTATTGTATATAAAATTATTAACGATTATCGGGTTTCAAAACTAAAAAATTTGTAAATAATTCATCATCTCTCTATTTTCAAAAATCAAATACCATCATTAATATCCTTTCAAAATATTAATAAATAGGATCATTTATCATTTGAATTTGTAAAATTGCAATTTATGCCAATATTATATTTCTCCTCACTTTTGTAATGTTTTAGGCTATTTGGAATTATATAGCTAACATGTGATCAGAAACAGTATAATATTAGTCTCATTATAGCTTTTATGCTTTATAATCGTTATTCTAATTAAAATATATTTTCTTCTAATAATTCTTACTGCTGACAAAACATTAATATGTNTCCTAATTTATGTCTTCTAATTTTTTCTTTTATTGCATGTTCTGTAGCTGTTTGATTAACTTATTATGGTTTTTCTAATTTATCATGGATTTCCAACATTTTTGTCCAATATTATTTTAGTTTATTCTAATCAACACCCCAAGGTAACATAGATGATGGTGGAGATTTTGACTTTATATAAATACAATTTAAAATTTACTCTAACAAATCTTTATTAATTTATATATCTTATTTGCTAATCCATTATTTTTCTCATCTCATTAAAACTAACTACTCTTTATTTTTATATTTCTTCTTTAATTAATTGTTCTTATTTTTCCTCTATGAGTAAATTATATAATATACTTTAATGTTTTCTTAAGTTTTATTTCAACAGCTACTCTACTCTAAATTCTGATTCATACTTATCTATTATTTATATTTTCTTTTTTTTTTAAAGCTTCTTCTTCTTTTTCTTCTTCTTCATTTAATTCTTGAATTTCAATAAAACTTATGAGTCTTTAGTAGGTGCATTCTAATGGATTATTATTTATTGTTGCAAATTTATTATTGGACCAGAAGATGTACGTTTGAGTGATTTACCATTATGGGGACTCTTTTTTTCTGGACTCTTTATTACATGAACTATCTCTTCTTCTAGTTTATTGGTCTCTGTAGGACGTTGAACTAATCTCGCCGAATTCATTATCACATTTGATTCGACTTTACGACACTGCATTATTGTATATAAAATTATTAACGATTATCGGGTTTCAAAACTAAAAAATTTGTAAATAATTCATCATCTCTCTATTTTCAAAAATCAAATACCATCATTAATATCCTTTCAAAATATTAATAAATAGGATCATTTATCATTTGAATTTGTAAAATTGCAATTTATGCCAATATTATATTTCTCCTCACTTTTGTAATGTTTTAGGCTATTTGGAATTATATAGCTAACATGTGATCAGAAACAGTATAATATTAGTCTCATTATAGCTTTTATGCTTTATAATCGTTATTCTAATTAAAATATATTTTCTTCTAATAATTCTTACTGCTGACAAAACATTAATATGTATTTCTAAATGGTTTAATAATAAAAAAATTAAATTTCTAACTTTTCGAAAAGTCTAAAAGCTTAGTTAAAGTTAATTTTTATTATTTGAATTGAGTCTCAATAACATAAGTTTACCTAAAGAATAATTGGAATTAAATTATAAATAGGATTAATAATAATTTATCATTCTTAAGGTAAATAGAACTAAATCTAAATTCACATAATATAAATAGAAAATTTAAATATAAATAAATATCTATTAGTTCGTAATACTAATAATCGATAAAATCGACTATAATACTCAAAATTAGAGAAATGAAGTCACCATTTACTCAAACTATTAGAAGTAAATTAGTTACTTAAGATTTTGATATAAATAAAAAAGTATAACTATGGATTATCAAAAGATATCAAAATATTTAAAAAAAATGACTTTAGTTGGATATATAATTTAATATTGAATTATATAAATTAGTTTATAATTAAGATCTAAAATCAGAAAAGCCATATATTAATAATAAAAGCTTAAAACAATAAAACTTAATGAATAAAATCAAATCTAAAATCGTAAACATAAAGATAAAATAATATTATTTAATATAATTAAATTTTGATTTCATAAGAAAATTCATGAATGGACTTTAACTTTTTTAGTTGTAAGAGATACTGTTTGAAAAAAAACCAGTGTATTTTTTTTGAATAATTTATATTATACATCAATAATGAGGGAATATTATAAATTCAATCTCAAATAAAAATTGGTTCCTTAAAAATGGCCCTATAGTATTAATAAGTTGTTTAACAGGAGTCACATCAAATATATGTGATTTTATATAATTAAGAATTAGAGTAATTTGTTATTTAGAATGAGTAATGTAGAATATTTATTTAAACAATCAAAAAAATTGTTATTATATATATTTTTCAAATTTTTAATAATGTAGGAGTTAACAGAACTTAAGAACTTAGTTATACAATCTTTAGAAGCAAATGGATCATTAGCAAAGATTAGAGCATAAATTAGAGCATCTGTCTTTAATGTAGTTGATTAGTAAGAAACCAATAATAAAAAACCTTCTCCATTTTTCTGGGAAAATAATAAGGCTTAAACTATATATGAATTGGCTAGTGGTCGTGATATGTTAGAATTGATTAAAGAGTTTTTCCTCTTTTTTGATATGCATTACACAAATTCAATATTTTCAAGGTAATTAATTTGGATTATATTTTTAAGTGAAAGCAATTTAAGAGAAGAAATAAATCGTGATCAAATAGCCAAAAAATTAAATATAGAAGCTTAAGATACAACAAAACCTTTGTTATATTTCTTATTAAAAAATCGCCATTCAGAAAAATAATCGTAAAATATTTAGAAAAATTAATTTAGTGAAGAAAAAGTTCATTAAAAAATTGCTTAGGCATCTCCTAAGGAAGTTTAATAATAATTATAATAATAATAATAAAAATAATAATAAGAATAAAAATTGTAAGAATAAAAAAAATAAGATGAATTGAGAAAATAAGAAGAACTTAAAAGGTAAGAAGAATAAAGAAAATAATAATAATAATAAGAAGAATAAAGAAAACAAGATGAATTAAAAAAATAATAAGAAGAATAGAAGAGATTAGAAGAATAAAAAAAAGAATAATAACGAAAATAATAAGAAGAATAAAGGAAATAATAAGAAGAATTAAAAAAATAATAAGAATAACAAAAGCAAGAATAATAAAAATTAGAGTAATAAAAAAAGGAATAAGAAAAATTAAAAGAATAGTAAAAGTAATAAGAATTATTAAAATAATAATAAGAAAGAGAAAGATAAGAGGCTCTTTAAAAAAAAAATTAGCCAAAAAAAATAGATAATAGAAACTTTGAAGATGAAAAATATGATAATGAAGATTTTGAGGAAGAAATAGAAGGAGAAGTATAATTATAATAAAATTAGGATTTGAGAGATTCATAGTTATAATAAGATTAGTTTTAAGAGTCTGATGAATATATGCAGTAATCTTAATCATAAGGAATTGATATGACAGTTGATTCAGCAGCTTTAGAAGAATTTGATTATTTTGAAGAGATAGAAAAAATGGATTGAAATTTTTGAATAAGTTAATTATATAAATATATTAAATTAAATTTTATGTTGCAAGGTTTAAATGTTCCACCTCTGTTTTCAATTAATAGAGAAGAAGTACTTAAACCTGTTCAATAATAAACTTAAGTAGAGCAGGTGCCAACTAAATAAACTATTGATTTTAAAGAAATGGATTTAAATCCATCTAATAAAACTTTATATATCAATAGATTAAATGAGAAAGTGACAGCAGAAGAAATGAGATAAACATTATATGCATTATTTTCTTAAAGTGGGAAAGTGCTTGATATAATTGTTAAAAAAAATATTTTAATGAGAGGACAAGCTTTTATTTTAATGGAAGACGAAGAATCGGCAATTAAAGCTTAAAAAGCATTTCATAATACTTAATTGTATGATAAAGTTATGGTAAGACTAAGTTTGATGATTAGAAAGTGAATTTTGCAAAAGAAAAATCTTACTATATCTCCAAAGGAGAATATGAAGAAAAAGAAAAGCTACCTATGAGTGATAAAATAAAAGAACATAAAAAGAGAATTTAAGATAAAAGATAAAGAGAAATGATTAATTAGAAATAATAACGTGAAGCGCCAACTATATCTATGCCTTTAACAGTAAATTAAGTTTATACTGGAGCCAGTAATAAAATTAAAGTATTATTATTTATTTAATTTAATGATTCCTAATTAACCTAATAAAGTCTTATTTGTAGAGGGATTACACTTAGTTGATTTTATTAATTTAGAACAACATTTTAGAAACTTTTATGGATTTAGAGAATTTAGAGGGATCAAACCTAAAGGTGTTGCCTTTGTAGAATTTGAAGACGAACTTTAAGCAACCCATTGTTTAAATGAATTGAATGGAACCTAGTTTGAAGAAGTCACCTTATAAATAAGTTATCAGAAAAAATGAGAAAATATTTATCAAATTACAAAAAATGAATTTTACATATTAAAATTTTGTTCATGTACTTTCAATCTAAACAAAAACAAAAATAGGAGTCATTAAAATACTCATGATTATTGAGTTTGTTCAAAATGTTGCATTGTGTTTTCCAAAACATGGGTGGCAGTAACTACAATATGAAGACAAAATGTTAAATAGCATTCAATAATTAACTAATTATTCACTTTTTTTAAATAGAAACCACATTCAATACTAATTAGAAGTTTTCATTATCTCCCTTTCATTAATCTATTTTATTATGCTAATCTTTTACTTTCATATCCAAAAACAACAAAAAATTTCTTAATTAATAAGCATAACTTTAAATATTTTCTAAAAGATTTTTAGAATTCCACTTATTGTTATTTACATTCAATTTATCAATTAGCATTATTCTTAATTTTTAGAAATCACCATAACTCTCTTTATTTTTACTATTTTTATGATTTTTTTAATTGCAACTACATATTTTTAAAGAGACTTAGCAATCAATTTTAGTAAGCTTTATTTTCCTCTAAATCAATTTTTTACTCCATTTTTATTTATAATATATACATTAGATTTAATAAGGATTCTTATATTTGTTGTTATGAATAACTAGACAGGACTTATTTTATTCTGTATATTATCTATAATTACATGTATTATTGCTCAATATCATAATACTTTTTAATAAAATGATCCAGATAAATTTAATCAAGGTCTGATTTTTTGTAATTTAATCATTTCAGTATTTATTTTATTAGGACTAAGTACTAAAATGGATGAAATTTAAATATTCAATATATTACTTTACTCAATTACATTAGTGTTTTATTTATCAATTTAAATTGATTTATTTTAATTTCTAAAATCCAATAACATAGTTCATGTTATAGAAAATAAGTTTAAATTAAATTTTAATCCACTTATTTTAAAATAAGTTATTTAATGTTAAGAGGACAATAGGGTGTATATGAATTTTATAAAATAAATAATTGATGATGAAATAAAACTCAACCATTATTTTTTTAATGAGAGCAATGTTTTGATATTATTTGATTATTTAACTAAAAATTAGTAAAGTTACTTTTAAGCCCTATTTATCTTAAATAAGTTTGAGTGTTAATAAAATAAATTATCTATATTTTATAAGATCTATAGTCAATTATTCAAGACGTCAATTTTATTTGATATAATGTAAGTCAATAAATCGACTTTAATGATATAATAATTAAATCGAGATCTCTTGATTGAAATTGAATATTAAAGAAGGTTTTCAGAAATTCTTTCTAAATAATTAAATCTTTTTAGTAATTTAATATAAGGGAGCAAGAATTTTTAAGAAACAGAAAATAAAATAATAAGAGTTTCATAATCTATTAAAAATACTGAAAAATGGCTCATAAAAAATAATATCTTAGAAAACCGTACAAATATTATCTATTTAAAAATTCAAATTAATTTTCATTCCATGATAATGTAAAATTATATACAAGTATTATGATTATTATTTTTAGGCTATAAAGCTAAAGAAAATTATTAAGAAAATATTGGAAACCGATCATAAAACATTAGAAGCTATCTAAATTATGAAAAGTAAAGCAATAATGCTTACTGTGAGTATGATTAGATAGAAAGGTTTGATTTTAAATGTAAATAAAAAATCATTGCTATAATTTTTTGGATTTAATATGGATTTTAAATTAGAATTTTTGGAGTAATTAATGCCAGAAGCAATATAACCATTACATAATTAATTTATTGAAAGATTTCTTCAAAGAAACTAATTGAAAACTAATTATTTATAAAAAACGCTAGAGGTTCTCCAATAATAAGAGAATGGTTAAATATAATGTTTAGAAGTTAATTTTACAGTAAGCAATGATAAATCAGATTTTATATTAATATCTCTCTTGAAAAAGGTTAATTAAGATAAAGGCTATATAATATTTAATCAATCAGGGAAAATTATAGGTATGAATGATTATTTAGAGTAATTTAATGATTTACATTCTTAAATGAAGTAATACAATTATATTTAATACTTCTCAACAGATTTATTTAACATTATCAATAATAATGAATTTCTAAATGAAAAAGAAATTAGTTTTTTTTCAAGGTAGAATATATATAAGATTGATAAATAGTATAAAGGTTATATTTAACAATTGATTAAAATTAATAATTAAAGTAATTCTCCACATCTTGATTATATGATTGTTTCAGATAGATCGGAAAAACATTAATTATTAAGTTCTAAAAGTTGTTTTTCAAATTAGGATGTATATTAATTTGATTTTTTGGATTCTTAATTATAAGAAAGATTATCTTAGATAATTAATCTAAATATTGTAATATATAGAATATATTTAATAGACAGAAAATGATGTTTCATTAACATTTAAAGTTAAGTTATCAAAAATTGAATTGCAAGGACAAATAATTTAGTTTTAATTAGAGTTGAGTATATCTGATGCAAAGATAGAAAATGAAGAGGTAGAGAATATTGATGATGAGTTTCTGTAACTAGAAAATATTAAAGCAAAATCATTAAATGATGTCAGTATAGTAAGTTCAGAATAAAAAGGATAATTTATCTTACATGATATACTACTTAAACAATCTAGCAGTTAACCATTTATTTAGATTTATTTACATAAAGCAATATTGATGATTTTAGTCTTAGTATTTTTGATTATACAAATTAATTAGATAGAAATAGACTTTAATATGAAATTAAAATATTCAGAATATATAAGGGCTCCTATGTTATTAAATAGATTTTACAATAGAGCTTTCCATTATGGATTTAATCAAATAATTTTTTAAAACTTAAACTAATCTCAGTATTTATAAAAATCTTTTTCTGTAGAGAAGGAAATAAATTTAAATGACAATCGATAAAAATTCAAGATTCTATATCTAGATTTAGTAAATATTGATGAAGAATAAAATTCTCCTAAATATAACTTAACATTATTTAAAAATTAAATTACTTTCGATAGTTATTCAACTTTTTCGATTGCAATGAGAGAAAATGCAGTTGTGTTATTTTCATATTCAAAAGATAGCATATAATATTTAAAATCATTATTATTTTTCAGGGTAAATATGATATAAGCATATAATTCTACGATTTATTTGATTGAAAAATTTACTGAAATCTTAAATGATTATTCTTAAAATATTATGATTTTCTGGAAAATTGTTCTAATCCTATAGATTATTTTATTTTGTCCACCTTTTATAATTAATATAAGAAATTGGTATTAATTTGAAAAAAGGCATAAATATTTAATATAAATAATATCTAGAATTAATGAAGATCAAGCAACTCGATTGATAGAAATAAAATAGTAGTAAATATAATTTTCAGAAACTGAAAAATATTAAGTTAATGTAAATTAATCTTATTATACATGTAAATCACCTTTAAGATTGATACATTCAACCATAAATTAATCTTACCAAAATCTTAGATCAAGAGATACATAATTATTATATGAAAGAATATAAAATAAATCAATCAGTATAACAATAAAGTTATGCTCTGCCTTATTTTGTTATTTAACTTTAGTATCATTAGTTTCTTTTGGATATGCTTAATTAGAATCAAGTGAAATACAATATTTGCCAATATAAAATTTAATTTAAACGTATGTTAAATTTTAGGTTTAATTGGGGTATTTGCTATCATTTGCATCTACTCTAAAAGGGTAACATTTTTTTATTGAATAATTATCCAAAATTAATGATCCTGAAATTGGTGATTTTAAAATATATTTTAAGGATGATAAAATTCCAAAATACTTTTAAAATGTCTCTTAAACTTATTAAAAAAAAATAATATCAATATTTTCTTCAATAGTTTTGAGTGATTAAATTAATGAAATAGATAAATCAGAATTATATGATCTTTATAAAGGAGATTTTTGTGATTATTTAATAGAAATTTTGCCCTTTTGCAACACAACAATCTCTTAGAATTAATTCTATATGATTTATGGTTAGTTTTATCCTTATGAAAATTATTCAGAGTTTCTAAGAAAAGGTATTATTGGATACATTAGTAATTTAGATTCATTATTTAAAAATGATTTCGAAATCGAAATTTCATAAGGAATTTATTAAAAAATTATTTAAAAAGATATATATTATTATAAAGAGTTTAACAATCTAATAATCTAGTATTATTTTAATATTTCAGATGGTTTTGAACTATTTTATGATAAGATTGATAATGTATCTTAAGCACTTATTAAAAAATAGAAAAATAACTTATTCATTTACTTTTATACATTTGGGTCAACATTTTTGTTTATTTTTTTAATAATAACAATATTATAAATTATTTACTCATAAAGAAGATACAAAAACTGTATATTAGGATTGGTTACTTTAAGTGAAGATTTATTAAACGATAAAACTAATCTTAGTCTTTTAAAGAGATTAAGTAAATGAATATTATTTTTCGTTTATCTATTCGTAATATCAAATTTATTTGAATTATAAAAATTTTATATATATTTTCATTTTAAATAATCAGTTAAGAATAATAATGAGTACAGTTCAAATGAAACAACATATAAACTTATTAAGAAAAGCAGTAGGTGAAATAAAGGATAGTACATAAGAGAGAATAACTTAAATATCAACAGAGGTTTAATTTAATCCTCAAGATAATAAAGAATTTAATGATTTACTTAACGAAATTAAGTAAGACACATTGAGAAGATTGCACGCTTTCTATGAATTAAAAGTTAATAATAAGACTAATGTTTATTAATAAGAGTTATCAAATTGTTCAACTAATTATTCAGAAATATAACAATAAGTTTTAGAATAGTAGGAAATAGTTAAAGAAAAAATTAATTAGAATTTGTAGAAGGTAAAATATATAATAAAAGTAGAGAGAACAATTTGATAAATTGGCAATAAGAATGGTTTTAAATTATGAGAGACTAAAATTATATAAAAAATATTTCAAATCATTAAAATAATATGCAACAAGAAAGAGAAAAAATAGATAAGCTAAATTTGATGCTTATTAAAAATATTAGTTAGGATTATAAACAAAGGTATTTTATTATTGGAGAAGTACATGCCATAAAACTGGATATTAAACTATGCTGATTACTTAAGCTGCAAAAGAAATTAAAAATATTTAATCATGTAATTATTTTTTATCTAATTTAGAATTTATTGATATTGTTAAGATTTTAAAAGCTAAAATAGCTGAAACTGATGAATAAATTTAAATTAAGAAAAATGCTAAAGCTGAGTTTTCATACAATTTGAGTAGAAATCTTCTTAAAACCATAAGTAATTTGTCTATGGAAGTTATGTCTCTTCATTAAGTTACTATAAAAGGTATAATATATAAATTAAAATTAGATAATTAGATTAATAATGATGAAAATACTAAATTTTTAAAGGAAGTTAATGGTTTAATTCAAACTAAATTAAATAGCATTCAATAATTTAAAGAAAAACTAAAATCAGCCGAAGAACCAGTCTCAGAAACACAAAAAAAAAATAAGCAGTCCATTTAATTTGATCTTTAAAATTAGTCAAAAAAATGATTAATATATATATAAATTATCTATTCATAATATCTTCCAGTTTTCAATAATAAAAATTATTTAATTATTAGATTTGAAATTAAATCAAATGGGAATCTGTAATGCTAAAAAACCTATAAGAGGTGAATTGCCTCATGTTTGCGAAAAAGTTAAAGAGAATCCCAAATCTGAGAAAATTTTAAAAGAAATGAAAGAAAATAATTAAAATCTAAATCCTTTTAAGAATCCAATTTTAAGTAGAAGACTTCATTCTATTTCAGTCTAATAATCACTCTAATAAACCCTTAATTCTAAAACAACAGATCAAAATCCTTGATTATATTCATTTTTATTTTAATTATCTAAAAAGTACATTTAATTACTGATCTTATTCAAAACTTAAATAAAAAGTCACGTTTTATTAATTTTTAATCACTCTATTTGAGAATAGAAATTTGAAAGGAATAAAAAAGTGATGATTAGAAAAAAAATACTGATTAAATTAATATATAATTCTAATTATAAATATTTAATGATATTTTATTCATTTTTCATCTTCTTCTTCAATTGCATCACCTTTTTGAAATTATTTAATAACTTTTTCCACTTATGGACTTTAAGCAGTTTCAACATGATCAAATTCTGTAGTATTAAATTTTTGCATAACCTTTAATTAATTAGATTAGACAGGTCGAAATGCATTATCTTATGTTACAAAAGACCCTTTATTTTCAAGTTTATCTTAAGGACTATTTTTTAACTTATCATTTGGAAATTCAGTAGTTAGAGCTTTGCCACTAGTTGAGAACATTTATTTTTTTTAATTAGCAGTTAACTTTGAAGGTCCTTAAATATTTGAAGTTTAAAAACAAGAGGCAAAAAATGGATCTTATAAACATAAAGCAGCACTAATCCTTTAACTTGGATCTTTTTCTAACATTTTCTAAATTAAAGTCTAACATAAAATAAAATATGATTTATTACAGAAATAGAATGATCAATTTTTTTCATTTACAAAGGAGTTAAATCAATTTTGCATTATTTATTTAATTTTAATACTAAATTAAACCCAACTCCTGGAAACAAATCTTTTCCTGTCAATCTTAAATATTAATGAAAAAATACAATTTAAAGAAGATTACTCCTGCACTAAATACATCACACACTTTATCATATTTTACAGTTTTATCAACCAAATTGGCTATCTCTGGAGCAACATAACCTGGTGTTCCACATTTTGGAAATAAATATCTTAATTATAATTATTATTACTTATCAATATTACAATATGTAGCCAAACCAAAATCAACAATCTTTAAAGAATTCAAATCTCCTTTTTTTAATAACATTATATTTTCTGGTTTTAAATCTCTATGCATAATTTATTTTTCATGCATATATTCAATACCTGTTAGAATTTACTTTAAAATAGAATATTATTTTATACCCACATAATATTTCTAACAATATCTTCTGGAAATCCATTTTTATGATTGTTTAATTCATCATGTAAACTTCTTCCTTCTAATAAATCCATAACCATATAAAATGTATTATCTCCCTCATATACTGCATGTAATTTAATAAAAGAAGGATGATCTAAAGTATTATTGATAGAAATTTCTTAAAACATTGATTCCTTACATTAAAAAATAAAGTACAATTCCATTTTCTGTTTCATTTACATAAGATTTATCTACACATTTAGCTGCATAATATTATTCTGTATTTTTATGTCTAACAAGAAGAACTCTTGAAGAAGCTCCTTTTCCTAAAGTTTAAAGTGGTGTATAGAAGTCTTAAATCCTTTGAAATATTATTTTATTTCTTAGATGCTCTTTAAGAATTGTTAGAGTCTTTTCATCACTATAAAATGTAGTGACTTTGGCTACATGATTTTCTTTAATTTATTTAACCTATAAGATAAATATTATTTTTAATCACTTATTGAAATTTGAATGACACTATTTTATAATGCTTTTTCCCATTTAGATTATCTTCCTCTACTTCCCATTTAATATGAGTTTATAATTGAATAGGCAGAGAATACTTAGATACTTATGAATTATCCTAAAATGTTAATTTTCAGTTAAACAATTCTACCTTAAACAAATCTAATCTATTAGGTTTGAGCATTCCAATATAATTTTTGTTTCCATTCTTTCCTTTTCTAAAACACTCGAATTAATACACAATTTGGGATTCAATTTACATTTGCAGAAAATATTTTAAGATGTGTTTAAAAAGTTAAAACAATAAAAATTAATGATATTATTTAATTCAAATTAAAAACATAAGGGTAAAACAATTTATTTTTATGATTTTATGTTACAATCTATAATCTTGAAGTTTGAACTTTAAATTATTTAGCATTGATAATAAACAATATTTTTAATTATAATTATGATAAATATAATTCAATATCCTCAAGACACTCATTTTGTTAAACCTCTTTTTCTGATAGGTTTAGGAATTACTGTTCATGAGGTACTTAATGAAGTTTGAGACAATATTAGATTATAACATATCCCTTAGACAGAATTATATCTAGAATGATTGCAAAATGTCCATATTAAAATTAATCATTTTTAGAATAATTAGGATAAATTAAGTTAACAGAATCATATAAAGGATTATATAAAGGATTTCGAACATCATTTGATAGATAAATAATTTAGAATCTTTCATTTTATTTTTGTTTCTAATATTTCTTTTTAAGATATGGATTAGAGTTTAAAAGTAAAACAAGAGTTGAAGTAAAAGATTAACCTTATTTAAAATTTTGTGAAAATGCTAAGTTTTATTCAATTGCATTTGGATCAGCAATTATTTCAACTTTATTTAGTCAACCAAGTAATATTGTTAATTTAAAATTGTAATGTGAATAATTAGGATTACCACCTAAGAAATACTGGGATAATATGAAGCATTTAGATGAAATAATGCAATATCATAACAAATAATTCCGTATTGCCTTTATTCCTGGATTTAAAAGCAAAGTCTTATTAACATTTTGTTAATTTGTTACAGAAATTATTATTTTTTAAGAATTCTTATATTAATAAGGATACTATTTCATGAATAAATCATTTAATTCAAATAAAGAAACAAAAAATAGTCATTTAATTGGAGCATTAGGGACTAGTTTATTAATACCAATAGTGTTTCATCCTTTAAATTTCTTATAAAAGAGATATACAATAAGAAAATTATAAAATATGAAACTATTATAACCTTCAGAGATGTTAATAAAAGTATTAATTTATAATTAATTAATTAGGATATGTAGAAGTTTTCTAATATATATTGTGGATTTGGAGCAGAAATATTTAGATATAGTACAAGAAGTATGTTGATATTTTATTTAATTTGGAATTCTGCTAATTAAAAAACTAAATATTGATTGTAATTTATAATATATATAAATAATATTAAGTTAATTTTAAAAAAAATTCATATTTAAATTTTTAGGGAAATAGCAGAGAGACATAAATTCAGGAACAGAATACTTAAATCTAAAAGTTAATTCTTTTTTTTTAAATAATAAAAAGCATTGATAAACTAATGGATGCATATTTTTTAAGATAGAATTTATTATTAATATGAGACAATCAGTTAAATATCTAAAATGTTAGATTTATATTTGATTGAGAAAGTATTATTGAAATATAAACACTAGCTGATATATTAAATATATATATATATATTAGATTGGTATGAAGAAAAGAGATGAAATGGATGTGAATGTAGAGTATGTTGGAAGAATATGATAATAAGGAAAAAACATATAATATTATAATTAATTAGTTCTAATCAAAAGCAACATAGTGGTGATTAATATTATGCTCCCAGTAATACTCTTATTCTTTATAAATTAATTTCTAATTTATATAAATGAATGCATAAAAGAAAGCATCCAATTAATATAACTCCACATTATGACATCTGCATTACTATTTGTTCATAATTCTCGTTTAAGAGGTTATATCCATATAAGCATAAAATAGTTAAGCAAGTTATTATCAAACTTAAAAGATAAGATATATAAAATTGAATTTTTAAAGCTCGACTCACATAACTAAATTTATAATTTTGATACATATATTATGAAACAGAGAGCAAAAAAATTAAGGCTATTCTCAGATATAATAAGTAATGAATACTTGATCCAGAGATCTCTGGAAATATATTTATTTGTAATTAGAATACATCCCAAACAATTAAACCAATACACATAATTACTTACAGAATCTATATTAATATTTGTCTTAAGCCAAATTAAACTGTTAAAGGTTTTATTCTTTTCATTATAAATGATTGGTCAATCTCTTTCTATAAGCAATTTTCTTTATTAAAATTTATATTTACTATTATTTTAATATATAGGCTCGGATATACAAATTTAGTAAAATTATTAACTTAAGAAATTCACATGGTTGCGTAATTCAAAGGTATTTACAGAAAAACCAAAAATAGCATGATTTACTTTATATTATGATAATTTAATTCTTCTTCCATTCTGATTTTTCGAACTTCCTATAGTTAACAATTCTTTATCAAAGCAATCATTCACATAATTAATATGATATTTTAATTCTTCTTGCATTTCTATTAGTTTTTAATCTTTATTTAATGGCTATCCTAAAGGAATATTGATTGCTACTTCTCCCATTGGACAATATTTATTATAAATATAATTATAAGCGTAAAGATTAAATAAACAGTTTGTTGATAACATAATATTAAATAAAATAACTTATTCATCTTAATTTTGATAGCTTATTAAAGATATAATTACACAAGATAAGAAAATTTCATTTATATGACCAATAATATTATGAATATAGATTTTTATAATTAGTAAATAAAATTCTAATTTTTTTTGAAGACTTATCAACTTTGTTTATTTCTCGGCGAACACAATCTCTCTAAAAGCTCTTTTTATTTCCTATTTTTAATTAATTGTATTTAATCTACTATGATAACTATCTCATTTTTATTTTCTCTTTTACAGAAACTTAAGGTGCCTTAAGAAAATCATTTGTTCTAAATTCCTAAGGTATTTTATCATATGATCTCAAATTAGCCAAATGATTATGTTTTTTTGAACTTGAAAATTATCCCCCTTCATTTATTCTAAGCTTCTTAAATAAAAGTACTTAATATAAAAATCTCTTCCAGTTCCATCTCCTTAATAATGTTAGAATTTTGGAGAAAGTTATGGTAATCCTTTACTTTAATTTTCACCACTTAAAAAACGTCTTCTATCATAATATCCTTCCTCATGTACTTAAGTGTTTTTAGCTAATCCACCATTATAATAAACAACATAATAATCCCTTCCTTTAAAATATGATTATATTACTAAACCTGTTCCATTAGAAACATAATTAGTGAAATTTCTAGGACTAACACAAGAAGGTAACTGATTAGTTTACATATTAATTAATTGAAAATATATAGTATTTAAGTATTTAGTATAATTAAATTGATAATTTTTTATTTTAATAATATATCAATGACCCATAGATTATTATTCTGCTTCTAAGGCTCCATATTTTTTTAATTCTTCTGCTTATTTTTTTAACTCTTATATTTTTTGAGCCAAAGCTCTTCCTTTTCTACATAATAATATTATAATGATAAAAATAACAATCTATATATAAATAAATATATTAATTACAGCAACAGATACACAGACTCCAATGATTAAATAATTTGAATCAGATTCTAATAATGGTCCTGAAGCTTAGATAAAAAGATACTGAGTAATTTAACATTATTCAAATAAATCTCTATTCGTATGATTTTCACATTTAGATGAATTAGCTTTTATAGTATAATTTTATGAAGTTCCATATTAAAATCTACAAATAATAACAGGATTATAATCATCAAATCTCCAGATATGTAATGAACCTTTAGATAAACCAATATAATAAGATGTTTCAACAAATTGAGTTTAAAAAGTTTGATTCATTTCTAAATACTCAAAACGAATAAGTTCATCTTCAAAAAAAGTTTTAACAAGATCAGTATTATTTTTCATAAATCCATTAAAAATAGAATGTCTAACAACCAAATGTACATCTTCTCCAATAATAATTGCATAATCATCATCAATTTAAATATCTCTAAATGAGAAATCATCAACATATATTCTATTTATGTAATATTCTTTTGAAATTGGTAATATAAATATTTCCATCATATATTCAATATTATTTGGTGTTTCTGCAACTAATAAATAAGTATTTTCACTATGATCAAATGCAACACATCTTTAATAAGGAAGAGTGAGTAATAAGGATACTTAATTATCAATTATATCATAAATATACAGTCCTGTATGTTCATCTAAAATGCTTAATCTATTTTTAGTTAATTTTAAAGATATTATGTTTATTGATGTTTAATTCAAATCTTAAGAGCTAATTCTTAAAAGTTATGAGAGTTGATTATTTTAAAATAGATATAAATCAACTCCTGCATTTCCATTAGCTATAGCAAGATATCGATCAAAAACACTTACTTTATTCAAATCTTTGTTTTGTAATATTACTGGTTCAGCTTTAAGAATAGGCTACTCTATTTCTGAATTTCTGTCTAACCATATTCCTCCATAATTTGATAAAATTAAACATTTCTCTTAATTCTCATTAAAACAGGCAAAATAAGCATTTGTATAATTTATTTATTATGGGTAGAATGTTTTCAAAGAATAAGAAATGTTTTTAACTTCCACTCTCCATTAAGGTTATTGAGTATTATTATATTATAATGTTGCTTATCGTAATTCTAATTCATCTGTTAATAAAAATATCCTGAATAGATACAAAATTGTTACTTTTTAAATTAAGGTAAAGATAATATATCCGTATAATATATATCTAACGTATTATCCAATAGATTGACACTTAGTATTTCATTCAATTTCGGATGCTTTGGTAATCCAACACAATCTAATGATAGCTGTCCATATCCTACCATTATCTAATTATTGTTCATCAAGATACTAATTATCTAAACTTAGGAATGGTGTTTCTATTTACTGGCCTAGACCTTTTTCATCATTTCTAAATACATCCACATCATAAATTGTAGGATTGCTAATATATTTATAATTATTGATTATACTTTAACAATTTTACATGAGCTTCTTATGTTGCAAATTTAAATGTTAATAGTTCTTCATTAACTGAATATGTGTAGTTTGGATGATTACGAATTCTATTTGTTTATAAGGTATTTTCAATGAGAAATGAGGCAATAAAGCCTATTTAAATTAAATACATTAATTTTTATTTATTAATGAGATTTGTTCAAAAAATTAAATTATTTCATTCTTACTTTTTTTTTTATTTGAACTTCTATTTGTATTTCGTTAAAATCAAAAGACAGAATCAAAATTAATCCATAATTTAACATATTTCTTATAATTTTTTGAAATTGAAAATATAAATGGATATATGAATTCATATTATTATTTTTTCAAAATTAACTCATAATCTATATCAGAAATGGCAGTTCTTTAAAAGGTGTAGAGAATGCTTTTTAATGAATAAAATTTTATTAAAATATTAATCATTATAATTCTTATAATAATTTTCATTTTTTCTTATTCTCTAGTTTCCAATCTTCCCAAGAACCGTCATACAAGATTTGCCTAAGTTTGATTAATTTATTTACTATTTAGTTTTTAAAATCTCTTAAGCAATTGAAGCAATACAAGCCAATTTTCCTGTTTAACAAGTATTTATGATTCTAGTTTTATTTATATCAACTCCATTCTTTTCATATAATTGTTTTAATTCTTCATCAGATTTTAATGTTTTATCTTCATTCAAATACTCTGAAAATTCTATATTGATAGATCCAGGTATTGATCCTTTTTTAAAACGAATAGCATCTCTTGTGTCTACAATTGCCCAATCATTTCCTTTTGGATCTTTTGAATTTTTTAACTAAGAAATTGTTGATACTTCTGAAGTACTCATTACTCTTCCTTAAAATCTGGGTTGATCCTCTATATATTTGAAAATATTATTTACAAATTTTGTGTTCCTAAAATTCCCCTGGTTAATGATTCAACCATTTTGAATATCCTCCATCTAAAACAAATACTCTTTTGAATCCAAAATATCTAAATGTAAACCAAGCTCTTGCAGCAAAGTGAATGTGTTCATCAAAGAAAATAATTGGAGTTTACACATCAAATTAATTGTCTCTTACAAATTGATCAAACAATTATTATTATGGTAATAATCTAGCTGCTGGCTTTAATGAAGCAGTGATATCACATAAATTAACTACAGATTAGTTACTTCATATTAGAAATAGAAATATACTCACACAACTTCTAAGACATTTCTATATTGCCTTCCTTTGTTAGAGGTTAGTCTGTCATGATGACATTGGCTACTCTGATTTTCGCTTATTGTTTTAGTAAATATCCAAGAAATGGTGCAGAAATCAAGGATCCACGCATAATTAAAATTAACAATTTTAGAGAATATCATATTTGATTTTAATCGTATTCTGCTAATTGACCATACTTCTTCATTTCTTTTAACTAATATCTATTATCTTCTAATTCTCTCAATAATCTTTTCCATCTTACACATACACATATACAAATTATACATAATACAATCTAATTAATAATAATAAATAAATAATACTCCCAAAAAAATAAGAATAAATACTAAAATTGTAAAAGTATCTGAATAAAACAATGGTCCAGAAACTAAAACATTAATTTTCTATTCTGCTTAACATTATTAATAAAGACTATCTCTTTTTAAATTCTCATCACATGATGTAGAGTTTAATTTAATTATTATTTCATGTTCTGATCTTTCATCAAAACTACATAATAGAAATGCATGATAATCCATAAATTTCCATACATGAATAGATTAACGAGATAATCCAACATAATAAAATGTTTCTTTAAATCTTCTTTCTGCAGGTTCACTTGATTTACTATATAATTCAAAACGAATTAATTAATTTTCAAAAAATGTTCTTACTAATTCTTTATTATATTTTACAAATCCATTAAATATTGAATGTTTTATAATTAGATGTGCTTCTTCTCCAATTAAAAATGCATAATTTGGATTAATCTATAAATCTCTATAAGTGAAATCATCAACGAAAACTCTATTCATAAAATAAGATTTATCATTTAAATCTATAAAGATTTCCATAACATATTCAATATTATTTGGTGTTTAAGCAACTACTAAAACTGTATTTTCATATACTTCAAATGCTACAGTTCTAGGTATATGTATATCCATTATTAAAGTTGGTTTTCTTACATTAGAAATATTGAAAATAAATAATCCTTATGTATTATCTAAGCAAAACAATTTATTATCAATTATTTTCACTCCAATAATGTTTATAGTAACATCAAAATATTACTTAGAAATTGTCAGTAAATGTAATATACTTCTTTTATATATGTCTTAATGATCTTATTCATAACTATATAGATCTACACCCTCATCTCCTACAGCAACAGCTAAGTATTCTCCAAATGTAGAAACTTTGTTAACAACCTTTCTTTATAAAATTCTTTATTCAGGATAAGGTTCAATTGGTAAATCATTTGAATCGAAATCTGAAAATTTAGAAACCCAAAATCCACCAAAAGGAGTTATTATCAAACAATTCAGATGTTTCTATTTAATCATATATCTAAATAATTTACTTTTGGACAACTGAATAAAGCGTTGGCTTTAATTGTTGGATTCAACAATTTTAATTGCTTTTTCAAATCAAAAACACTTTATGATTCCTAAGCAATCCAACCAGAATCACTACAACGCAACTTTACCTATATAAGTTATAGTTCTTGTGTCATTAAAAACAAATTCGAATATTCTGATAAAGTCACCATATCTGTGTAATAGGAATCTTCTGTAGCATCTTTGATTTTATATTATAAAATCTCTTTTAATTAAGGATGTTTAGGAAAACCTACACATTCTAAAATTTGATTAATTCATTACAATTTCTCACTTCTAACAATTCAACATCTTTATTATCTAATGATAAGTATGGTGTCTGAATAGGATCATCTGATTCTGAATCATCAAATACATCAACATCATAAGCAGTTGTCAAACTTTTAATATTTCAAGATTTCTACTTAAGGACATAGACTGTTTGCTTTTTATGAGCCAACTTTATTGTGTCTTCTTCAATTTCGTGATTAATTGTATATGATTCTTTTGTTCGGATTCTTGTTGATTGAAAACTTAGCTAAATGAAAATCAAGAATAACACTTTATAACTCATTTCAATTAATTGTATTTTAATACTTATGAACAACCCCTAATAGATTTAAAATCTTTAACTTATATAATATATATCATTATATTTTCATTGGTTATAAACAACCACTCTAATTTTGGAATACGGAATTTAAATCATTTAATTTCCGCTAATATCCAAGGTAAGTTATTTAAGTTTTATAATTTATTAGGCCGAATTAATTATATTCTTTTAGGCTTAATCAGATATTATGCATTTCTTGAGATTAAGTACCAATATTTATAAGTTTTAGAATTCAACTAAGCTTTACATCATTTTATCAATTAAATCATCTGGTATAGTTTAAGGAGATACATTAATATGCAATTGTATCACAAACTCTCTTTTAATTCTTTCCAAATTAAATAGAAACATTTATTGCACAATATTTCTATCGATGTTTAAAAAAACAATATATTTTTTATCTGAAGTTTTCTCCTTAAACTATTTATCTAAGTCTTCTAATTATTATTGAGATATTGATGAAATCTAATAGATAATATAAAATTTATACTTATATTCGTTCAATTGATCTCCCAGACTTGAATTATATTAGATTCATAGGCATCAATTATTAAGCAGGAATAATTAAATCATTAATAGAAAATCGATCATTTTGATTACGTTACAACATATTCTTTAATAAAATAGCTAATTTTTCCCTAATTTTATTAAATTTATACCCATATTTTGATTATATTAGTTTTATTTTATTATCAATATCTTCAATTAATATTAAATGTATTGGTAAAGTGAGTGATGCCATTGATAAAATCACAATTCCAATCTACCAAACATCAGTTTTTATATGAGAATTCAAATTATTCTTAATACTGTAACCACCAGCAGATCCACATAATTCTGGTGGATTTAAAGCCTTATATGGATTGGGATCATTATCATTTTTTAATCTATATTTTTTTTTGTATGTATATACAGGTGACAAACCTCCAACTTTAAATCCTGTTTTTTCATCATAATAGAAATTGGTAACAGAAAATTACTTTTAAAAGATTTATAAAAATTGGAAATATTAAGCTACATTTATCAATGCAATTAAAGCCTCTACTATTGTTTCTAATTTAAAATAATCTTATTTTTCTTATCTCTTTTCAATTATTTTATTCATTGGATATTACACATATTCTTCAATAGCATAAATAATATCATAAGATGAGTCTATTCCAATTTCTAATGCATTATAAATTGTCTTTTTTTATTTTCTCTAAAAATATTGTTTCTTTTTTATTATTTGCCCAATCTCATGACATTTCACTAAATAAGTATAATCAGTTATTAACAATTAAGTTCTTTTGTAATTTTCATAATCTTTTTTTGCCGCATCATTTGAAGGCATCAAGAATTAATGTACAACCTTCTCTTGCTTTTCAGATTTTACAAGAAATACTTTATTGAATTTCCCTTTCTTTATTGTTTATTTTTTTATGTGCAAATTGTAAAATATATCTTTATTTATGTTTGAAAATCTTAATTATTGATTTCTCTAAGGATCATATGTATTTTACACAAAATAATTTATTGCTTCATTTTTGAATGGTGGATTCCTTAAATTTAGAACAATTTTTTGTACTTGTTGATCCCAGATAAATAGTTCTACACAGCTTCTTTGTTCTCTATTAATTCTTCTCTACTATCATTACTCTAAAACCAAGAAACAAATAATGATTTCTCAGGAAATTATGGCAACTATTAACAAAAATATTAATTCTCATTTACCTGTGATTAATAATTTTCATTAGATAGATTTTTATGCAATTGATTCAAATCTTAAAATCTTACACATACATCACGATAGCAACTATTGTAATTATTTGTTATTCTTAGTTTGTAATACCACTTATTCTCAAATGCATCGATATCAATTATATGTATATAATATTACATATTTATTAAAATAATCAATTAAAATTAACAATAATTTCTAAAATCAAAATTTCTAATATTTCAATCTATATTTTCATGTCTATTAAACAATTAAAGATTTACCTATAAATTTAATTATAAGATAATTTTCCTAATTAAAACTAGTGATTGTATTCTAAATGGTGATTATTAAATTAAGTTAGAAATTTAATTATTTCTAGAATTATTTATATAATTTTTGACTTCTAAAATTTTATAATCTTAACTGATGTTAAAAAATCCCTCAACTTTAAATATTGGGTATCAATTAAAAAGATTAATTTGAAATTTCTTTACTTTATTAAAATATATAATTGGATTTGCATTTAATATTCTATTGGCTTTTTCTTTGCCATACGAATGAAAATAAAATTTCACTCAGAAACTATTAGAAATTTAAAAAGTTGGAATTACAAAATAATTAAATATTTTAATTCTCTTAATTTAGAAAGTTAGATTATTAGATTGGAATAAAGTATGTAATCTAATGAGATTAATATGCATTTGAATACATTTTGTTTGTTATAATTATGAATTGTTACTTATTGTTTTAATATATAAATTATATGTATTTATAAATATAGATTAGAATATCAAGGGGATGAAAAATGATTAATTGATAAAATGAAAAAGTTAAGATATAAATATTGATTGATATTATTTAAACCAGATGCATGAATTTGATACAAAATAAGGCAAACTATTCTATACAGTGTATATGATGCATCAATAAAGATAGATTGATACAAAATAGAAGGGGAAATTAAAAGGTATTTAAAAGTATGTATATAGAATTGTAGACTTGATAATTTAAAAACATCCATCTTTGAATAAAATAGAAACTGATAACACTACAATAGCTAGACGTAGTTTGCTTAATCTTGCTAAAATAGAAGGAATAGAGGAAAAAGAAAAAGAAAAAGATTAAGATAAAGAGGAAGTAGAAAAGAATCGACCTATAAGAATACAACCAATTTTAACAAACAGTAAATACAAATAAAGTAGATCATAGATGTCATCTCCTTTACATAAATGAATGTAAATAAATATTTATCATTACCAATGGTCTAAATCTTCTAATTCTGGTTTCATTTATTATTATAACTAAATTGATTATTTATTTTATTCACCACCTTATTGTCTGATAGTAACTTTATGTTCTGCAACTGGCTCTTTTCTAAGAGGAAGTATTGCATTGTTTAATAATATATGTGGGAAATATTTATATTGCCAAAATTTTACTGTGTTATCTTTGCTACTTGTGATTAAGATTCCTATGGAATCAAATAATTGTATTTTAGTGATTTCTTTATTATGAGCTTCAAGTGAATATAAATATTTCATATTAGTAGATTCTAAAATGACAACACAATTTCCATAATTAACATATACTTCTTTTGTGCTAATAGAAAATTGTACAACTTTATTTGGAATTGTTTTGAGTAAAGTAATTTGAGTAGTACTTTTTTCCTTTCCTTATTTACCAACTTGAAATACACTTAAATAACCTTCTTTGCTTCCACAGATAAGATAATTTTTAATTGGACAATATTGAATGGATGTCAATTACATTACAATATCTTATTTAATCTAATGAACAGCGTGTAATGGACCATTTTCAAAGGAAAATACATAAATACTTCCTATATTATCTCCAACAAATAAACGATATTAATTGGTTGTTAAACAAGTTAATTCATTTACAAATTCCTTTTCTATTATTTAATTAATCACATTACCTTTCAAAATACTACTAGGATTAGCTAAATCTGTTGTTATTAAACATTTATCTCTACTTATACTATAACAATGACCTGTTAAACTATTAAATGCTATCCCATTAACTGATTAAGTATGTTTATGAATATAACAAAACTCTGAATATTCTTAATACTTTTTATTAGTAGCTATTCTTAAACATATTATATGACCATCATCAAAACCAATACCTAAAATAGTTAATTTTTCATCCCATTTTATCATTGTTCCTCTTTCTTAATATTAAATTGTCCATAATGTTTATGTAATTGGATCCTCATTATTATCAACATCTAATCTATAACCAATTAATTATGAATGAAATGAAGGTTTTAATGATTTTCCAAATATTCCCATTAATCCCTACATTTTACTAGCTATAGAATCATCAGTTGTCAATACATAACAAACTTATGTATCTGGTTCATAAAAAAAGTCTTAGACTGGGAATGAATGTCCATAATTAAATTTTAATATACAATCTGGCTAATTTAACCATTTTTTATCTAACACTTAACCTAGCTAAACAGTTTTAATCTTATTGCTTACATTACAAAAATTATAGAAACTTTCACTTCCTAATACATCACATCTCCAAACTAAAGCTCCAAACCATTTCTCCAAATCTACTCTCCTTTTTTCTGTATCAAATCCATTTGGTTTAAATCCAAATAATCCAATCCCTGGTAATTAAGGTAAATCAGGGCATTATTAAGATAATGTCTTAAAAAAAGTAAGACAATTCTCATATGTATATTCAAAGTCAACTCTTTTGAAAGGCTCCACCAATGTGAATTATAATACAATCCTATAATAAATATGACCATCCGATTTCTCTTTATAACCTGGTACTTTGAACTATGTCATTTTATTTATCATACTTTTAAATGAGCACCTAAATATTCAATTCCATTCAGTGTTTCCAAACTCATAATCAAATAATATATATTTAAACACAATAATATTCAATAATTATTAATCTCAATTAAGAAAATATATTAAATAACAATCTTCTCATATTTACATCTTAATGATCATTTTATTAATATGTAATGAAAACTACTAACTGGAAAAAAATTTAAGAAACTAATTCTTATTAAAACTGAGAAAATATATCTGATTTTTATTTAAATAAATAATTAAAATACATTAGAAAAAAAATGATAAAACTTGACTTAAATAAAAATTTAACTTTGTTATAAAACTATTAAATTTTTAAAATTAAAAGTATAGATTTATTAAACTCAATATTTTTTCACAAACTTACCTAAATTATTCAATTCCTCTAAATTTTCTGCAATTACTTTTTTCACAAAAGCAATTAAAATATCATATCTGATTTTAACTTGCTTTTTTTAGGATAAAATTGATTTAGATGAAGAACTTTAGAGTTTTTTTGTTTGTATTTTAAATCCTAAACCTTTATAGCCATCATATTGAAATGTAGGAATTTATTTAGGAGTGAAATTCAAATTCAAAGATTCAATTTTATCTAAAGTTGATTTTTATTTAAACAATAAATACTAAGTTTATCTTTTATTAAATTATTCTTTTGTAATTTTCGATTGAACTATAGTCTATTCAGTTTCTATATAATTTATTAATGGTTCTAAGTACCTCCCATTACCAATACCACCAAAAACTGCAATTTTTGAATTTAATAATACAGAAGTGTGAGCACATCTTGGAAGATTATTACCTTCCATTTAAACTTCTTACCATATATTGAGATGTGGATAGAAAACATAACAATTATTAGATTCTAAAGAACCATTAATTAATTCATCCCTTTATCCTCCCAAAATGACAATTCCTTACAACTTTTTAATATACTCCATAGTATGATTATGAGAAGGAAGAGGAGGCTTTCCTCCTACTTGAATAGTTTCCCAAGCAATGGGAGTAGTTGTATTAGGATAAAATATAAGTTTCTTAATAGTATTAGTAGAATCTCCTTTTTAATCTTTTCCTCCAAAAGAATAAATGATTTCTACTGGTATTAAATCAGTTGTAGTATCATTGAATTTAGTAGATTGTGATATATTAATAATAGAATGACAACAAATAGGTGTAGATTTAACGTCCCATAATTTCCATATCATTTTTTCAATATTATATAAAGCTGTATCGGATAAGACCTATTCATTACTGTTGATTCCTCCATAAATAAGCATCCATTTCCATCCATATATACATGCCTTATGATGTCTTCTAGGTTCTATATAATCTCCTTATGTATTTATCTTCTCCCAAAATCTAGTAGTAACATTATAATCATAAACAGTATTAAAACATTCTCTTATCTTTAATTTTATATTAAATTTGCAAGCTCCACCAAATAATATGAAATGATTTCTTAATGAAATAATTGTATGAGCAGCTCTACCATTCTTAGGCTTCTCACCTTAAGTTTCAACAGTGTGCCATTCCTAATATCCTAATTATTTTATTTATTTACTTAAATCAAATCTTAACATTTCATCTCTTATTCCATCACCTGCTATCCCTCCATATAAATATAAAGATTCTCCAAAAAATGTCATTGTTCCACTTTCTGTAAATGATGGTCGAAAACTCTTTACATTTCTATAAAACTCTTAAATTTCAATATAAAATGCTAATTATGGTGGGTGATCAATTTCATCCTCAAAAGTTGGTAATTCAAAATTAGGCATTTAATAAACTATTTCATTATTTTTATTTACTTTTTGCTCCTTCTTTCAAGTTTACTACTTTCTTTGGTGAATGATCTCTCCTTTTTAATTTTTAAACTATTCGAATTTTTTGTTTTTTTTAATTTCCATTTATCAATGCATTACCAATAACTTCTTAATGTCTCTCTGTTAATTATGATATTATTTATTCACGTTGTACTTTATTATGAGTTAACTACAACATTAATCTAGCTCGAGGTGATGGAATTCTCTATATTGAATTTGAAAATGCCTTTCTAAACCTACTTTTTTATCGTACGCTTTAGCCATTTCTGTAAATGTCTTAAATAATGCACGTTAAGTCACAGGTGTTGTCAGTAATGTACGTTCTGATTGGAGTATTTCGATCTATGGTGCTGAACACAAAGATGAAGATCTTAAATGCATAAATATTAATTTTATCAATTATTTATTCTCTAAATAAATACTCAATAAGTATATTTATTATAATCCCATTACTTAATTATTCCATTAAAAACCTTTTAATTTCGTCTTTATTGTAATCTTACTCTTATTTCTTTGATCTTACTTTTTTATTTTCAATTAACTTTTTATAAATATTAAAAACAATCATACACTTATAATGATAAGACCATTCATTTCAATTTAAATACTAATTAAATAAATAATCGCTTTGTGAACATCTAAATTATAATTTAAATAAGCTTATTAATAGTAAATATATGAGAAGAAACCTAATAATGTTGATTATTTAATCAAAATATATATAGAATTAATTTTAAAATGTCATAACATAAAGATTATAAGTTTATTCCATTAAAAGATTTGTTAAGCATCTACAATTAATATAACATCCTTAAATTACAATATGATGATGATTAATTTAATATCAAATAAAATTAATAAGAAATTACTAAAAAATTAGAGAAAAATATCTTGATTTGTAAAAACTAACAATATCAATAGAAACAAATTGTTTATAATTAATTATAATAGAGAAGAATGAGTTCTCATTGAATAGATAATTTAAATTTTAAAGATAACTTTATTATATACTAAAAAACTTAAAAATTCTTTAATAGTAGGAATATTAACAAAAAATCGAATTAAAAATAAATGTAAATTTTGAGTTAATTAGAAAATTAATAAGGTAAAAATTTAGGTATATTAGTTTCACCCAAGATTGTCTGTAAAGATTAATTTGAATAAATCCCATAAATTTTTTAAAAACAGCGTTTAAGTTTATCTAATAAGTAATACAAGAAATTCTAATGAAATAAATGTAATTTAAACTCACAACAGATAACTAAATTGAACAATAATCGAAATAATGAAAATTTCTAAAAAGGAAATAAACTATTTTATCATTCTTATTCATTTGCTCCCTTAATGAGCATATCAGTAAATTCTTATAAAGTTACAACTCCATCTCCATTAAGATCTAGTTCACCAAAAACATTACTCCATTGATTATCACTCAATTATACTCCACCCATAATATCTTAGAGTTCTTATTTACTGATTAGACCATTTCCATCTTTGTCAAATAATTTAAAAGCTTTTTCTAGCTTGTTTTATGCCATAATTTATTCTTTTTTTGCAAAAGCAATTACAAATTCTGTATAATCAATTTAATTAGATCCATTAACATCTGCTTATTCAAATAGGTGATCAACTATTTAATGACATTTTAGTTCATCATTATAGATTTCCCTATAACATTAAAGTAATTCCTCTTTACTTAAAGTACCATCATGGTTTACATCAATTTTCTTAAATTATTTTTACAATTTCTTTTTTTCTTAATTTGTCATAACTTAAGTCGTGATTAATTACATAATAGCAACTTTTAATTTACTATAACTCTAATTTTTATTTTTAAAATAAGTTACATGAAATTTAGCTAAGTTTTCAAGTGATTTATGATTTATTTTTTTTTCTTTTTATGTCATTTTAATCCATTCATGTTATAAAGCATCATGAGCTGATATTCTTTTTTCAGGATCAGTTATTAACATTTTCTTTATTAAATCTTTAGCATCCATTGATATTTCATTCCATTCAGGTTCTATTATAAATATAATTATATTTTAATTACCATCAAAGGAGTAAACACCTGCTTAAATTCTTTAATATAATTCTTATTAAGATTATCCATTAAATGGAGGATATCCACATAACATGATAAATAATATAACACCACAAGACCAAACATCACATTTTTTATCATATTATTTACTAATAACTTCAGGTGCTATATAATAAGGCTAATCTAAATATTTATATTACCGTTCCTATTCTTTACGATAATTTTGTACTGTCTAATAATTCTTTTGCTGTACCAAAATCAATTATTTTTAAGCTTGAATTAGTTTTTCTTGATTCAAATATTATATTCTCAGGTTTCAGATCACTAAAATAAATCCATAGAAATTACCGATGTACCACATTTCTATTATGACAATAATTAACAGCCTCCAAAATTTTTCTCATATATCCTGCTGCTATGGTTTCATCAAAGTGATCTATTTCATTTATTTTTTCAAATAATTCTCCTCCACTTAGATATCTTGTGCCTGATACAATTTCAAAATTACTCTGTAATTATGTAAACATATTATTCATCTTCATATAATTCATAAACACTAACAATGTTAGGATGATCTAATTCTTTTAGAATAGACACTTCTTGAATCATGTTATCTTTTTATTCAATTTTATCTTTTCGGATTTGTTTCATAGCTCTAGGTAATCCAGTTACTTTTTAAGTCACTAAACTGACTTTTCCATAAGAACCTTTATTAGATTTTTAAACTCTTCTATACCCTCTCCTAAAGTTTAATCAATTCTATAATAGTTTAATATATCCCCTTTCTTCAATGTCACAAAAATAGAAGGATTCACTTTGAATTATGTTTTTTAAGTAGTTAGTACTTTTTTATCTTTGTGTTATCCATTTTCAACACTTTTTGGATTTCCTTCAGGTTATTTTTTGTCTTAGTCTTTTTATGCATTTTTCTAGCTTTTAGGTCCTTTTCCTCCACATACACCCATTAACAATAATATAATAAATTAATTTATATTATTACACATTTGAGAGATCATCACTATCCCATTTCTAAACTTATACCAATATAAACAATTTATTTAAACATTTTTTTTCGATTCAATGTTGAAATTACTTAGCTCTTACTTAATCTCTTTATTTCGGAATAAGTTTATACCGTTTTTATTTATATATTATTAATATTAACATGAAGGTATTCGGAATTATAGCATTGTTGTTAATTACAACTTACTGTTAATCCAATGAAATAGATGTTGTATTAAAAATGTTAGCAGATTTGAAAAATGGAACTTCAAAATAGCTAGAACAACTTGAGGCTGATTGGAGTGCCACTAGATATGTATGAATATTATGGAAAGTATAAGACAAAACAAGACATAGTGAATGATTTGATGAGATCTGCTTCTACTTAAAGAGGAGAATGTAATCGAAGAGACCAAGAATGGGCTAACAAAGAGAGAGATATTAGAATTACTCTAAGCTATATAAGTTGGTTAGAGAAAAGAATCAAAGAGAATAATGAAAGACTATAAAGATTAGATATCAATAGATGCGAGTCTAATTCTAATTTCATTAACGATATCAAAAATAGCAAGAAAACTTTGAATTTAATAGCTTTTCTTAGAAGAGCTATTAAAAATGCTAAAGAAGTAAATAATAAACATAATCCTATAGACTGACTTACCAACATTATTATAATCTGCCTAATTCATATAACTAAAATCATATTTAGCTGATGATGAAGATGAAGCAGAAGTGACTTCTGAAACAAACGAACCTCCTCATGTTTATGAAGATGCAGAAGTCGTTGAAGATGACACTTAAGAGGATACTTAAGAGGAAACCTAAGATGTTGAAGAAACAAATCAAGAAACTACTGAAGATGCAGTAGATGAAACAACAGAAGCAGAAGATCATGAAATTGAATTACATGATTAAATTGAAGAACCTGAGGCTCCTGTTCCTGAACATCCTTTTGAAGATGCTGAAAAGGCTACAAATGAATAATTAGCTAAGGAAGCTGCTGCCTTCAATAAAATTATTGAAAAAGGATAAAAAGCACCTGCTGAATCTGGATCTACTAAGGATTATAGTTAATTCACTGTTGCTTAATAAGAATTACTTAATTTCCTTGATATCCTTGAATCAGAAGTCAGAGGATCTTTTTCAAAAAAATAAGACAATCAAGTTAATTCTGCTATGGGATATAGTGATTTCAAAGGATTAATCTTTAGGGAAAATGAAACATTTAAAGGTCATCTAGTAGCTGAAGATATCAATCTTGTATTTATTAGATTTATAAATAGGAAAAATTATAAAATCAATTGATTACTATTTTACAAGCCACAGCTGCCTGTAAAGAAAGATTAAAGAAAATCCAAAACTCTATTGATTTAGCAAATGAAGTTTTTATTTATTGTAATTTTAGGACTTGAATAATGCTGAAGGTCATTATAAATCAGTAAGTGAAACATTGACAGAAGAGTTAAACACTTTTGATGACGTTTATAGAATTTATTCAAGTTAAGTTGGATCTCAAAGTTAATCATATAAGAGAGATGTTTAAGGCAAAATTACCAATTGATATTAAATATATCAATATATTAATTATGTAATAATCAATTAATTTATGTTGGTGTCATATTTGCAAAAAATAATTTGAATCCACGGTTACATCAGATCTTATGAAATGTGCCTTTTGCTTTTAAGAGTTTTGCGAAATTATTGACCCTTCAAATGATCCACGAGGTTTTATTCCTTATGGAGAAAATTCATAAACAAATTCATCATCAAGACAAACTTAAACACAATAAAGACAATAACCCTAAACTATAATTCATATCACTAGAAATTAAATACCTATTAGATTTTAATAAAGAACAAATTTATTTGATAATCTACTGTAATTAATGTTTCCAAACACTCAATTTCAGCCTGGCCAATCATTAGAACAGCTAATTGATTATATTAGTCAGAATGATCCCAATGTATATGGGTATAAATTTATTATATTAAGATCTCCTCCGGCATCATAAGAAGTTATTGATAAACTTGAAAAAATTAATTTACCATCTGAATGCTGCAGCGTTTGTTAAGAGGAATATCAATAATAATAAGCCTTATAAATGCCTTGTAATCATCATTTTCATCCAGACTGTTTAATCCCTTGGCTAAAATAACATAATAGTTGTCCAGTATGTAGAAGTGAAATAAAAACAGATGATGAGGACTACAATAAGAAAAAAAACTTAAAGTGATTTATTATTTTTTATTATTAACAAACATCATTTCTTCATTTTTTAAACTAAAGGATTCTACAAAACCTTTTAAAAAAATAGTGGTTCTGCTGAACTTCCTGAAAAAGATGAAGAAATCACTTTTGGTGTAATTGATTATCTTCTTAATTTAGTATTCCTACTACCAACTGATAAAGGACGATTCTAGATTTTACTTTCTAATCTATTTTAATTTTACAATTATTAAGATTGTTACTAGAATAATTCTTATTTCTATTTCTAAGTATAATTTTACAAATTATTCTATCCAAAATATTCGAATAAAACTATTTTTATTTACTCACATTTTTTTTAAAGTAAGAAATATTAGTTTAATTTATCATTTTCTGTTATATTTGCTGCCTATATGTTAGATATTTAAAATTTAAAAGAAGATTCTAAAATATCTATTTATTTTAGATAAAGTTCTTTAAATTTTTCTTATATGTCNAAAGAAAGATTAAAGAAAATCCAAAACTCTATTGATTTAGCAAATGAAGTTTTTATTTATTGTAATTTTAGGACTTGAATAATGCTGAAGGTCATTATAAATCAGTAAGTGAAACATTGACAGAAGAGTTAAACACTTTTGATGACGTTTATAGAATTTATTCAAGTTAAGTTGGATCTCAAAGTTAATCATATAAGAGAGATGTTTAAGGCAAAATTACCAATTGATATTAAATATATCAATATATTAATTATGTAATAATCAATTAATTTATGTTGGTGTCATATTTGCAAAAAATAATTTGAATCCACGGTTACATCAGATCTTATGAAATGTGCCTTTTGCTTTTAAGAGTTTTGCGAAATTATTGACCCTTCAAATGATCCACGAGGTTTTATTCCTTATGGAGAAAATTCATAAACAAATTCATCATCAAGACAAACTTAAACACAATAAAGACAATAACCCTAAACTATAATTCATATCACTAGAAATTAAATACCTATTAGATTTTAATAAAGAACAAATTTATTTGATAATCTACTGTAATTAATGTTTCCAAACACTCAATTTCAGCCTGGCCAATCATTAGAACAGCTAATTGATTATATTAGTCAGAATGATCCCAATGTATATGGGTATAAATTTATTATATTAAGATCTCCTCCGGCATCATAAGAAGTTATTGATAAACTTGAAAAAATTAATTTACCATCTGAATGCTGCAGCGTTTGTTAAGAGGAATATCAATAATAATAAGCCTTATAAATGCCTTGTAATCATCATTTTCATCCAGACTGTTTAATCCCTTGGCTAAAATAACATAATAGTTGTCCAGTATGTAGAAGTGAAATAAAAACAGATGATGAGGACTACAATAAGAAAAAAAACTTAAAGTGATTTATTATTTTTTATTATTAACAAACATCATTTCTTCATTTTTTAAACTAAAGGATTCTACAAAACCTTTTAAAAAAATAGTGGTTCTGCTGAACTTCCTGAAAAAGATGAAGAAATCACTTTTGGTGTAATTGATTATCTTCTTAATTTAGTATTCCTACTACCAACTGATAAAGGACGATTCTAGATTTTACTTTCTAATCTATTTTAATTTTACAATTATTAAGATTGTTACTAGAATAATTCTTATTTCTATTTCTAAGTATAATTTTACAAATTATTCTATCCAAAATATTCGAATAAAACTATTTTTATTTACTCACATTTTTTTTAAAGTAAGAAATATTAGTTTAATTTATCATTTTCTGTTATATTTGCTGCCTATATGTTAGATATTTAAAATTTAAAAGAAGATTCTAAAATATCTATTTATTTTAGATAAAGTTCTTTAAATTTTTCTTATATGTCTTATACAGCTGAATTCACTTTCATCATAGCTTATGGATTATCCAACATTTATATTACTTCTGATTTACTCATAAATGAGCCCATAGACATTTCAAATTAACTAAATTTCTAAATTTGAATTTGAAAACTTTGATTAATTTTATTTTTTAATTAATCTAACATTAATCCAAATTTTTCATCTATATCTACAATTTCTAATGATAATTTATCATATATTTCTTTATTAAATAAACTTCTAATATTATCCTCTGTTTCATTAATTCTTTATAAAAGTTAAGCACCTTTTATTAATTAATATTTTACCTTGAATCTTAGTTACAACATTATCCTTCATATATTATTAATACTTTTAGAAATCTTCAATTGTCAAATATTAATTTAAGTGATCCTCAAATTTTTTTTCTTTATTTTCCCTTTTTTTCTTTTTTTATTCTTCTTCATCAACTTTTTTCTTTTCGCTTAGAACCTGAATTAATTCATTTAAACCTTTAGAATGATTTTCTAATAATTTGACTCTTTCTTCTACTTCTGTATATTTTTTTATGAATTTCTCGAATTCTCTAGCTTCTAAATGTCTTTGAATTTCAAGTTGAAACAATTCTAATTGATGCAGCTTCTCATGTAGATTATTTATATTATTTGAAATTTATTCTCTAAATGGTTTACTAATATCCTATGCTTGAATTTAATCACAGAACTATCTAACTTAAGATATTATTAATTCTCTAAATCGATTTAATCTTTCTTCAAATTATTATTCAATCTAATGTTGATATTCAAAAACTTAAGTTTGTTTATGTTATTATTTAACTCTTGATGTTATTAAACTTCCTTTCATTTATTAATCATTTGGATAGAACAGCATCCTAGTCTCAATAGATTACATGCTTAAATCTAACATCTATAAAGTTGCATATTCTGATGCTACTTTTGATGTGTATTTAACAAAGTCTTCTAAACAGACTTTTTGATCTATCTACTGTTTAATCTTGTCGAACTGGCTACTCAAGTGATTGTATCTGTCTTAAATCATTTCAATACTGCGGAATTATGACTAGTAGTAGTCATTCTTACTATAATATCGTAATTATTTTCTTTATTTTAAATTGGAACACATTGCTTCGGTTTGATTGACTCTTATTATTCTTCAATTCTCACTAATTTTGAATTTAATCGGTTTATTTCTAAAAGTATATACTAATACTAATTATGCATCTCTCTTTAGAGCTTCTCCATTTATTTATAATTTATAATAAATCAATTATTTTATCCAAACCATGATTAATAATAAATCATTTCTTTACTTTCTTTCTCTTTTTTGGCTTAACATCTTCATCACTACTCTCTTCATTAAAACTAGCCTCACTTTCACTCTCTTCTTAATTAGATTCCTTTAAATATATAATTAATCAATACCCAATTATCTCTGCTAGAATTATCATCTGAATCATCAATATCTTACTAATCATCTAAATTTTACAAATCAGGAACCAATTCAAAAATTATCTTTCTATATTCCTTAAATCTTTTTACTGGATTAAAACACAGATCAAGATGTTATAAATTCTTAAAATTTTTTAAATGATTCAAATCCTTTAATAATATTCATTTATACTTCTATATTTGATATTAAATTATGACTAAGATCTAAATGAGTTATGTTGGGGTACATTGTTGAAATTTTTTATAAACTATCCCCTCTAAGGTAATTGTAGTTCATATTTATTGAAATTAATTTTTCTCCTGGATAATCCAATCCTTCCAAATTACATAAATGACATTTTGTAAAACCTAGATACTCTAATGAAATAATTGCAATAAGATACTTTCATTTGGAAATTTTTAAAGGTATTTATTAATTTCTGGTGTAATTATATTTATCCTTAAATTTGCAAAACTTAAACCATATAATGGATAATCTTTGTATTAACCTCTTTTATGTTAATCATCCATTAATTTTATAAGTTTTGTTATANTTCAAATTATTATTCAATCTAATGTTGATATTCAAAAACTTAAGTTTGTTTATGTTATTATTTAACTCTTGATGTTATTAAACTTCCTTTCATTTATTAATCATTTGGATAGAACAGCATCCTAGTCTCAATAGATTACATGCTTAAATCTAACATCTATAAAGTTGCATATTCTGATGCTACTTTTGATGTGTATTTAACAAAGTCTTCTAAACAGACTTTTTGATCTATCTACTGTTTAATCTTGTCGAACTGGCTACTCAAGTGATTGTATCTGTCTTAAATCATTTCAATACTGCGGAATTATGACTAGTAGTAGTCATTCTTACTATAATATCGTAATTATTTTCTTTATTTTAAATTGGAACACATTGCTTCGGTTTGATTGACTCTTATTATTCTTCAATTCTCACTAATTTTGAATTTAATCGGTTTATTTCTAAAAGTATATACTAATACTAATTATGCATCTCTCTTTAGAGCTTCTCCATTTATTTATAATTTATAATAAATCAATTATTTTATCCAAACCATGATTAATAATAAATCATTTCTTTACTTTCTTTCTCTTTTTTGGCTTAACATCTTCATCACTACTCTCTTCATTAAAACTAGCCTCACTTTCACTCTCTTCTTAATTAGATTCCTTTAAATATATAATTAATCAATACCCAATTATCTCTGCTAGAATTATCATCTGAATCATCAATATCTTACTAATCATCTAAATTTTACAAATCAGGAACCAATTCAAAAATTATCTTTCTATATTCCTTAAATCTTTTTACTGGATTAAAACACAGATCAAGATGTTATAAATTCTTAAAATTTTTTAAATGATTCAAATCCTTTAATAATATTCATTTATACTTCTATATTTGATATTAAATTATGACTAAGATCTAAATGAGTTATGTTGGGGTACATTGTTGAAATTTTTTATAAACTATCCCCTCTAAGGTAATTGTATAGTTCATATTTATTGAAATTAATTTTTCTCCTGGATAATCCAATCCTTCCAAATTACATAAATGACATTTTGTAAAACCTAGATACTCTAATGAAATAATTGCAATAAGATACTTTCATTTGGAAATTTTTAAAGGTATTTATTAATTTCTGGTGTAATTATATTTATCCTTAAATTTGCAAAACTTAAACCATATAATGGATAATCTTTGTATTAACCTCTTTTATGTTAATCATCCATTAATTTTATAAGTTTTGTTATACTTAATTTAGAATTATTATTCTAATTCTTTTTAGTTTATTTTTTTTTCATTTTTTAATAAATAAAAATAAATATAAAAATTAAAATATAGTATTCCTAACATTAAAGTTTAACTATTATATTAGATAATTAATTTATGTGCCTTCAAATCATATCCTAAACTTTACTATTTTCAGTTAATTTTTCTAAGCCTTCTAAAAAAACTTTTATTAATTCTTTGTAATAGTTGTTTATCAGTTTGCGATAAAATAATGATAAAACTTAAAACTTATCTTTAATTTATTTATTTATGAGTTAACATATAGCCAATCAATATTTTTAATATCCTTAAAAAAAAGTTCCAAGTAGAAGAATTAAGACATTATATTCAATAAATGATTCTAATTCGTGTAGAATCAGAAAAGTTATCATACCAAAAAATATTAGTATTGATAAAGAAACACTTTATGAATAATTACATTTAGAAAAATTGAAAACAAAACAGTTAAAATAAGAAAATCAATCCTTGTAAGGAATGATGTAATAATTTGGAAAAGAGATAAACATGATGGATGAATCTGATTAAAGAAAAGTAATTTAATAGAGTTAATTAAGAATAAAATAAAAAGAACAAGAAATTTAATTGCTTAAATAAAATACATAATTCAAAACATAATAAGATTAAAAAATGTAGATTCAAGATTTAAAAAAAGAACTTTTAAAATATTAAATTTTTCAGAAATTTGAGGGTGATTAAAATTAGATAGTTAAAGATAATATAAATTTATTAAATAAGATTGAGATCTAAAATTAATATATCAATGAATTAGAGAAAATTAGGGCTGATTTTATTTAAGTCAAAGCCAAAAATAATTAACTATAATAAGTGATGAAATTAAAAGACTAATAAATATAAAGATATCGTGATAGAGATCCATTATCTGAAATGAATTTGTTGAAACATCAAAGTAAGAATGAAAATATTTTGGTCGATGAACTTTAAATAAAAATGGATGAAATATAACATTTACATACAAAACTTTATTAATATTAATAAATAATTTAAGAAAACCAAAATTCTCTAACTGAATAAAATTATGATTTTAAATAAAAGGTTTAACACTTAGAGGCAGAAAAAAAATCGATCAATGATAAATATGATAAACTTTAAAAGGATTATAATATTTTATTGGAAAGGTAAAAGCAAATAGATTAGTAATTATAATATTTATATAAATAGATATTTATAATAATTTACCAAGAAGAAATTATCAACTTAAACCTTAATTTATGGAGAGGATTAACCATTTTAATCCACTACTTAAGTCATTATTTCTCCATTGATATCTCCACATCATGGAGATAATATTGTTGTTAAGTAAGTCAAAAAATAACAAATTGAATAAACCATTTTAGAATTAAAATTGTCATTAAGAAAAAAGAGAATTTCTTTATAAGATGCAGAACTAGTATATTATTAAATTAATTAGTTAAGATATTATTTTCTTCAGAAGCAGAAATAACTATTAATGATTTAGAAAAATAATTGAGATTAAATCCATTTAATCTTAAAAATAGTACTTTGCTTTCTAGATATATGATTGAAGATTATTTTGAAAAGTAAAATTATAAATTGATTTTAAGAGATTTTGTTTATGATTCTGATTTAAAAGCACCTTAAGCCAAAGTTAGAAGTGTTTTTAGAAACCTTATGCAAAATTACAAACTAAATTTTGACTAAAATATTTAAGATCATGTTGAAATCTGTATTAAAGAAAATCTAATAGATTTTTGCATAAAAAAATCTATGAATAGTTTAAAATTAGAAAACATAAATGAATGCATGTTATCATAAGATCTTTAATGGAATTCCAAACATTCAGATTGTCTTCAATAGTTGTATTATAATAAATACAATAAATATTTAATTTTCGAATTTAATAACCTATTAAAATTATTTGATATTGCATAATGAATTAATAAAAATATAGAAATTAATATCATTCTTTTAAAAATCTACCCTAAACCCAAACTCTATACATTTTGACTTTAGTTTTTCTATTTTCAATATATCTATAATGAGCTTTAATATCCAATTATTTAAATCCAGCTGTTGTAAATAATGATGTTACTTCCTATAAAATAGTAAATAACTTACTTAATTACTAAAATAATAAACTCTCACTCCATCATGTTTAACATAGAAATTATCTTTTAATTTTCTATTTTATTTTTTCGATAAGTTTATTTGTCCAAAATCATATTATCCATAATCTCTAAAATATAGAACACTACCGGGTTTCATCCATTCATATATTTTTCTAACCACAATTAAATGATTTTCTGGAGATATTGCTGATAAGACAAAGATTAATGTTCCTAAATCAGGTCTTTCAAAATCAGGCAATGGATCTAAAACTAAATCACATACACAAGCTTAGTATACTGTTTCATCATATAATTCATTAGTTTTCAAAACATCAATTGCTCGTTTGCTAAAATCAAAACCATAAACTTTTTTAAAGAAAGTATAGTTTTTTTTTAAAGGAAATAAAGCATTACCAACTCCACATCCCATTTCGCAGATTATAAATAATTTTGTTTCATCTTTTTAATGACTTTCTTTAAAATTATTTAATTCAGGTATTTCCCTTTCTAAATAATGTCTATCCTTAAAAAAGTTATTTTGATGATGCCTATAAAATTTATCCCAAATTTTTGATGCTTCCTTTTCATATTTTTCATATTTATCTTAAGGCAATATAGTTTTGTCTTAATTTATTACTTATTCTGCCTATTATTTGATTTCTTCATTAAACTCGTAGTAAATCAAAGGCATTACAGGTTTATTGTATAAGTTTAATCCATTATCAGTCTCATATAAAAGCTTCTAAACTCTTTATTCAAAGTTTTCATCAACTTCTCCTTCTTAAATTATTTCCTCACCATCTGAATCGCCTATTTTTTATTTTTTTTATATGGGATCCATAATTCTTTCACTATTAAAATAATTAATAAAATTATTTGACACATAAATTAAAAATCTCATCCAAGGCTACTCAGACTTTGATAAAAATAAATTTGATAAATTTCACTCATAAAGATGTATCAATTCTCTATATTTTTTCATTTTCTATTGTTAAGAATAAATTTATTTGAAATTACATATAGTAATTAAATAAAATTTAATGGTCAATAACATTTATATTATTTTATTTAAAAATTGAGACTTCTCAATTAAAAACTATATTAAAAATTATTGAATAGAATAGAATTTCTGCCAAATATATTTATTCTATTCATAATTCTACTAAAGTTTTACAAACTGGACAATGTTTGGATCTCTTTAACCATCCTTATAGGCAATCTAGGTGAAATATATGAAAACATGGCAACTATTTATCGGTAGTAAAAGTTTCTTAAGTAAAGGATTCTTGGCATATAACACAGATATCTATAATATTTTCATCTTTATTAATCTAAAAATTTTGCTAAAGCTTATTTATTATCAAATCTTCTGTATAGCCATGATCTTCGTTGATTAATAAGTTTGAGAAATATTAATAAACTTACTCTTAGTTCATTCTTTCAACATCATAATCTGTATATTTTTTATTAACATCAAAATTTTGTAATCCTCTACCTGGATTATAAAAATTATAATCTTCATCATCATCATCATCATCATCATCATCCTCTGATTAACTATTTATGAGCGGACGTTAAACTTACTAATTAAATGGATTTGGTTATATAAATTATTACATTCCAGGAGCAGGAATTTAACGTGGCAATCCTTAGATTGGCAATGAAGCACTAATATTTTAATTAGGAGGTGGTATTATATTACTATTATTCACTGTTTCTGTCTAGAATAAAGGTATTCTAAATTAATTTTATTATTATTATTGTTATTATTATTGTTATTATTATTGTTATTATTATTGTTATTATTATTGTTATTATTATTATTATTATTATTATTATTATTATTATTATTATTATTATTATTATTATTATTATTATTATTATTATTATTATTATTACCATTACTATTATTATTATTACTATTATTATTATTACCATTAAAATTATTGATATGGTATGTTATTTTATGTATTTTGCTATTATTAATTAGAAGAAAAAACGAAGGGCTGTTCCAATTTTTGTGGTTAATTTGGCAGAAATATTTTTTGTTGATTCATAACAGAAAATTAGGTAGAAGGATTAATTTATTGAACTGGTTTTGAAAATTATAACACATTAACATTATTTTTAATTTAAGACATATTTCCAAAATCTTTTTAAGTCTAATTTTAGAATTGCTAAATTGGTTACTAATCTCCTAATTAATTTGAGGCAGGCTTTTAAATTCCTTATTAATAGTTATTTTAATTCTAATTAAAAATTTGTTCATTTTTTAGTTATGAATTATTTGAAAGTTATTGTGATTAATTTAATAGAATTTAGTTTTTTTAAGGAAAAAAACTTTTTGGGGGATTTTAATTAAAAGGAAATTGTTCCTATTTTATTTCGACATTAGATTATGAAGGATCCATTTGAAAATACCTTTAAGGCTATTATTATCCAATTAAATTTTATCCCTATTCATTTAATGATTACTAAAATTGTTAATTACCATTATTTTATTTATCTTAGAATTATTAATTCTTTACAGGTGGTGGAAAATATTATACCTTTATTTTTCCCTAATTGTTGGAGATTCCTTATTAATTTTTTCCAGATATAAATGAAAATGTAGATTTAGAGTCCTAATTCTAACCATTAAAGTTAGCTTAAGATTATTGAAAATTGTTATTGGGAAAAAATTTATTCTAGATGTTTTTATTTTCAAACTAATTTAAAGTTAAGAAAAAATACATTTTTCTTTTATAAACAAGTGGCATCGTGAATTTATTAGCTTTATTTAGCTACATAAATTTGACAGATCTAACATTAATATGTCTCTTGACAATTAGACTTAGGATCCATATTTTAAGATTCAGGTTTTAAACAAATAATAATTAAATTATTAAATATTTTAATTTACAAAATTGATTTGGAAGCAATCCATAGTTTGCAATCATGAAAGTAGAAAGCTCAATATTTAAGGTATTACTTCACTTTTAACAATAAATTCATTTCCAAATAACTTTTCATTAATCCTAATTTGATTTTCTACTATTTAATGATTGGAATCTCATCAATTAAAGTTATTACAAAATACCATAAAATGTTTGATCAAAATAGAGTTATGGAATAATATTACTTTAAAATGAAATGAAATAATATGTTAAATAATTCATTGTTTCTTTAGCTATTATTATTAAAATTATTTTAATAAATGTTTTCTTAATGCTTTGGTTTTTTTTATTCTTTTCTTTATTCTTTTCTTTATTCTATTCTTTATTCTCTTTTTTATTTTTTTTTCATTTAAATTAGTTTAAATTAATGATTATTTATCATCCTCTTGTTCATATAATTTTTCATGTTGATTAACTACCTCTTAAATAACTTTTGATATTTGATGAATTTTTGGCTAAAATTACTGAGTATTTTCATCTGATAGAAAAAGAATTGCCAAAGCTAATTCTAAATGTTGATACTTATAAATTTAAAAATCTATTCTTATTTTATTGGTACCTACTAAGATAAATAGAAAATAAGATTTTATTTTCTCATCCTAAAGATTTAGTCCTATAAGTTCTGCATAATCTGAAGAAGTGATAAAATTCAATTAAAATTACATAGTTTAAAGCAATTATATTTCCATTTCATCGTATTCAAGATCTTAATACATTCCATTTCCATAAGAATCATAAATTTTAGTTTGTCTTCTTATTCCTTTTTAATTGAACTAAAGCAATAAAATAAAAATTAACTTTAGCAGCAAGATTGAAGGCACTTATTCCTAAAAGTTATAATTTTTATTCAGAGATATCCTATACATTAAGAAATATATCAATATAGAGAACAGCTAATTCAATTGTTTTGAGAGAAATCTTTTGTTAAAAAGTATTCTTTTGTATAAAAATTAAATTACTTAGATTAACCATTAAATGAGTAAGTCTCTTTTGGAAACTGTTTCCTAGGCTAATTTATTATAGAATTCAATTGGTTTAGGCTTTATAAATGTAGAGGTTTACTTTTTCTCTAGCATTCAATTCATTTATTAAAAGATAATTTTGCATAATATATTTTATAATAAGGAACCATAGAAGAAATTAAATGTAATTATATTTATATGTATACTAATAATAACAATACAAAATCAGGTGAGAAAGTTGATATAGGTTTGCTTTTGAAAAAATTTAAATAGGCAAACACAAAACTAAGTCCTTTACCATTAGAGTAATTTCAATAAGTAGCCTTTGATAGCAAAATAGAACTACTGTAATTAATGCCTGATTATGATAAATCATTATTTACGAGATTTGAAGAACTTAATTAAGGTGCTGTGAGTGAACTCAAAAGATCATTCTTATAGTCAAAATAAATATGGAATAATTATGGTCATTCATTATTTACTGAGGAACTTGCAGATTAACCAAAATATTATACATCAAGAAAAATGTAAATGATACACAATAGAGATACATTTCGAAAAATAAAAGAACAGTATAAAAAGTAGGAAGAATCATCAATAGAGGAAGTAAAGAAATATTTTAAAAAAATTAAATCTAAAATGCCTGAAATAAAATCTTATCCTTCGTTGTAATATTAAGATTTACAAAAAATGGAATCAATAAGAAGATAAATAAAAATAAGTGGAATGAATGATTAAAATAATAAAAATAAAGATGTTTAAGAAATGTAAATGTAGGTCAGTCAATAAATCAATGAAATAAAAATTAAAAAGCAAATTGTTTATATTTATAAAGATGTATAAATTTAATGGTAACCGTGTTCAAGAAATGGAAGTACAATGCTCTCATATAATCATAATTTATATTTATATGGTGGTGCAGGCGCTAAATAGAATGATGATTTTTGTTGTGCTGTTGTTGATAAAAGTTTAATCTATAAATATTTTAGAAATTTACAAATGGTAATAGATAAAGTTAGAAGATTAACAGCAAAGTGGTTTTAGAAGTAATCATTCAGCTGCAATATATAAAAATTTTATGATAATCTTTGGCGGGGATGTTCATCAAATATCTAACAATAAAAGAATATCTAGTGAAATCACATGTGATATTAAAATAATTAATTTAAGTAAATATATATTTAAATTATTAGTTACTAATGAATTAAAAGTCTTAAAATAAACTGGTATTATACCTCCTCGAAAATCTCATATTGCAGAGGTTATTGGTAGAAGTATGATAGTCCATGGAGGAATTGATATAAAGGGTTAATATCTTAGAGATATAATTGCTTTTGATTTATTAACTTAAAGATGGAATCAAGTTGTAATAGAATAAAATAATTGCTTTCCTGATGGAGTTGCATTCCATAAATCTGCTGCTATTTATTTTAGTAATTAAATTGAACTCTACAAAACTGATAATGAATGTAAATTGAATAACTAAGGTGTATATATATTTGGTGGTTTTGATAAAAATGGTCATTATTTAGATGGACTGATAAGAATCGATACAACAACAAAACCTGTAGGATTTGAATAAGTTTAAACTAAAGGAATGTCTCCAAGTATTACATATAAATTTATTATAGTTGGTCGTTGTTAACATTCAATGAATTATATTGAAAAATATCAATTAATTGTAATATATGGGGGAAAGAATGATGATTTAAATATAAATGGTTTCTTAAATGATATTCATCTTTTAGATATCAAAAATAGAACTTGGATCTCTGTGGATATTAAAGGTAATTAGGTAGCAGGAAGATGTAATCATACTTCTTCTTGTATTGACTCTAAACTTTACATTTTCGGAGGATACAATTATTCAGGATTTGTTAAGAGTGATCTATTAGTAATTGAATTAGATCCAGTTATAGTTTAAAAGTTAGCATAAGAAGATGTTATAACTGAAAAACCATTCAAATAATAAATGAAAGTAACATTCAAAAACGATTTAAAGAAAGATTAATTTTAAGAAATCAAATAATAAATTAACTAGATATGTTTACAACCTTAAAAATAATTAAAATCATTGCATTAATATAGGAGAATTAGTGATATCTTAAGTACATAAAACTTTAAAGAATTTAAAGTTTAATCCTAATAAAATTATAATGAAGAAATATAATCTTAAACAAATCAAAGTTCTGTTGGGCCTGTCTTAAAACATTTGAAAAGAACTATGACTACAATTGTTAATCCATAATGAAAAAATATTTATAGTTTATTAAAAAAAATCTATAGGTTTGCTTATTTTTAGATAACTTTTTCTTATATATTCTATTAGGTATCAATATATTATATCAATATTTATACTTCATTTGCAGGAACTTTAAGATATAATACATTTATTTATTAATTAGTTTATGATCTACTTTTTAAAATATTAATTTTCTTATAAAATTGCATTTAGATATATAATATCAATTTTTAATTTATAATTCAACTTCTTTGTATGGTTTTATTGGCTATTTTAATGTTTAAGGTTTTTTATCCATATTTAAACTTAAATCTATTTATGTAAGTTGAGAAACAAAATTTTTCTATCTGATATATTGTGTATTGAAATCAATAAACTATGGATGATATTTCCAAAATTATAAATTAAATGGATTACCAGCTTTTGTTTTCCAAAGCTATTTGAAGTATTCTTTTGATGTTTACCTTGTAATTAATAAATATAAATGCAAGACTTGAAGACTGAAAATGAAGAAAAATAACTAATTTTTCACCACTGAATAATTACTGGTATTGTATATATAATTAGAATTATCTTGATTATCATTTGATCATATAAAGTTATGGTGCAAATACAAAATATGCATAATTAATCAAACATTCCAAATATTAATAATTAAATATATTATCTAAAACAATTATTCTTTTTTTACCTATAATTATTCTATCCTATACATTATCCTATCCAAGGACAATGATGATCATATTTTAGGATACAATTTCCACATGTATAACAATGAGAACTCCTTGGTGGTCGATAAATATGACAAAATGCACAATATTTTAATTAATGAATTAAATTATCTTTCCATATCATATAATCAGAGCCCATTTAAACAGATGAATATTTTGTAATCTATGGTATTATTAGTAATTCATATTTCAATTCAAAACCAACAATCTAGTTTTATTTATTTTTATTTTACATTTTTTGGAATTATTCCAGGATTTCTACTTAAAACTTAAAATAAAGAGATATTTGTCAATATTATAAAACTTAATAAAATCAATAGTAATAGGCTTGAATTTGTAATCAAACTTAATAATGTAAAATTAGAGGCATTCAATATTAAAAATGAAATAGTAAATCTAATTGGTTATGATCCAAACATTATTCTTAATTTTTTTGAATAAATAACATTAGAATTCCAAATATCATCATATGTTAGCAAGGTCTATTCAAATTCCATAAATTTGTTACAAAAAAAATAATAATAATTATTATATTTTGAGTACAAACGAAAAAAAAGAAGCTATTGAAGCATTAGTAGCAAATCCTTCAGATGAAAATTTTGAAATCTAAAGTCTTAAATATAATACTACAATAAGAAATTTAAAGAGATGGTTTAATTAAGGATATGTGAGAAAATCTGGATGTGGAAGGAAAAGAGTTAATCCATAAGCTGTTGCAGAACTTGAAAAATGGATCTTAAGTGAAACTAAAAAAGAAGGAAAGAAAATTACGAGAGATTAAATTAAATCAAAAGCTTTAGAAATTTTTAATAGTGATACATTCAAAGCATCAAAAATGTGGATGGACAAATTTCTTTCAGAATATGATATCAAATTTAAAGTTCAAACAATTTTGGAGGAATAAGGATGTTTATCTAAGTTATAAGAAGTCAAATTTAAATAAGAGTTATAATTAAGAAGAGAAAAGGGAACAGAAAGTTTGGAAACAAATAGATTAATTAAAAAGGAATCATAGGAATAAATTAAAACTGATTTAAATGTTAAATAAATATTTGAAGAAAAAGTATATGTTGAAGATTTTTTTTTGGATCAAGACGAAGCTAATTTTTTTCCTGATTCTTTTGATATCTAAAGTAGAAACAATCAGGTTGAATTATAATAATTTTCTGAATAATTAATTCCAAAATTAGAATTTCTAGGAGACAGCTATGAAGAGATTTATTTAGGATATTCAATAACATTATAATCATTTTTTGATTATTTTTGAAATAAATAGTCTTAAAGAAAATTAGAAATTATGTTGCATGAGTACATATTTTATTAAAAAAGTTTAAATTTATTCAATTTGTTATTAAAAAGATGATGATAAATTAAGTTTAAAAATAATCAAAGAATAATTTATTCCGTTCTCATTTTATTGTGGCCTTGGTGAAAGTCACAATATCATGATGGATGATGATATTTCATTCAACTCATAATAAGCTGACTTGTTTAGTGATGGTATTCAAGATTTATACATGTTGTTATAGAAATTAAATGAATTGGATTAAGATTCTAATTTTTAAAGATTTCTACATTTATGATTGATTCTTTAGAAATTTAGTTAAAAAGATTGCTATATAAATATGATTTAGATAATAATTAACAAAAATATTTATATAGGATTCAAGAAATACTATTTTTCATTATTTGATAAAATTATCTTAATTAATTTATTTTAGATTCTTAAAGTTCTATTTCTTCATTATCAAAATGTAAAGGAGTGTATCTAAATCGTTGTTGTGTTGATATTCTCTCTGTTAAATATGCTTTTTCTAATAATTCTTATGGAATTTTATTTTATATTTTTATGTTTGAGAATTCCAATTTAGGAATTTAAGTTGTTTAAGAACATTCTGTTTTTATCACCTTTTTAATTTATCTATTAGTTTCCTATTATTGAGTCATTTTAACAAACATAGGTTATCTTTTAATTTAAATATCCTTAGGTTGATAATATCCTATAGGTGGAATAGTATTCATACTAAGATTTTTACCTAATTTAGGAGAATTATTCAATTAAGTTTGTGTTTTATGTTTAACAAGACCATCATTTAAAAATAATTTTTAGTTTAATAATTAAAGTGGTTTTTGTTCAACATATTCAGTCTGAATTTTCAAGTTGAATTTTTTTTCCAATCTAGAAACCTAAGTCAAATTAGCCCACACAGTATTATGATTAATTGTGTAAACATCTTTTAAAAAATTAACTTTTGATTTAGTATGCACGCTTTTACTAATTATAACATTCTTTGTATTAATTAATATATCATACATTTTTTTTATCAGATTTCTTTTTTAATACTTATTTATGTGAAATATTTCTTTTGTGGTTAGTTTACAGTTTGCCTAAAGAATCTCGTTCTTTGATGAAAGGTACAAAGACTTATTCAGTTGAAAGAGATTGCTCTTCTTTTTCTTGTAATTATCTTAATTTATGCATCAATATATTTGATATACAATCCAAAGTATATAAATAAATATTTCCATTATGAAAATGTAAAATCACATAGATTTATGAACACTCCAAATTAATTGTAATAATATCGAGATGTATTATATATATTATATATATAATATAAGTTTTGAATGAGTAGAATCAATCATAAACATAAACCTTTTTTTTTTAAGGTCTTAATTGTCTTGTAGATAATTATTTCTCTTCTTTTTATAATAGATTTGAATCTTCCTTGATTCTTGTAGATCCATTCTTTCTTGTTGACATCATACTTTGACTTCTGCTTGTTTCATATTAAGTAACTGATTTACTAGCATATAAGGATAAATATTCATTTTCTTCATTATAATTATTAAATATCTTTTCATCTTATTTTAACTTTGATCTTTCAATACAATCTAAATAAATTAAATTAGGCATTAAATTAAATATTTTATTTCTCATCTCAACATATTCAGCTTCTTCTTTTGGTGCTTATTAATTATCATCATTATCATTCAATAAAAATACATTCCCAATTAAACTTAATTATTTCAAAGATTACATCTATTAAAGATGTTATAATGATATAGATCCTGGATATATTTTAAGTTAGTTATTAATTAAGGATAATGAAAGTAGTTTATCTTTATAATATCCTATACATTTTAATTATTCTCCTTTTAATAAATTATTATCCAAAGTTAATCTTTTTAAACTATCTATCAATGGTAAATGGATTAAAGATTTTATTTAACATCCATTTATACCTAAATATATTAATGATTATAATTTCTCTAATTTTAAGGATGTCTATGAATCTAATACAAAAGTAGGACAATTTTCTAAAATTAATTCAAAAATCTGATATTCTTCATTTAGTTTTATATATGAAATTATTTCTATTGGTTTTTTCTCTTATTCCATTTCATATTCATCAGATTAAAAATACTTGAATAATGTTTAGATCTATTTCTATTTTTTCATTTAATTACTATGAATATATGGATTCTTTCTTCAAATTAACTAAACTTTAAAAGGATTTTTGGAATTTAATTTACTTTTCATACTTAAAAAGGATGAGAAAAATGAAAAGAATTTGAAAAGAATAATATTGAAAGTATATAATATTTTATTAATATTAATGGCTGAATATTCTAACTCATTTTCTAAATAATTTAGAGAGGATTAAGAGGAATTCTTGAATATTGCTATTAAGAAATGGAAATTTCACAAAAATTTTAAAAGAAACCTGATAATATTTAGCATAATTGGTATGAGTATTGTAACATAGGAATATTTTTATTGGTTTTCGCAATAATATTTTTAGTTTTCAATTTACAAATAGTAGAAAAGGAAGTTTATTATGGATCAACATGTACAAAAAATTAGAAAGATTGCGAAATACCAATAGAAATATCAAGTGATATGACAGCACCAATATTTGTATACTATCAACTGGAAAATTTTTATAGAAGAAATAGAAATTATTTCAAATCAAAATCTGTAGAATAATTAAAAGGGAATATTGATATTGATATATCTAATTGTGGAGATTATTAAACAAATTCTTAAATGGGTAGACATGTTTTATTAATTTAAATACAGTTAAAGTATAATCTTATGATGGAAGTACATTAAATTAGAGTGAGAATGCCTTTCCTTGTGGTGAAATAGCCTATACTTATTTTACTGATACATTTAAATTAGTAAATTCTAAAGGAGAATATGTTATTATTGATGAAACTGATATAGCTTGGGAAAGTGATAGAGAATATAATTTCAAAAATCCAAAAGGATGGGAAAAGTTTGCATGGACTAATATTGAAGATGGTATATATATTTAAATTTAATTAAAGAACATTTTATGGTTTGGATGAGAACAGCAGGATAAGGTAGATTAAAAAAATTATGGGGAAGAATTTAAAATGATTTAGTAAAAGGAAAATATACATTAATTGTAAATAATAGTAAAATATAATATCAATAATTTATAAGCTTATGATGAATAATTATATTCATCTGATATGGTTAAAAGCTTCTTTATGACAACTACAACTATATTTGGATAAAAAAATATGGTAAAATCTATATTTTATAATAGGTTCTTGTTGGATCATATTTTGCTGGAGCTTTTATTTGTTTATGTTCAATCATTGTGCTTGTTGTTATTTACTTTAGAGATAAAAGAAGAAAAATCATTTGATTATTTAATTTATTAATTTATAACAAACATATATGAAAGCAGATAGTTTTTAAACCAAATTCCTAGTTCAATAAATTAAGAATAAACTAGATCAAAAAAACTATTATTCCTCTTTTAATCTTGGTACTAGTGTTTTTACATCAAAAATTAAATCAGAAGAGTCTATTGATAAAAAGTTATCTGTTAGTTAACCTATGTCTCCAAGTTATTTAAAGGCTATGAGAGCTTTATAAGATAGAATAAGAACATTGGAAGGAGAGAATGGTATTCTTAATGAATAAATTGTATAATTCAATTAATTTAATATTTATAGAATATATCATAAAATTATTGTACAACTGCTCATGTTAAAAGTAAATAAAGAAATAAAGTTGAAAAACTTTTAAGTACTATGACTAAGAATGATATCTTTTAAAAAGATAAAAATTATGAAAAAGATTAAAAAATTTAAGAGCTTGATAAAAAATTGAAACAGTCAGAAATTGAAAATGAAGATAAAATTGCTTATATTCATTCTGATTATAAATTTTAGATTAATTAAAATGAATCTAAAATTAGAGAATTAGCAGAAGAAATTAATAATATGTAATTTAAATAATTGATAATTATAGAACACTATAATTCAATTTGAGTTTGGAAACAAATGAGAGTTATAAAAAAAAGATCACTTAATTAAATTAATAATTGTAAAAAGAAAAATAAGTAAATTTATTATGTTTAATAAATTAGTTGACACTAAATTATTAATTATAATTGGATACATTTGTAAAAAGCAGTAAGCAATGGAATGATAGTATGTCAAAAATGAATCAAGACATAAAATTATATAAAGAATAAATTCAAGAATTATAATAATATTTAGATTGGTATACTACATAATATCCAGTTGATAAATTTCAATAAATGGAATTTGAAATAAAATAATTATAGACTAAGAATGCTGATTTAATAGCTTAATTAGAATTATAAAGATTATAAAACTCCTAATTACTTTAAGATTTTTAATTACTTAAACTTTAATATGAAAGAGTTGAATCTTAAAAACACAAATAAATTGAATAATTAAATGGCAAGATTTTTGAATTATAATTATTAGTATAAAGACAAGATTCTAAAGATTAATAATAATAGACATCAAATAAAAAATAAGTTAAAAAGATATCAATTACTGTACCTAATTCAGAACAAGAGTAAGTTAAGTAAACAACTGATGATGATAATAGTATCATTATTATTAAGAAAAATAATGAAGATACTTAAGAATATGATAATATTTCAAGATAAATAATTAAATTAGAATTGATGTTAGAAGAACTTGATTAGAAATATGATTAAATTGTAAAATAAGCATAAATTGAAACAGATATGAGAATTAAATAAACATTAAGACAAGAATTAATTCAAATTTTAGCTTAGATTAAGGATATAAACTAATAAATAAACCAGTTGATTTCTTAGTAAAAATCTTTGAAAACTAAATTATGATATTACTATTACATTTATAAAATTTATTTTAATATAAATATATTTATTGATAAAAAACATTTTAATGATCTAAGATCTAATTATACAATAATAAGTTAATAGATTAGGTTTACTTCTTTTAAAAATAAGTCTAATATTTTGTTTAAGTATTACTAAATTAATATTTGAATGCAAAAAAGATTCTAAAATTACAGTATTTCAGCCATTTAGATTTACATTCAATAATAGAATTACTCTCAAGAGAATGATTTTTTTTAATTATTGATCTATCTCCAATAATACTAAATTGACCTTAATTGAATTTAGGTGAAAAGAATTGATATTTTATAGTTATTTAATAATTCAAAATCAATAACCATTAAGATCTTTTTTATAATCCCCTATTTTTATTAGAATAAATTTATAGCTTAATCTTCTTGATAATTAGATTCTTTCAAAATTTATTATTATATACTCTATTTAAAATTAAGAATTTAATAGAAAAATTAAGTTAAAAGTTAAAAGTGTATTTTTAATTATATGTAATTTTCTCAATTGAATAAATAATTTCAAGAACTAAAAAATTAAAATTCTTTGTTGATTTAATGTTTTTAATTATTTTAAGACAATTCCTTTAAATATTCTGTAAGAAATTCCATTACCTAAAGTATTTAAGTAGTTTTAGGAAAATGAAATTTTTTAAAAATTACTTTAATAATAAAAATAAGGAAATTAAATAATTAAAAATAATTTATGAAATTAAAAGAAAATATCATAAATAGATATGAAAGTAGTTGTTAGACGAATATAAAACTTAGAGAATAAATGATATATAAATTGATACATTCATATGACAATAACTATTATTTTCTAAGAAAAGTAAAGGTTTTTCAATTTTTAATTGACTAAGAAAATAGATATTTATTAATTAAAATAAATTTTAATGAGTAGAGTATTGCCAGCCTCAGTTCGTCATTTTGTGTCTCCTCCTAGAACGTCATAGAATCCTAGAGAGACAACAGTAATTCCTATTCAGGAAACAATAGTACCTATGTAGCCAGTGACTTGTAATAATAAAATATTTATTAGGAGAATATATCGTAAGGGAATAGAAGGGATCAGTAAGACAAGAGTAACCAGTGACTCAAATCAAGACATAAGTAATTGTTAAAGAAGCAGATCATTCTCATTGTGAATAAAGAATTGCTGAACAGTAAAAGGAGATCGAATTATGGCGCAAGAAATATCTAGAGCTTTAAGCTGAGTTAGATCGTAATACTTCTTATGAAGAGACAGTATAAATTGATTTGATTTTAGATTTAACAATTATAAAATAGAGTTGAAATATTGATTGGAGAGAATAAAAAATTGAATCAATCTTTGAAATAGAAGATAGGAGATTTAGATTAGGCAAGAATATAGATAAATGAATTAGAATAACATATTAGAATTTAAAAGAATCAGAATGATGAAATTCAGAGATTACAGAAGCAGTTGGATTAATCTAAAAAATAGGTAAATGAGTGGAAAAATCGTTATATTACAATAGAAAAATAGATAAGTACAATTTAAAATACAGATACGATAATTCAAGAAAACGAATAAAAAATCAGTAGATTGTAATAGGAATTGAATAATTGGAAAGAAAGATGTTTGAGAGCTGAGAAAGATAAAAAAGATTTAGAAGATTGTATAAAATTATTATATATAATATAGAATTGAAATAATTATAAGGATAATTAGGATTATAATAAACAAAGGAAGTGCCTAAATAAAGAGTAGATGTTGAAGGATTACATTAGCAAATACTAAAATTGAAATAAGATTTATCTTAATCTTAATAAGAATGTGAAGATTGGAGAGGAAAAGCAATTGATTATGAGACTCTGATATAAGCAGAATAGGCTAGAAATTAAGAATTAGAAAATGATGTTTAATAACTTCATGATGAAAATGGTAGATTGAATGAAGAAATTAAAAGATTGATGGAAGAATTAGGTAAATTATAATCATAAGTATCTGAATTAAGAGAATAGACAACTATAATTGAATCATTAAGATCTGATTTACATAATTTATAACATTAGTTGGATCTTAAATTATAATAAATTGATGATTTAAATCATGATTTATAAACTAGAGATGCTGAATTATTTAAATTATAAGGTGGATCATCAGTTACTATTGTGACTGAAAATAAATTATTATAGATGTAAAGTGAAATTGATAGATTATAATCTCTTCTTAAATAAAGAGAAGCTGAATTAGATGGTTGGAGATTAAAATATTCATCACTTGAAAAAGTTAATATTTAATTGAGAACAGAAAATGCAAGCATTGATTCTTTATAAGGAACAATCAAAACTTTATAATAAGAATTATAATCAAAATAAGAAAGAATCAATCTTAGAGATGATAAAATCAAATAATAAGATGATATCATTGATTAATTATAAACTCAATTAAATCAACTTTAAGCATTGAAATTAGAAGTTGAAAATCTTAAACAATAAGTTCATTTCAAAGTATAAGAACTTAAAACTTGTAAAGACAAATTAGCAGCTGCTTTGAAAGAAGTAGGAGCTTTACGTTTATATAAAGGAGAAGTATAAGTCCTTGAATCAGAGAAGTAATTACTTAGAGATGAAGTTGATCATTTGAGAAGTGAAATCTAAAGGAGATTATTAGAAGTTGAAGAACTCTCATTCATTAAATCATAATAAGAAGCTTAATTAAAATAAATTCCATTCTTAGAAGATGAAATATCAACTTTGAGAAATCTATTAGCTGATGCTATTTCTGAAAAGGGAATATTATAAACATAATTTGGATAATTATAAAATGAAAATCTTGCTCTTGATAATTAATATCATACATTATAGGGAGAACTTGATGAGCTTAAACTTGATAATTAAAGATTATTATAAATTAATGAGCATTTGAATGAATAATTATAAAAGGTTAGAAATGAAAGAAACTAATTTGAAAGAGACGCTGATTAATTAGATAAAACTCTTCATGATGTTTAATAATTATTAGCAGATGCTTAAGAGAAAAATGCATTATTAGAAAAGGAAATTAAAGAATTAAAAGATGAATTAAATAAATTAAGATAAATTAATTTATCATAAGAATTAGATTTATAAGCAAAAGATAGATAATTTGAATAATAAAGATTATAATATGAAGGTTATTTGAATGAGTTATAATTGGAAATTTAGTAGAAAGAATAATTGATTAAAAATTGGAAGGATAAATATTTACAATCTGAATAATTAGTTTCAGATTTATAATTCACAGCAGAACTTTTAAAACAAGAATAAATTAGAGCTAGATAATTAGAATTAGAAATTGAGAGATTAAAGTAAAGATAATTACATTAACCACCACCTTAAATTGAACATATAGTTGATTAAGATGAAATTAATCAATTAAGAAAATAAATATAAGATCTTTAAAGATAAAACTTTGATTAATATCAATAAATCTAAAAACTAATTTAGTAAATTGAATAATTAAATAATCAAATTTATATTCTTGAAAATGAGAAGCATTTATATATCTAAGAAATAGAAAGATTGAAAACTTAATTAAATATGAAGGTAGAAGAAAATGAATAAATGAGAGCTAAAATGAATGATCTTAATCAAACTATTTTTGATTTGAAACATTTAGAAGCAAGAGTACCAGAATTAGAATAAACAATTAATTTATTAAGATAACATACATAAGAATTAATTTAACAATTAAATGCAAAAACAAAAGAATATGAAGATCTTTATGGAAGATACTTTGATAAATCTTTAGAAGCTAGTTAAGTTAATTAATTACAATTATCAAATAACAAATTAGATAATGTAAGATAAGAAGAAGTTTAAAATAGAGAAAATGTAAAGACAGATCTTAGCAAAATTGGAGTAGATAATGATAGATTAAGAAGAGAAAAAGAATATTATGAAAGTAAGTATAAGTATTTGCTTCTTGAAGTTGAGTATTTATAAAGATTAAAATCAGAATCACTTTAATAAGATTAAATGTTAGAATTGAGAGCGGGAAATGAAGAAGAAGTTAATTAGGAAATTGCTAATTTGGAAAGATAATAATAATTATTATAAGATCAATTAGCTAAATTATAATTGTAGAATGAACAAAAAGATAAAGAAATTGATGATCTTAATGCATTATTAAGATAATTATAGGCTGAATTAAATAAATTGAGAAATATTCAAGATCTTTATAGTAAATTACAATAACAATATAATTTATTATAAACTTAGATTACAAATTTATAATAAACAAATATTAATTCTTCAACTGAAAAAGATAATTATATTAGTGAATTAGAATAACATGTAAATGATTTGTAAAATTAACTTTAATAATTGGATTTATAGAGACAAAAATAAATTGGAGATTTATAGGCTTAATTATAAAAATTATTAGATGAGAATAATAAATTAAGATAATTATTAACAGATTTGACTAATAAATTTAATTCTTCAGTTACTGAAATGAATTCAATGTAAAAAGTTATTGAATAATTGAACGGATTTTAAAATGAATATATTAAATACAAAGCTCTTTATGAAAGAGAGTATATTATTTTTATTATTTTATATTAGATGTTTGGTGACAGCTGATTTACGGGATTAATTGAGTTAATTAGATAAGTAGGCTAAATAATTAATTGTAGAAAAAGACAGTCTTTTAGATAGAATTGCTAAATTATAAGCTGAAATAGAATAATTAGGAAAATAAATTTAAGTTAAAAATGATGAGAATGCAGTGTAATCTAAGACAGTGTCTAATTTAGAAGGATAGATAGCTTAATTGAAACCTTTAGAGGCTGAAAATTAAAGGTTAAAATAAATAATTGATTAATAAACTAAAGAATTGGGAGATTTAAGATAAAAATTAGCAGATTTATAATTGGCAGCAGATGATGCTAATAAATAAAAAGCATAATTTTAATAATTATATAATTCTGTTAATGCAGAATTCGAATAATTAAAGAATAAATTTGCAGCCAAAGATAATGAAATTAATTCCCTTAAAACATAAATCACTAAACAAGAATCAGTTGTTAAATAGGTTAAAATTATAGATAATACCAATCCAAATGATTTGAAGACTTTATAGGATTAAATTGCTTAAAGATCAAAAGAAAATGAAGATATTAAAAAGAAGTAATTATTTATATTGATTTTAGATTTAATCAAATGGATATTGAATTATAAAAGGTTAAGAAAGATAATACAGAAATTAGTAAATTATAATAGGCAATTTAAGCAAAAGATAGAGAATTAGATGATTTGAAAAAGAAACTTGATAAATTCTAATAGGATACATCAAATCTTGAAAAATTAAAGAAAGAATTAGAAGCCAAAATTAATAGCTTAAACTCAGATTTAAACACAAGTAAGAAGAGCTTTGATAATCAATAAAATGATATTAAAAAATTGAATCAATAAATTAATGATTTATAAAATGAGATAAAGAGATAATAGAATATTATTTCCAACTAAACAGCTGTAATTAAATATATTTATTATTTAGGATTTATAAACTTGGAATAATAGATACGCTTCAGTAGTGAAAGATTTAAGATAGGATAATCCTCCTTAGAGTGCAAATTAAACTAATTAATTCACAACAACAATAACCACTTAGGTGATTAAATAACCTTAATCATCATATTAATAGATAGATGATACTCAATCTAATAGATCTAGTGGTTATAGATAAAATTTATTCCCTACAGCTTAATAAGCCTAATAATCAAGCACTTAAAAGCCAGTGACAGCTTCATCAATTTATCAGTCTAGCTCATCATCCATTTAATAACCAGCATAGCAAACATCATCTTCCTAAATTATGAATTAAACATCCACAACCACAACAAGAAGTTATGCAAGACGTTATTGAGATATCATATATAAATAGTATGAACATTGTTAAAAAATTTATATCATTGAATAAATTATTTAATTAAGAAATTCCTATCTTTAAATCTTATTTCATAATGAAATATTCACTAAATATATTTTAAATAGAATCTTAATTCATTTTTACCAATTTTCTTTCTTTAATTATTTTCTAAATATTTTAAATAGTGAAATTATATATAAATTATGTCGTATATCAAAAGAATTAATAAATATTATATGCTTTTTAATAATAACTTAAAATAAATAGTAAATAAATTTATAAGAGACTATGAGGTTTAATGATATTATAATGAATTATAAGTTATAGAAGCTGAATTACAATAAAATCAAGTATTGATATCAATAAAGAATAAATTAAAAAATAAGAAGAAAACATAAATTTAAGTTAGACCAGAATCAGATAAATGATGTCTTTGTAGATTATTTTAAAAAATAATCAAATTAGATAGTCTGAAGAATCTTAAAACTCTTCTTAAGATGAGAATTAAGTTTTAGATATATTTTAAGGTTTAGATATTATTTTTTATATTTTTGATGAAATGATATAATAAGGAAATTAAAATTAGGAATATAATCAATATGTTTAATAATTAGTAAAAAAGAAAAGCCTATAATTTAGGTTATGCGAATATAATAATTTCTTGACTCAATACATATGTAAGAGAATAGATTAAAGTTGAAATTGAAATAAAGGAGAGGATGAATTTCAATCATTTTTAGATGAGAAAAATTACTTATATAATTAAAAATTAAATGATGAAAATAATAAGATTTAGTATTTTGTCTAAAAATTTAGATAGTTCCTATATAATACATTCTTTAGATATTAATAATGGAACAATTAAATTTTTTTCTGATTTTTTTAGAATTAAGAAGCTTAAAAAGATAGCAAGAAGTTTGAATAGAAATGAATAAAAAGTTCTTTTAGAGAGTTTTAGTTATATTGGTAATTGTTTTATGATTATATAATATAAATAACTTTTGTTATTCATTTACGAAAAAGCGATGGTTTAAGCATTTCTTTTTATTATTGCAATAACAATTGTTATTTGACAAGTTCTTCTTGCTTTAATGTATGTAACCTTGTATTAGTATATTATCTACTTGAATTGTTGCATTGAAAAATCAATGGCTTCAGAATATTTATTTACACATCTATTTAAGCAAAGATTTTCAAGTGGATCTAATTAGGCTTTGAGTAAAGTATTAGTACAATGCTTGACACATGTATGCTACATTTATAGATATACTTTTGAATTATAATCCATAATTAAATTATTTAATCTATTGTATAATAAAATTACTACGTCCTCGTCCATTAAGTGATTAAAAGAGTTTATGATTATAAATAAATTTATAAGTTTTTATTCTCAACGTCCTTATTCTTTCCCATATATATATGAGTATGTCCTTTAGGGTATTCCAATTCCTAAAATGGCTGGATTTAGATTCTATGCATTAAGCCATTAGAATAAAGCTAACATCATAACCTAAAATTACGAGCATTTTAAAAATTATTAAGATTCTACTCAGTAGCTTCATTTGATACAGGAGAAAGTTGTCTACTATTTTTTTTAACTTTTTCTTTTTTCTTATCTTCAGGATTACATCCATGACATCCACAATATTAGCAACCATGTGCAGGTAGAGGTTTCTTTCTAACTGCTCTAGGTACTTAACATAAACAAGACTAATTATAATTAATTATTATTATTTTACTTTTGCTTCTTTCCCTTTTTTTGAAAATGCTTTCATACATTTTTTACAACATCCATTTACAGTCTTAAAATCCGAAGATTCATCAGAACTAGAAACAGATGATGATTTCTTTTTCTTTTTTATCTTTTTTTGTTTTTTCTTCTCATCTTCTATTGAACAACCTGTGCAATGACAAGAAAGACATCCTTATTCTCCTATTTAGATTCTTCTTTATGATGCTGGAACTATACATACACATGTCTTTGGTTTTAAGGATCCTTTGTCTGATTTTGTACATTTTTAACAACACTTAAAAACAATATTAATTTAAATTGACTACATATTTCCATCTTCCTTTTTTCTTTTAAGATTACTAAGATTTACTTGATTCATCAGCTAAAATATTTATAATATAACTATACTTATTTCAGATGCTGGATCTCTGATGATTATATCATCTTCATCACTTACAGAAGAAAATTAATCACTTATTTAATCATAAACAGGAGACTTAGGATAATGTAGCTCCTATTTTATTAATCTTAGCAATTCTTCATCATTAAATCCATTATTAGTATTACTCATTTTTTTAATTATAATAATGATTTTATTATAATCATTTTTATCAACGCAAACTCAAAGGCATTCTATCATTTTATTTATTTTATATTCACATTATATTTAATAATATTAAAAATTGATTTTTTTAATACATCCCTATCTCTCTTATTTTTTTTTAAATTTCCATTTTCTATATTTTTCTTACTGTATAGAATTTAATCTTGCTTGTTTATTTAAGTATATAATGTAAAGATTTATCAATCATTTTTTTATAAATTTATACATTTATTCCTTAAAGTTAAATAAAAATTAAACTAATTAATATCAGTTATATATTTATTTAATTTAAATAATTAAAGGGAAAAAATAGAAAATAATATTTATAATTGTTCTAAGAATTAGTTACTATAATGCTCTATTTTACAATAAAACATTTATTTAAATTAGAATTCATAGATTTGTTTATGAATGCAATACAAATTATTATTTTTATTTTGAATTAAATTAAATCCAGCGATAAATTATATACTCAAATGTCTACATAAAACATTTAATATAGCCTTAATGGATATATGTTTAAGATGAAATAGTATTAAATATAATAGATTTAATGTTTAAATGCATAAACAAGGAAACCTTGAAAATTACCTATTTATAAGATAAATTATAGACTTCTATTGATTAATGACCTCAATATTATAAAAGTAAATAGTTTCATTAAAAATCCATATTGAAACAAACAAAAATCTCGAAAATACCTCAAAAAATTCAGAAAGATTTTTAAGTATTTTCTTTATCTAATTAGAGTTTATGGTGATTATGTTAATGATCTCAATCTTAAGAATTTAATTATATATTAATATATGTTAATAATGATAATAAATCAAATAAATTTTTAATCATCACAGTAATTTAACAACTCATTAGCTGTTTCTTTTAACTTTTCTATGTTTTTTATCGACCATGGTAATCTTTTAAAAGTGTATGACTTTAAATATATCATAATTTATTTACTTTTCTATTAGATGATATAAATTCCCATGATTTTTCTGCAATAGCTTTAATTTTTTTATTTCTATCATTCTCTATGATATTATCTAAATTTTCTAATTAATAATGAAACAATAAAATACCTAGGAATGTTTTGTATTGATCTTAAAATTATTTAGATTAGAACAATTCGTGAAGAAAATGATTGTTCATTGTTTTATTTTTACTATTTTTTCTAAAAGGCAATGATATAGATTTCATTTTTTCTGCCTAATAGGTTTATTAAAATATTTTAGATGCTGCTTTTAGATTAAGTTCTAAATATAAAGATTTGATTACTTGTTTTAGAACTTTTTTCTTGAATTTAATGGAAAATCTCTCTAAAGGCCTTTCTTAGACAAAATTTGATTAATTCTTCTCTACTCTTAGACTATGTTCTTATTTTTTTAGCTAAAGTCTCTAAAATTTTAACAACTTTAAGGCATTTTTTTTCTTTAAGTTGTTATTAGATCTTTTTAAGTTTTGATGATTCAGCAAATAACAAATGAATTAATTATTCAAGATTTTCTATTGTTATATCATCATAATTCATGTCATCTAATTACTAAGCAATGATTTAAATTTGGCTGGTATATTATTATGGTTATTTAGTTTATGCGATTTCTTTATTTTGTTAGGAGTCTTAAATGAATAGATTTTAAAAATTACTTTATTCATATTTGATATCATAATTTATGTTTGGTTGGGTAAAACTTAAATGAGAAGTTAAAATTGGAGAACCTAAATTATGAATAGGACTCATCAAAGGATTTTAAAAGTTCATCATTAAGAGTAATTGTGAACTTGTTGGCCAATAAGGTAATGGATACATACCAAAATAAGGAGGGGATTGAGCACCATCTGAGTGATTCATAATATTAATTTAAATTTCTTTTGATATCGTCATAATAAAAGATGAATTCAAGTATCAAAAGTAAATCTGAACACAAAATGTTATTCATCTAAAAAAGATTTAATATTTAGGCTTAAAGCCATTCAAGGAATGACAAACTTAATTAATTTAGAATATATAGCACAATCTGTATAAATATAATTATATTAATAAATAATTTTAAGAAGATTAATATCAGTATTTTAGGAACAAACAATAAAATAGTTGTAATATTATTATTAACATAGTATTAATAATTATCATTTGTTTTTAATAGTACATCTATTGATGATGGTTTAATATGGATATTAATGTTATTCAATATCATTTTCTGAATTTTTAGATTATTATCGAAAAATAGATACCTTTTATCCTCGATTATCTAAATTTTTATTCGAATACAGAGATTAAGCTTTTGATCTAGGTTAAGTTATAGGTAATTATAAAGTAATTCTTTTATTCCATAATGGTGATAATTCTTTAAATTCCATGCTTTAATTAGCTGATTTAACATTATTCATGGGCATTTTTTCGAAAATAGAAGCCTATCCATTTTTCTAGAATGTTGATAATTTTAATTCCCCTATTTAAGAATTAAAAGATTATCCTGATTTCCTATTATCACTTATACTAAAATTAAAATATATATAAATATTACTCTTGAACTGATCCAATTAAACTTGGATAAGATAATTCATTTAATGCTTCATTAAAGAAATCATGTCTTAAGATTTAAGATGCAGAAGGTCTTTATTTTGGATTTAACCTTAACATAGAAGCTATAAGATCCTTACAACTTTAAGGAACTTTAGTTTAATCATCCAATTTATAATCAGCAACTAAATTTCTTTTTAACATTCCAGCTTTAGTACTATCTTTGAATGGATGAGTATTGAAAATCCTTTATAAATTTCAATTTTTACAATTAATAGAAAATGACCCCTAAACTAAAGATATCACATTTTTCATTGTACATTTTAGAGCCTTCTTTATATAATAATACTTCAGGAGCAACATAACCAGTTGTTCCACAACGATAATATTACTATTTTTACTCCTTTATGTATGTTGCCAATCCAAAATCAGCAATTAATACATCAAGACTGTTAGATTTACATAATATGTTCTACGGTTTCAAATCTCTATGCATTATTCCTTTCTAATGCATATAATCCAAACATAAAGCTAATTACTTTGCCACAATTCTTGCATCTCTTATGCTTTTGTATTATCCTTATTTAAGTAACTCTCCTCCTTAGATTAATTCTAAAACAATATTAATATTTTCTTTAAAAACATAGTTTTAATAAGTACTATTCGTCTCAAACACAGAATAGAAAGATATGATATTGGGGTGGTTCAGTTCTTTCATTATTTGAATTTCATTATGCAAGGCTTATTCTTACTCGAATTTTTTTTATTTGACTGAATAATTTTTTTGAACTCTTTTAATTGCATAAAGTTACTGATTTTGATTACTTCTAGCAATATAAACCTATATTTATATATTTATTTTACTTAAGCACTAGATCCAAATCCAATCTGTCTTAACAAGGTGTATTAAGAATGAAAATCTGTTAGTATACATTAAGATTAGAGAATCTCTTTAAAACTCTCAAAATCCTTCTTTTGATCAGTATACAATTCTAAAACAAATCCACAATAAATCAACTGTAATTTATATTTATATGGACCTTCTACTACCTCAGATATTAAATAAACGCAATCTAGTCTTCTAAAACCTTTCAGATTCTTGATAATGATATAATATTACTCTATCACCATACAATAAATAATTGCTTTGAACAGAATAAAGTCGAGGTATCCATTTTTTAAGAATCTTGCTTCTCTTATAAAAACTAGTACAATTATCGTTTTGAATTTCAAAATTTTCATGACTATTCAATAAGACATGAAAATTTCTATTCCAAAATTCTGTTTCATCTTTTAAAGCAGAATTGAAAAAATAATTAGAATTTTAATCCATTCTTTTTTATTAAATAATAATTTATAAATACTATGTAATAAATATAAATAATTCATCATTTCTTTAAAAAAGCCATCATTTTTTACTGTTATTGTTAAATTATAATAAAAAATTCAAAGCAAAAGAAATTACTTTCTCAAAAATAAATTTAAAAACAAAGATTTCCTTATCTCTACTTTTTTATTTTTGTTGCTTATATTATCTTTTGCATTCTTAATTTTTTGTTGACTTTTTTGATACTTTTTCTTTGATACCTTATTTCTCCTTCTATTTTAAAATTTCTCATTATCTTAGTTTTCTAACTTCTTTTCAAATTCTCTTATCTTAACTAAACTTTCAGAATATTCATCCAAACTCTTTTAATTGAGTTTCTTTGATTTCTAAATTAAATTTGATTATTTCAATAATATTTATTATATCATCTCTATCAAGGCATTTATATTAAACAGATGCTTAAATTATTTAAATGATTTTATATGACTTAAGATTGATATTTATTTTTGTTACAACAAATCAAATCATAAGAAGTTAGTCCTCTAAAATGTCTAAAAATGTTTATTATGTAATTTGAAAACTTATTCTGTAAAGACATCAATGGATTAAAGTTAATCTTTTTAGTTTCTGATGCTTATCAAAATTTAAAAATTTTTTGAGTTATATTTATTTGTAAATCTATCAAATAATAAACAAAATTAAAAAGTTTGAGTTTCTATAATAAGTGCTTTTATTTGATTAAACTCATCTTAGAATAATAAATTTTCATTTATAGAAGATAATCATCGATTTTTTAATTAAATTCTTTTGGCATAATTATTTAGTGTTTTAAGAAATTAGTATCTTTGTGTTCATCTTAAATTTATAGGAATTCAAAGTTCATGATTTTGATATTAAGAAAATAGTAATAATATTTGAGTTATAATTATAAATAAGTATTATAAAATGACGAATGATATAACAAAAAACAAGTCTATAGGATAATATCTATTTGGTAAGGAATAAAAAATAAACTATATTAGGTAAAACTTTAGGTGAAGGAACATTCGGGAAAGTAAAATTGGCAACTCACATATTGACAGGAGAGAAAGTGGCTATCAAAATTTTGGAGAAGTAAAAGATCGCTGATGCATCTGATGTTGAAAGAGTAACAAGAGAGATTCAAATATTGAAATAGGTTCGTCATCCTAACTTAGTACAATTATATGAAGTATTTTTGGGTTCTTATCAGATAATAGAAACACCGAAATAATTATTTTTGGTGATGGAATATGTCAATGGAGGTGAACTATTTGATTATATTGTCTAAAATTAAAGAATTAAAGATGTTGAGGCTGTTCGATTTTACAGTTAATTATTATCTGGAATTGAGTATTTGCACAAATTACATATAGTGCATAGAGATTTAAAGCCAGAAAACTTGATTCTAGATGGAAGAGGTAAAATTAAGATAATAGATTTTGGATTGTCTAATTTTTATAAACAAGATGATCTATTGAAAACAGCTTGTGGATCTCCTTGTTATGCAGCTCCAGAAATGATAGCTGGTAAAAGATATTAAGGACTCTAAGTTGATATTTGGAGTTCTGGGGTGATATTATTTGCTATGTTGGCAGGTTATTTACCTTTTGAAGATCCAAATACAAATTAATTATATAAGAAAATTATATCTGGTGATTTTAAGTTTCCAAAATACATTTCAAATGAGGCAAAAGATCTTATCAAAAATATTTTAAATACAGATCCATTAAAAAGATATACAATTCTTGAAATAAGAAAACATACTTGGTTTAATTTTTGTATCATTTTTATTTTATCAAGTTTTATTAAGACAATTAAAAAATACCGACTGGACTGGTTATTGGTCATCACAAGATTCCTATTGATCCAGAAATTATTAAATAATTACTTCAGTATGGAATCTAAATTGAATATGCTGAGAAATGTATAGAAAGTAATAGACATAATCATGTTACGACTACATATTATTTACTTCTCAAAAAATATATTATTGCTGGTAATAAATCTATTGCAGGTGTAATGTTTATAATCTAATTATAGATATCAGTTCTGAATTATTTGAACCATAACGAATTTCCATTCGACAATCAACATATACTGATAGAAAATATACAAATCCTAGTAATCCCTTACCATTAATCTAAAGGAAAAGTATATTATTATTTATTATCATCTTAGGTAGACATAATAATACCTTATAAATGGATGATTCTACTATAGACACTAAACCAAGATTAAACAATTCAGTTAATACTTAAAACACAATCCTATAATAATCTCCCACTATAATGAATTAATCAGTTGATATGAGAAGAAAAATCACATTAGACTTTTAAAAAACTACTGTTTTAGATGCAAGTTAATTATAACAATCAAATGATATCAAAGTCTTGAAATTAAAAACTCCTGTCAACAGAAATTATATATTATCTGAGTATTATGGCAGATTTCCAAGAAAATCAAGAAATTAAGATCGATAATCTTCAGTTGATTAGGATTAATCTTATTATAAAACGTTCTACAAAGGAACTTCTGTCCCAAAAAAATGAATTTTTATTTTAGTTATTGAATTTTGTTTATTTATTAATTTATGGCTTTATTAGGAAAAACACTAAAAGGTCGAACAACAAAACCTGGAGGAACAGAATAAAAAAGAAATATTAAAATAAGATAAATTACAAAATCTTAATAAGAATTTGAAGAAAGTTAAAAATAAGCATAAGTAATTTAAGATTTTAGACATAGTTTAAAAAAGAGTAACTGCGAAGTAAAATCAGGGAAGAATAAAAGATAGTCAATTTTAATACAAAAAAGTTAATGGCTTATTGGAGAAGAACAATGAGAGCTGTAAAGACTGAATAATTAAAACTGGACATTGAATTATATTCTTAAAATAATAAAAGAGAATTGGATTCTAAAGAAGCATTTATTCAGATGTTAGATAAGAATTTAGATGAAGCTGAAGATCAATATTAAATAGCTTTAAGAAATCATCTTATTCATCTTGAAAATTTTCATCTTTTGTAAGAGAGTAGAAATAGAGCATTGTTAGAAGAATTTGAAAGAGATATTAAAATTCTTTAAGAAGAGTTCCAAATCGAATTTGATGATATGACTAAAACTCATAAATAATAAGTTAAAGAGTTGGAAGATATGATTAAGACAGTAGAAGAAGAAGAGAAAAGAAAAGCAGAATAAGCTAAAAATTAACATTAAACAAATAGAGAAGAAACTAAAAATAAAGATGTAGAAGATACCAGCTAAATGAAATAATAATTAGAAGATAAATAAACGAAATTTTATAATGATTTAGAATAAATGCATTAAAAATATTAATCAGATACTGCAAAGAAAACAGAAGATCATACAAAATATTATGATGCAAATAAGGATATGTCTAAGAAAATTGAAAGACTTGTTAGATCTATTGCTAGTAAGAAAGCGAAAATAGATTTAACAAAATATAAAATATTGTAACATACTAAAGAATGTAATGCTAGAAATCAAGCTTTAAAAAAAGAGAAAGAAAATATTGCTAAAAATTATTAAGATTTAAAATTAAAAATGAATAAATTTAGAGAGGAATAATAAAGATTATTAAAGGAATTAGTTAATAACAGTAGAAATGCAGTTTTAAAATTAACAGAGTATAAGGAATTAGGTGAAAAAATATTAAAAACAGCTGAATTATGTAGGAGATTAGAAACAGAAAGAGAAAAAGTGTTACCTTTTTATGAAGATACAGTTGATCTAGATTAGATTCCAGAAAATTTAAAGAATGATTTTGAAGCAATAGAAAAAGAATAATATGAAGAGTTTGCATATCTAAATAATTTTTATAAAAGATATAATAAGGTAAACATATTTAAATAATATAATAGGTTTTATTAGATATTCTAGCAATTTAAAAATAAAAAGAAGCTTTATAAAATGAGAGTAATTAATTATAATCTTTATTAAAATAATATTTGGATGGATTATCTTGTAATGATGATGTTTTATCAAATCCAAATCCATTATTTGTTAAGAATTTCAACATTGATTTAGGAGAGAAATAAGTATAAGGTGAATCATAATAAACAATAATTGAGGGAGTTTTTAATGTTAGAAGTACACAGATGTAATTATAAGGATAAAGAGTTGGACCATTTTAATGATATTATTATAAAATATATGAATTAAAAATTAGACATTTAAAGATAATTCAAAATTCCTCGTTCTATTAGTACAAATAATTAGAAAACCACTTTAAAGAAACTTAATTAATAATCTATGTTAAGTTTTATTGATAAATTACCTTCAATATATAAAGATAACATGAAAAGAATTTAAACAGAAATTAAATATTAAGAAGAATGTGTAATTAAAGTAGCAGCAAGGTAAAATATTGAAAAAAAAGTAGAACTCTAGCAGGTTAAAATAATAAAAAGAAATAGAAAATTAATTAAGATAGTCTTGCTATTAAATAAAATATAGGTAATTAAAATGATTAACATCTTTTTGGTATCTTTGATGGACATGGTTAAAGTGGACATTTAGTATCTTAATTTGTATCAAAATAATTACCAAAAGTAATAGAAAATTAGCTTGTATAAAACTATGTCAATAATCCTAATTAATTTTCTTAATCATTATAAGTAGCATATAAACAAGTGGAATATGATTTAGTAATATTTTAATTTAATTTAGGTAGATAAAACAAATATTGAATGTAATTTTAGTGGTTCTACTGGAATTGTTATATTGTTGAAAGGATCTAGAATATATTGTGCAAATGTTGGAGATTCAAGGGCTGTATATTTTTACAAATCAGAAGAGCTTTGGTATAATAGACCATTATCTTATGATCATAAACCTAATAAGACATTTGAACTAAAGAGGATAATAAGATATGGAGGTAGAGTTGAATAAAGTTTAATTGATGGAAAAAGATAAGGTGTTTATAGAGTTTGGTTAACAAATGAAGATGTTCCAGGATTGGCTATGTCAAGATCATTTGGTGATATAGTAGCTAAATCTGTTGGAGTTATTGCTGATCCCGAAATTTTAAGATATAAAATTTAAAACACAGGATTTATTTTATTAGCTAGTGATGGACTTTGGGATAAAATGGATTTCGATAATATATAAAAAGTACTTGATAATCTTGATCTTCCTTTTACTTAATTAGATATCGAATTGGCAGCCTAAAAAATTTTAGGAGAAACATACTCAAAATGGGAAAAATCAGATAATGGAAGAGATGATATTACTCTTATACTAATACATGTTTAAATTTGAGTATTTATATTATAGATTCAATATTATAAATCAAAAATAAAAAAAAAGTATGATTTTAGACTTTAATTATAATTTAATATTATATAATTTTATTTCAAAAATCAGAGTCAACTATTTCTCTTTTAATTTTTTCAACTACTTGTTCTACTAATTTAACTAATAATTCTTCATTTCTTTCTCTATCAGCTCTATTTCTTTTACATGCATCATATGCATTCTAATATATTTTCTTCAATATTCCTATTATCTCTTCTTCTCTTTATTCTCTTTATTTTTATTAACTATCAAATATTCTTTTTAATTCATCTAATTATTCATTAAATTGTTAAGCTATTTTTTCTTCAATTTCTTCTCTAATCCTTATCTCTTATTCAATTTCTTAGTAGAATTAAGGGATTTGTTCTTTTATATTAAAATTTATATTTGTACCATTTTATATTTCTAATAATCTGTTTTATGTTTCAGATTTTTAGTGAAATTCTTTTTAAATTTCAGTTGATAACTAATCAACTTATTAAGAAAGATTTTAAAACACTCTTTTCTCAGTTTCCAATCTTTCCTTGCTGAAACTATTCAAAAGAGTTTTACAATTCTTTTCAACTGATAATATTTCTTTTTTCATTTTTTCATTGATTTAATCTCTAGCCTCCTTTTCTGTATCTAACATTGATTTTAATCTTTATAACTTTAATCTAATAAAATCATACTTTTTCTGCAATATCTAGAAACTTTTAATTTTTCTATTATTAAACATCTTCTATTGCAGATTCAACACTCTATAAATATCCTAATATTAATTTGAATTTTTATTATTTTTCCCCCTCTACATTATTTTATATTGATTGTAACTTTCCAAAAATTCTCTAAGCTCTTTCTTCCAATTGATCTAAAGTCTCATTTTTATTTTTTACCTGCCATTTTTTTTTGAATTTGAAATTTATTTATATAAATATATCAAATCAATCAGAATTATCTTCAATCTAATCAAAATCCAATTTAATTTATTTATATTGCATCATAATTCTATCTTTCTCAATCAATGCATCAATCAAACCCTCAATTTAAGGGAAAAATATTCCTTATTTACCTTCGCTAAAAATATTAATATAATCATTACTATTATCCAGAATAAATAAGATTATTAAGACTTGAACCGATATCATCTTCTTTTTTATTATTTGATTTTAAAATCAATGTATTTTTTTCAACTATAATTCTTATATTTTGATCACTTAATGTAGCTTTAGATAATTCATCTGCATTTAATCCTTTTAAATTATGAGGATTAAGTTCTTAATAAAAGTCCTTTATTAAAAATTTCATTTATCTAAGCTCCTCTTAATTAGTAAGATTTTTAGAGAAAAATTTTTTGATATCTTCTTCATTAATATAACCATCGTCATTTTCATCACATAATTCGAAAAATATCTGAATCTTATCTTATTAATCATATTCTCTAAATAAATTAATTGAATATTAAATTTCATTAAATTCAATATATCCATCATCATTTAAATCAAATACCCTTGAAATATATTAATTTGATACCAAAATAAACGATTAATTAAGTTGGGATCTTTGTATAATTGAATTCCATGAAGAATAATATCAAATTCATCTCTATCTACTTTTTCAACACATTAAACCCATTCTAAAATATTTTATTTATTTTCATTTAATGCACAAACAACTTCTTTTTTATTATCTATTAACCATTTGACCATTTATAATCTTAATTTATCTTTACTTTTATCACTAAATTCTGATGCTCCTGTATAAATTTAATCTTTATATTTTTTATGTAGATAAGATCTACATTATTCATTATTTTTTAAAACTGAAATGGTTCCACCTTTATTAGTTTTACATGCTTAAATTCTAGGTTTAATTTGCAAAGAATCACATTTCATTTTTTTTCTTCTTCTCTTAAATAATAAAATATGAAAATTTATACAAGTTCCATGATATTTCGAGTAACTTTGCTAATTTTTTTTGTTTAAAATTCATTATTTGTGTGATTGATAATTTATTTTTTTTTATGTAAAGAAGGATTGAGATGAAAATTAAATTTAACAAGTATTTCACTTGCCTTTCTTGTTGGTGTATTAACTGTTCTAGGACTTCTATCACTTGATGGATGATTAGACAACTTTGATAAATTAGGTAACTAAAAGTGTTATTATTATTTCATAATAATTTATTTAATATATAAATGAATCCAAATGATGAATAGTAGAGACTATACTAAATATTCTAACAGATGGGTAATCCAGATCCATATGGAAGAATGTTACCTGTACCAAATTCTCCCTATTACTCTTGTTGGACTCCTCCTTTTCCATAACCAATGATGCCACCCCCACCTAATTAGAAATACCCATTCCCAGATTAATTTATGCATGATTAAACTCTCCAAATGAATAATTTATAACCTAATCAAGGTGGAATGAATATAAATGGTATTCCATAAGGTTTACAAAACATGCCGCCTATGCCAATTGGATTTGGAATGCCTCCTATAGGTCCAGGTTAACTTCCTCCTGGAGCAATAGGTCCTGGTCCTATGAATACTATAGGTCCAATGGGTACTATGGGTCCTATGGGTCCTATGGGACCTATGGGTCCAGTATAATTACCTGGAATGGGACCTGTTCCTTAAGGACCTATGGGATAAATGCCGCCTTTTGATTTTTCATTTAAACAATAACCTCAATTATAATAGTAATTAGGACCAAATCAAATGATACCATAATAATAACAATAATAATAATAACATCTATAACCATAACCTTAATAATAGCAATTGTAGCAGTAAATTTAACAATAATAATAAGCACCATAAATTTAAACTTAAACTAATTCAATTACAAATAATAATAATAATAACAATAATAACAATAATAATAACAATAATCTTATCTCATAAAATAATCTAGAATAAGGTATTTATTTTATATTTAGAATATCTTAGGTTTTTCGTAAGTTGTTAATGAATTTTAATTAAAGATTTTAAATATGTTTGTTTAATAAAATCAAATGTTATTAGACTTCAAAAATAAAAATGCCAATTTAGAAAGTGTTATTACACAGATATTAGATGAAATAACTAACCTCTAAAAAATTGTAGAATAGAAATTTGACAATGGATAAACTGAAGATTTTGTTAGCAGATGTAATTATTTAATCTATCTATTTAGTATCAATACCTCATCAAGAAATGACTCATAATAATATTTTATTAAAATCCTTATCCTATAATATAAATGAATTTCAATAACAATTGGTATTAATTAATGATTTGGATACTGTTTTATTTAAAGACAAAAATTTTAATCTTGAAATAGCTTTAAAAGATATGAAAGGATAAAATATTAAAAATAAAAATAAAATAGAATTAGAAATACAATTATATTCATCAGATGACAAACCGACCTTGTTACAACAAAATTCTTAAAATTAAGTAATATTGAGATTGCCTGAAGATAACATTTGGTTATAAGATGGTTTGGCAGAAGTAGAAAAACTTTAAATCAATGAAGTTACATCTCATTATTAAAATGGTTGGGTACACATGATAGTATATCCGATTAAAAATAATAATAAAATAGGATAAGATGACATAAATCCTTCATTAATTAAACCTTTAATTTTGCAAATAGTAGTAAAATCAAAAAAAACATATAAAAAGTATATTATTCTTATTATTTAGATCCTCTCGATCTAGATCAAGATCTCATGAAAGATTAAGAAGATTAGAAAAATTAGAAGATAAATCAAGTTCAGAATCAGAGTAAGAATTTGAGTAAAGAGATATCAAAATATCATAAGAACGTTAAGATATTAGTGAAAATTAAAAAGATAATTAAATTGATAATTAAATAGAAGAATAAAATCAAAATGATAATGCTAAAAATAATGATAATAAAAATAACGAGAATGATAATAATGTCTAATAAGATGAAAATTAAGCAGAAAAAGAAGAAATTTATTAAAATAATGAATCTGAGTCTTGAGAATCATGACGAAATTCTGATACTTATTTATTAAATTTCATTCATTTAAGTCTCCAGGTTTCTTTTATTAAAGCAATAAAGTTCTCATCAGATTCAATATCAGCACTAACTGCAGCGTAATATTCTTTCCATTCCTATAAATTTATGAATAAATCAAATTATGTACATTTAAAGTTATTTGACCAGACTTATTACCTTCTCTAAAATATTGTAAGAACTCTATATAAGCTTAATCTTCTGTAAGTTCTCCTCTTCTCACTTTAGGATGATTTTTAGAATTAAATAATCCTTTGAAATCATCTGCAACTATAAATCCTAAATTGTCTTTATCAAACTTTTTAAATGCTTAAACAATAATTTCTAATCTATTTTCATTTGGAGATCCCTAAAATATTAAACTATTTATAATACTCTAATTAAATAAAGAAATTCAGCTACATCTATTGATCCATCTCTGTTTCTATCTAAATAATTCAATAAAAACTAAAGTTATTTTTATATTTACGTCTGTTTAGAACTTTGTTAGTACTACTCCATTTTATTTTAAACCAATCAGAAATTCATCTTTGTCTATTCTACATTTTTGATCAAAAGATTCAAAACCTCTAAATGTTTTCCCTAAAGTTCTTATTGTTGTTTAGGATTTTCCATTTAAATATGACTTAATCTTTTTAATGACTAAATTTATAATGATTTAAGTACTAATATCAAGTTATTCTTAAGAAGTTATCATTTACAAAATTTAATAAATAATTATAATATTTAATCGACTCAGCCGTATTAATTAATATTGTTTTTCAATAACCTTCAAGCATATCTCTTTATTTGGCAAATCTAAAAATTATATTATAGAAAAAAATTATTATATATTTTCTTTTTATACAATCCATTATTTGAATTTGGCTCTAAAAATTTATTTTAATTCATTTAAGATTTTAAGTATTTCTGTAAATTGTCATTTAAAGAATGAGTAATAAATATTAATAATTGCAATGATTGAATAAAAAGATGATAATTATTAAATAGTAGATAATACCAAAACTATTTCTAAATAAGAAATCTTCTAAGAGAATATTTCTAAATAGAAGTAAATGGAAGAAACTTTTTATGATAGGATTATAAATTAATATAGAAGAATCCCATTAAAAAAATAAGATGAAATATTTTTTATTATATTAGATTGTGATTATAAATTGAATACAAATTAAATTAGATTATTTGGTTTAACAGATCAATAATAATCATTAGAAATTAGGATAACTGATTATTTTCCTTATTTTTATATTCCTTTGCCATCAAAGTTATTTACAGAGGATGGTGATATTGAATATTTTTTATTTTAATTCAATAATCATCTATATAAACATGGAATTACTAATGAAATGGAACCGATCAGATAAATTAATATTATAGAGAGTGAAATTATAAGAAATTATAAAGGTTAGAATTACTTAAAGGAACCTTTTTTAAAATTAAGTTTTTTGAATGTAAATTCTATGAAAAAGGTTGCTTCATATATAGAGAAAGGTTTTAATCTTAATGGATATTAATTTTCAAAATAAACTTATGAAAGTAAAATAACTTATCCTTTAAAATTTATGATTGATTAAAATCTGAGAGGAATGGGATGGGCAATGGCTAAAAATTTAAAAGAAGAAGGAGAATCAAATTGTTAAAAAAGTTATATAGCTTTTACAACAGATATCATTCCTATTGAAGAATAATAGAACATTCCAAATTTAAGAATAATAAGCATTGATATTTAAACAAATTCAACATCAAAAATCTTATTTGATTCTTCTAAAGAGATTATTATAATAACTTGTATTATTTTGATAAATCCAGAGATTTAAAAAAGAATTGTATTTACATAGAAATAATGCTAAGAAATAAATAATACAATAATTTTTAAATCAGAAAATGAAATAGAATTATTAAAATAATTTCATGAATTTTTTATAACTTTTGATCCTGATGTTATAACAGGCTATAACCTACATGATGAAATATTACCATTTATCATGCAAAGATCACGAAATTTAGAATTAAATAGTGAATATCTTAATTATGGAAGATCAAAAAATGAAGAAAGTTTAATAACGAAAGGAAGATTCTTTAGTACAGTTATGAGACTAAGAGAAACTAAATTTGTAGAGACTAATGGTAGAATTTAATTAGATACTTTAATTTGTATGTTAAGAGATACAAAAATATCACAATATTCACTAGGAAGCATCTACTATTCTATTTTTAATAGATAAATAGAAATATATGATTAAGAAACAATAATTTAATTATATGACTAAAATAATATAAAAAGAATTGCTACATATAGTTTAAGGAAATCAGAAGCTTGTTTAGAAACATTACTTTATAAAGGGTGGATTTACATATATGCAGAAATTTCAAAAGTAACTGGAGTTCCAATAGAATATATAATTTAAAGAGGTCAATCAATTAAAGTATTGTCATAATTACTAAGACAAACCAAGAAAGATGGTTACTTAGTTCCTGATGAAAACCATACAAAAAAGGCAGAAACTTGTAATTTAAAAGGTGCTTTGGTTTTAGAACCTAAAAGAGGATTTTATAAGATTCCATTGGCACTTTTTGATTTTGTATCATTGTATCCAAGTATAATTATAGCTTATAATATGTGTTACACAACTATTATAAAAGATTATTCTATAAAATTGAATGAAAATGATTACTATGTGATACCAGAATTTGGACACAAATTTGTTAAATAACATATTAAAAAAGGAATTTTACCATAAATTTTAGAATATCTTTTAGAGAAAAGAGCATAAACAAAATAATAATTAAAAAATCAAGAAGATAAATAAAAGATAAGTTTATTAGATGCAAGATAATAAGCATTAAAGATAGCAGCTAATTCAATCTTTGGATTTACAGGGTGTGCAGAACATGGATATTTACCTTGTTTAGAAATCACTTAATCTATTTTAAGAGTTGGTCGAAGTATATTATAAGATTCTATCTAAATTATTCAAAATAATTACCCATATGCTGAAATATTGTATGGGGATACAGATTCATTATTAATTAATTTTTAAATTTCAAATTTGAAAGATCTATTTAAAGTTGCTGTTGAGGCATCAAATATAGTTACAAAGTCTTTTACAAAACCTATTAAACTTGCATTTGAAAAAGTTTACAATCCATTTTTGTTAGTTTGTAAAAAACGATATGTTGGTTTATCTTGGAAAAATGAATTAGCAACTGATTAGATTGAATAAAAAGGAATTTGTACAGTTAGGAGAGACAATACATAATTTTTAAAAAAGATTTTGAATTAAATCTTACATGAAATATTTATTTAATAAAATATTAAAAGAGCAATTAGTATAGTAAAAGAAAGTATTTAAAAATTAATAAATGGAGAAATTAACATTTCTAATCTTATTATATCAAAATCTTTAGCAATAAAAATTAAGGAAAATGATTTTATGGATGAAGAAGCCTTGAATAAAGAAGAAGAATATCATTCATATCCAGATAAATATCATGATATGAATTATATTCGAAAATAACCTCATATTAAAGTGGCTTAAGAAAAAGTTAAAAATAAATAAGCTAATACATTTTAAAAAGGTGATAGAATATCATATGTTATTGTTGATAATTTAACTGGTTAACAATTATCAGACACTGCTTTAGATCCATTAGAAGCTTTTAAAAATAATTATAAATTAAATATTTAGTATTACATAAACTAAATAAAAGTACCCATCATTCATATTTTAGAACATGTAATACCAAATCCAGAAGCATTATTTAATTTATCTTAATATTCATAATCTTCTACTAAAGTTTATTTTAATAACATTCAAAAAAATAGTTCCAAAAAGGCTCTCAATAAATATTTAAAAAAGAAAATCACTTGTGTGAATTGTAAAGATGAAGTTCCTATTAATAAACCAATCTGTTATAATTGTAGATCTTAATAATCTGATATTCTTTGTAAAATATCATAAGTATCTTTAAATTATAACATTAGCAACTTATAAGTTCCCAAAATCGTTTTTAGAAATATCATATGATATGCTAATAATGCTAACAAAGTTAATTTGATTAAATAATATGTAAAAATTAGGAATGTCATATATACTTTAAAAGGACTTAAGAATAAATAATTCTTTAGAATACTTGGGATAAATATGAATAAATTTATCATTGTGATTGGTGATTGTATATTATAAGTAGAAAAAATAAAAATTTTACTAAAATAATAAAATGATATATTTAGTCAAAAATATAAACAATTTTTAGTTAAATTTTCATATGTAAATAATGAAAGTATATTGACAAAAACACTTATAAAATAAGTGATTTTAAATCCTATATAAAATGATATCTAATGAATAGCTTTTTGCCCACTATCTAAATCCAGCAGCAATACTTAATATAAATATTTCTGTTTCCAGATGATTAATTTTCTGAATATGCTAAAAAAAAGTCACTTATTATTTACAATAAAAAACCTCTTATGTTTAATAATCTACTTTTATATCTAATTAACTTCTTTTTTTAAATTGTTTAAATAAAATAAGCAAAGGTTCTCTTACAATTTTTTTCCTATAAGAATTTCTTATTTTTAGGATTAAATTTTAATATATTCATAAAGAATAGCAAATAAATCACTACAAAAAACCTGGATTCATACTCTAACTTACAGCTATTGTTTTGTTAGAAATGCTTCATGTAATGGCAAATAACTAATTCTAAGCAAAAAATCATATTTTTCAAATTATAATAGGTTAAGTTATATTTAAAAAAAAAAGTAAAAAAATTATATTCTTCAGATTACAATATTTTTTAATTTACTCATAAGTAGTAAAATAAATGGATTCTGCAAATACACCTGAACTTCTTAAGTTAAATTTACTAGAAACTATTCCAAAATAATATCGATTCTTATGTTCATCCTATTGCTGATATTTTAAAAAAAGTTTATTATTTATATTTATTTAAAAAAGTAAATCATTTTCTTTTTATTAAAAGGGCATATTTACTAACATTCTGTTTCACCTAAATTTAATCAGGAATTATTTCATTTTATATGCTTTCAGAAAAAAATGAATTCAGAATTATCCCTGCTCTCATTTAATTATAAAATTCATCTAAAAATTCCTATTCTACTTTAAAATCTGTCTCCTATACACCTTAAGATCCATTAAAATCTCCCAAATGTTTAATGCATTCTATCAATAATTATATAAAGTCATATATCGATCCTATTATTTCCTTATTACTTTTATCTATTTTCTTTATAAGGAAGGTTGAAATTAAATGATTCTATCTCCATTTAAAATATTCTTCATTCCACCATTACAATTTCTTTGAGATTAATGTATTTACAACTATTAAGCATTCTATCGAAGTCTATTATTATCATGTTCTTTACTTAAACTAACTAATTTTGAAAAGTTTAAAATAATTCAACCTTAGCTTCACTAAAACTTGCAGAGCATCCTAATAATTTTTATGTTAAAGACACCAACTTTTTATAAATCTATATTAATTATAGTGCAGCATCCGTTTCAGGATTGAAGTTTCTAATCAATATAGACATTTTATGATTCAAAAAACTTTAAATTTCCTTAACAAAAAGCCATGTCTTTCCATCTTCAATGAATTTATAGTTTTTAATATGTTTTCTCAATAGCAGTGAAATATCGGGATATTTTAGAAGCTCTAAATCTATTTAATCAAAATATTAAATGTGACTCTTAATGCATGTTAAAATTATCACTTATTCTGATTCATAACCTGTTTGCTTTTAAGAATTATCTTTTTAACCTTTTCTTGAGCAAGTACCCATTATTAACTTGATATATATAATAATGATATTTCTAAATTTACTAAACTTAATAAAAACGTTTTTTATTCTTATTAATAATGAAAACTATAAGAATCAAGGTTAATCATTTTCCCATCTTCTAGCAAATAACACTGGATCATTTGATTATCTTATATTTTCGGAAATAATTTCAGAAATTATTTATATATCTTTATTCAATTTTATTAAGGTTATCTTTTAAAGATAAAATAACAATAGTTATGAAAAACTAATACTAAATTGGGTTAAATCTTTATTAAAAAATTATTCAAATGATTTATCAGGGGATGTATAAAAAACATTTTCAACTTTAGAATAATAAGACAAAAAATTATCAATCCATTGTTATATTAATTCTTATTTATATAATGAATGGCATTATTATACATAAGTTGCTTTGATACCTAATAGTTTTCTTAATAGAAAATAACATTTTTATTTGTCTTCTGTATTAATATTGTCAAAATTTTTAATTATTTAATTCAGATAGTTTAAGAATTTAAAAGTTGGTCTTATTTTAGCAGGAGGTTATTCTTCTTTTTCATCTTCTTTCTTTTTAGAGAATTCTGTTGTAACTTTTTCAATAGATAAATTTGATATCAATTTTGATAATGATTCTTATTAAAAGATAGGGGAAGTTCCTCTAGTTTAAATAAAATAGTTGGGTTTAAAGTCTTATGATTTCTTTTATTCACAAATTCCTGAGGATTTAAAAGGAGGTGTTATAATGGTTTTTTATGAGTTAATTATTCTAACAGGTGATTTGATAGTTTTGAAATGATTATTTTAATTATTTAATTTTTTTATATCATTATCATGCTTTAGATTTTATTTTTCTTAAAAAACTTATAAACAATTAGAAAGTTAATTTTGTTTAATTGTATCATTAGTACTATTTTAATGACTGTTTTATTTACACTCACTTTCATCAAGAGTAATAGGATTTTACAAATTAGATTTATTATTTAATGAAGTTTTCAAAGGAGTTTAGATAATGTTTGTTTAGATTTAAGGTGCTTTAATTAAAAATGCTTTATCTTCGAAACAAGAATCTTTAAATTATTCATCAATAAATTCATTGGAAATTTAAGTTTATAATCTTTTAGTAGATTATTCATCTCGTATTTTAAGTGGAGATTCTTTATAAGAATTACCTATGGGATACAAATTAAGAGTTTAAGAAGGCTTTAAGGTTTTTAAGATTTATTGTTTATTATTAATTTTGTATTAATCATTGGCACTCTATGGATTTAAATTAATTTTTAGATCTTTAAAGGAACTAATTTAATTAACTTTAATTATTTTAGGTTTATGGTTATCTTGAAGATTTTAAGATTTAGGAAACATTAAATTTTTTTCTAAAATTTCATCTGGTTGGCTTTTAGTGATTTATTTTGATATTAATGTATCATCAAATAAAACTCTTTAAGATTATTAATCTAAAGATGAAGGTATTGATTTAATAGATTTACATGGTATATTTTAATGTGATGTAGTAGAAAGTCTTTTTGGAGAATTAATAGTAGGATTGAGTTATTAATTAATTTCATTAACAGAATATCTTTTTGATGAATCAAAATTAAGCATATTAAGTAAAAGTTCTTTAGTTTTATTAGATGTTTAATTGTCGGTTAGAATTTTATTAATTAACAAAGAATGTTTTTTTTCAATATCGTTTACTTATTTTAAATTTGAAGGTAGTTGTTTATATAGCATTTAATACAAAACTATACCCAATGCCCATATATCAGATTTTTCAGAATATTCATTACATTAAATTGTTTCTGGAGCCATGTACATTGGAGTTCCAACATTAAACTTTTTGATTATGCTTTCATATTAATTCTCAATAACAGCAAAACCAAAATCAGCTAGTTTATATACACCATCAGATTTCAAAATGTTGGCTGGTTTAATATCTCTATGTATTATCTCTATTAAACTTTACTTAAAAGGTGTTACTTTTATCATGTAATGCTTTGATTCCCTAAATAATTTATTGGAGAACTTATAAAGCATCTGTTTCTGTAAATGTAGATGATTCCAAAATGTCTGCTAAATCACCTTCATTACAATATTCACATATTAAATAAGTGTTGTTTTAACTTTCAAATGTTTCAAATACTTTCATTAGATTTGGATGACTTATTAATTTAAGTACATTGATTTCATTCTTCAGTAAACTTTTTGAAATTGGAGTATTTAATTGTTACATACTTATTACTTTTATAGCAACAACCTAATTTGTGATTGTATTAATTCCTTTGTACACTTTTGAAGAATATCCAGAGCCTATTAAATCACTTAAAGCATAGGTATAATTTGAAATAGATTTTCTAACTTTTTATGAATTTTTATCCATTGAATTTATTTTTTTTACTTAAATAATCAAAAATTACAGATTTAAGATGATTTTAATGTTCCCTTAAAATGGAAAATATAATTTAATATATACTAAAGATCTTTATCTATAATATAAAATGGAATCATTTTTATGTATCCACGAATACATAATTCTTATTTAATTTTTCTATATCTTTCTCCAATTAAGCTAATTCTTTTTCACATTATTCCTTCCTTGTAATAATCATGATTATATTTACTTTCTTTTTAAACCAACAGTATCTATCATTCTAATATGAGTAATTGATTAATATTCTTTATTGACTGATTCCCATTTCTTTTTTAGTCCTTCTTTTAATTATTGTACTTCTTCCAAAGACAAAAGATATTTTTGCTTATCCATTTCCTCTGCTTCACTAATATGCATATTTCTAATAATTTCATATTCACTTGAAATGCTTTATTTAATTTTTGTTAAATAATCTGGAACTTTTCCATAATCTTTTTTTGAAGTCCAAGCTACATCATCAACTATTTATTTTGGTGCTGATAAGATGTTTTCAACAGCATTCGTTATTATATAATTTTTATTTGATTTTAAACCATGTATTGGTTTCTCATCCTTTTTTGGAACATTTGGTTTAATAGAAGGTGGATATTTATAAGATTAAACTAATTATAATAAATTTTTGATACTTTCAGGTAATTAATTTGATCCCATAGTTCCTGTATTCTTTAATCTAAACATTGTAGTATCAGGTTTATATGAACCTATCTTATCATTTAATTTAATTTACCTTTTGGTCTACCGAGAGAGTTTGATTGCCCTTTGTGAGAATGAGGACCTTTTACTAATTCAAATTCTCCATTAATATTGTTAATCTTTAAAGATAACAGACAAAGGTACTTTTGGTCGGCTTGTTGTATGATTATTAAAAGTGCTTGATGTAGGAACAAGATTTGATGGATATGCAGATCTATACATAGGCTCTTTTGGAGGAGGAACATACTCTTTAGGAATTAAATTGTATATGCTTTCTTGTTACATAATTTAATTAAAATAATTATATCATTAATCTTAACTTTCTAAAAATTGATCTGGTTCATCATCTTATTGAACTTCACTTATATTATTAAGTAACTAACTCATCTTATGATTCTTTATTTATAATTATATATTTACATTGTTTATGAACATTTTAAGATCTTCTCCAATCTATCTTAAACGTAAAGCTGTGTATGTAAATACTTCAGATCGATCAATTTTTTTGCTCAGAATTTCTGCAAATATTAATTTAAAAGATTGTTCTAATCCAGTATCACCCAGATACTTTTAAAATTATTTAATTTAAGCTTCATTTGAAGTAATTGTAACTTCTTCAATAATTAGACTCATTTCACATAAATTAAATTTTAAGCTTTAAGTTGTATTTAACATAGACAATAATTATTCCCATTTAACCTTTGTCTCTGTTATTAATTAATCTTTATTTTCTCCTTTCCAAAGATGGATTGAAAATATGATTTCTGATTATGTTTATTTGACATTGAAATTCTGATCCCATTTTGCAATAGTGATTGTGTCCATATCTACTTTAGTTTGATATATTTAATCCCCTTCTGTCAATTTACAATAAATATCTTATTTATTTTTATTGTTAGGGAAGGTAACACTTAAAATTGAAATTTTATACATTAAATAAATTATGGAAGGATTTGAGATTGAATTAATATATATTCCAAATAATTTTAAGAAATTAACTTGATACTTGAAGTATGAATATTTTAATATTAGATCTTTAAAGATAAATGCTAATTCTTAGTGTACAAATAATTTACTATTGTTTTCAATTTGAGGACTGGATGTAGAATAACTTAAAAATATAAATATCGAATAAAAGGACATGATGAATTAATTTAAATAGTTTGATCGCCTGCTATTTATTACAACATGAATTCATACATATATATTTATAATCTAGATAATATTTTAATCAAAAAAATGTACACTCTCTTTTTGAAATAAAATATTGTTTTAATCACAAAAATTTAAGATTGTTTCATTTTGAATATAGATATTCTTGATTAATATTTGGCTCTAGGTTCAAATTCTCATATTATCTCTTTATGGTTTAGAAATGTAATGAATTTTGATAAACTAACCATAAATATTAGGAAAATTATAAAATCCAAGTCATATTTATACATAGGATCTAATGAGGTCAGATATAGAATTTTCAATTAGAGATGTAAAAATATAAAGCATTTCTTTAGAGTATTCAAAATCATATACAAAAAATATCATCTGTATCTTTCCTCAATGCTCTTAATTTTAAGCATCTGAGAACATTGGTGAATGTTAGAGAAAATACTTAGTTAAAAATAGAACTTAATTATATTCTATTATGTTTTCATTATAGGTATGGTATATTAAATGGATTTAAATAAATGAAGTCACAATAATAATTTCATCATCTGAAATTGATAAAATAACCATTAATAATTTAGTTGTAGGTTTTAAAGATTCAATTAAAAAATATGTCAAATTATAATTAGAAATTAATAGTTATAAATGAAGATTTCTATAAAAATACTACTTTCTATGTAGAAAGATTTCAAAATCTTCAATGGTTAAAAATTTTAATCTATTATTGACGTGTATCGTTATTTTTATTAATTTATTTCCATAGCATGATAAACAATTTTTTTTAATGAATTTCATAATTTAGATGAAATTCTTAATAATTTAGATCATATAATTAAAATAAATGCAGAAAACTTAATTTAAGCTGACATTTAATAGACACAAAAGAGTTTAGATACCATAATTGTAATTTTAACTAGACTAAGAAATATAAAGCTATATAGAAATAGAGTATGATAATAAATTTAATTGCTTATTTATTTTAATTAACAACATAAATGAATAATAATAAAACATTTTTTAATTTAATGAAAGATTTTTAATAATATATTCAATTTTATGGCTTAGTGATTATGATTATAGTTTATTCATATAGGTCTTTTCTCAACTCAAATAAGTATGATATTAATTTTGTTAACATAAGTGAAACTGGAGCTTGTTTTAAACATATATTTCCTAAATATTGTTAAAAATAATATCTATGAAATTAATAATAAAACTTTTAAATATTAAATAAACAATATTATGTATCTGGTAGACCAAAAAATCCCTCAGTTGGAACTAAGTATATTTATAAATGATACCGATTTTATTAATCTCCAGAAATATTGTTGAATTACAATTTTTATGATTATTAAATACATATTTTCTTAAATGGTGTAATTGTTTTATAATTAATAAAAATCTTTAAAGAGAGATAGCGAAAGTTTTTGGTATAGGAGGTTTGAAAAATGCAGCTTAAAATATGAAAATTAAAGTTGATTTTAGTGATTTTCCAGATTACTAACTTATTAATTTGAGTAAATTTATTACTTTCAGTGATTAATATTATTAGTCAGATGCATTAGATTTATTATAAAAAATGATGGAATATAATAATTCATTTTAAAATATTATTAGAAAAAATAGATAGCTCCAAAAGATGTATATATTGTGATTCTATAAGAAATTAATTTGAATGAAGTGTTAAAAAGAATATATTAATATAATTTTAACTGTTTATTATATATTGAAAATAATAATGGATCTTAAGTTAAATAAATAGAAGCCTCATAAAACAAAGACTATGTCAAATAAGGAGATTTATAGAATTTTAGCATTTGAGTTCCAATAATAAGATTCTTTGGGGATTAAAATAGATTTAATTGCAGAGATGGTAAGTTCATTGTTTTATCCAAATGATTAAAATGGAGAAGCTAAACAGAATTTCAAAAATTTAATCACTTAATCATTTAAAAGTCATTGTTATAAAGATGAAATAAATGAAGAATCATTTTGTAATGCAATGAATTCAGTTGAGAAATATATAAATGAAGAAACAACAGATAGATTTCTATAAAAGATATTTAAAAGACATGATTCAGATAAAGATGGTTATTTGAATTAATAAGGTAAGATAATAATGTAAATTTAGAATTTATATTTTTAATGAAGAATTATAAAGATAGTCATTTAACTGAAGCAGATATGTTAGCGATATATAATAGAATGTCATAAGGAGATCCAAAAGGAGTTAGTTATGAAAATTTTAAAAAATATTCATTATGATTAAAATGAATATAAATATAAATAATATTGATGAATTATAAAGATTTCTTAGAAATAAGTGGATAATTTAGTTTAGGTGGCTTGATAACAGAATAATCACATCCACATACAGTAGGCTTATCTGAATTAGCAAAAAGTGATTTAAAAAGTGGAATTTAAAGAATGAAAGATTTAGATATGCATGTATTTGATGTATTGATGAATAAATTGGATTAATTGGAAGAAATGAATAAGATGGTTTTAGATACATGGTCTAATGGTAATAGAGTATTCATATGTGGTTGTGGATCAACAGGAAGATTAGCATTAACATTAGAAACTCTATATAGATAAATTACAAAATAAACTAATGTAATATCTTTTATGGCAGGTGGAGATGTAGCTATAATAGCATCAGTAGAAGATTTTGAAGATCATCCTGAATTTGGAGCATAATAATTAAATGAATTAGGATTTAAAGAAGGAGATTTATTAATATCATCTACAGAAGGAGGAGAAACACCTTGGGTTATTGGAGCTGTTTAAGAAGCAAGTAAAATTGGAAAACCATTTTTTTTATATTGTAATCCAGATGAAGTATTAACTGTTTAGAGAAGTCAAGATGTATTCAACAATCCTGATATTTATAAAATTAATCTTACTGTTGGACATTAAGCTATTACTGGTAGTACTAGAATGTAATGTTCAACTGTCTTAACTTATGCTATTGGATTAGCCATTTTATGTCAAGAAAACTTTACTGATTATGCTACTAATTCGATCAAAAATGTTAGACAATATTATGAATCTATTGATGCTTTTGAATTTATTAGCAAATTCATAGAATTAGAAGCTGATTGTTATTTGAAGAAAGAATATGTATTCTATAGATCAAAACCTAATATTGCTATCAATATCTTAACTGACACAACTGAAAGGTATAACTTTTTAATATTATTTAGATGTCCAACTTTTAGTTTACATCCATTTGAAAGTATCTTAGATAATCCTATAAATCCTAGTTGGTCTTATTTTGTGATGGATGTTGATCAAGAAGTTTATAAAAATTCATTAGATGCTTGGGAATAATTACTTTATGGTAGATAACCTAGGGCTTTATCATCAAATTATTGGCATAAGTATTAACATAAAGTGGGATTAGAAAAATGTATATTTATTATTATATTTAAAGTATTATCTCATGATATAAGTCAAGACTAGATAGAAAGAAGAATTAAATATGCTGAAGGAAATCATTATTAATTTAAAATTATTTATGATTAAAATAATTTAGAAATGTCATGGGAATTTTTATCACCTAATTTAGAAAGAATACATTTTTCTAAAATTAAAGCTATTAATGATGTTTTAGGATAAAATATTGTTCTTAAATGTCTTATTAATATTCATTCTACTTTATTAATGGGTAGAATTGGAAGATATCAAAGTAATATTATGATTTATGTTCGTCCAACTAATAATAAATTGATTGATAGAGCAATAAGATATGTACTATATTTATTGAAATAAAATAATATTCTTAATGAAAACATTACTTATGCATTAGTCTGTGAAAATCTATTTGAAGAAATTAAGACATTAGTTTATGGAGAATCTATTGTTTTAAAAACATTTGAAAGAGTAAAAAAATTATTTTTATTATGAAATTTTAATATTTTTGCCGCAATTTTTTTTTAAATAATTATTTATGTCAGACATTCCTCAGATTAATATTATTTCAAATGACTGTGTCAGTATAAATCAAATGAAAAGAGAAAAATTTAGAATGGATATTAGAAAAAATAAATTAGAAAGTCTTTTCAGATAAAATAGAGGAATTCAAAGATTAGGTGACTCTAACCTACCTTCAACTTAAAACTTACTTGATTCTTTATAAGAATTTCTTAAATCGGATTCCAATAAAACCTTAAATGAACTTTGTAATCTGATCGATTCTAAAGATTTATTTGAATCATATTATGAAGTCTCTTAATACATTATTGATATTAAATACTATCTCATTTAACCATTAAATCATCAATCCCATTTCAATAAGATGCTCTAATTATTGAAAAATTGTATTATTGTTAATCCAAAAGTTGTTAAAACAATACTATCAGATGAAAAAGAAAAACTTGATCTTGCCTTGTTTTTCTAATTAATGAAAATTTTATAATCTACAGAATGGAAATCATTACATGTTGATGCATTAAATATATTGAATTTATTAATAGAACAAGAGAGTTAACTTTTAGATATACTACAATAAGAAAAGTTATTATTATAATAAATAATTTATTAAGCATTTGATTTAGCTATTGATGACTATTTAATGGCTCTTACTGAATTTTTATCTTTGTATTTACAAGCAAAAAGAAATTTAAAATTTGATGATTAATATAATATTACAATGGAAATCCTTAATAGAGCTATTTAAATTAAAGATTTATAAATTATTTATGGTTCAGTCCTTTTAGCTAATTGTTTAAGTGAATAAGAATTCACTTTTTTTTAGTAAATATACTCAATTGCTGATATTATTGTAGAGTATCTTGAATAAGATCTCTCTTAATTTGAATATATTGTCATTTTTAAAGTAAATTATTAATTATATATATTTAATAGACTCTTAAAATTTGTATTAAAAAGATGTCTGAATTGTTATTTCCATTAATTGGAAAAAATAATATTATGGAAATAATGTATAATTTATCTTGCAAATTAGAAAAATAAGCAGGAAAAGACTTATTAAAACTAATATCATGCTTTTACAAAACTTATACTAATTTATGTTGTGTTATTGAAGATCAAATTTTGAATAAGTATGTATAAAGATGTCTTTTGGAATTTCTTGAAAAATTTGTAGATTATTATGCTTAGTCTAACTTTGCCTCTTATTATAAAATAAAAGTTTTAGAGAAACTTATTAATTGTTAAAAGCACATCTAATTTAGACTCTAAGAACAATAATAATTCAATCCTGAACCATATATAGTATAATATATATTTTTATTATTAGAAATTTTTTGGAGTAGTTGAACAAGCTTTAGATTAAGCAAATCTTAAGGTGGAATAAATTTTATATTATATTGAAGCTTTATCAAATATTATATAAATAGAAGATATGCGTTATTAAACAGATATTCTGAAATTAATTCCAAATTAATTATATGAATAATTAAATAATCTTAGTGTGCATGAAAATGAAAGAGTGGCTTAAGAAACAACTAATTTGATTGTATTATTGCAATTTTGTTGATTAAAAACCTAAAATATATAATAAATTTATAATAATAATGAAAAAAAATAGTATTTTGATTTAAACAATTAAATTATGTAACAAATATGTCAATATTTAACTGGATTCAATGTAGAAGGAGTACCATGGCCAATTTTTAATTAAATAGGTTTATCCTTTTCTATTTTTTTATAACTAAAATATAATAATAAATAAATACACATCTGATTGACCAATTTTTTCAACTTTAGGAAAATTAGGATCTCTTTTTTAATTAAGAGTCTTAATAACAGGTTGATCTGATCTACCGATAGTTTCTGGTAATTTAGGTTCAAATCTTTATGATTAAACATTTTCTTTCCATGTTAAATTCACTTTAGATTTACTTAAATCTTAAGTAGCACACTATTGTCCTCTCACATGATCTGGTTTTTCATAAAAAACACACATTCTTTTAGGTTCCTTAAATAAAACAGATTATTTACATATCTTTAGCCTACAAATGGATTATCTTAATAAACTTTATTTTCAGGATCTTTTTTTGGTTCTTTAATAAAATTACCCAAAATATCAGCTTTAGCTAATTGTTATTACCTTTGCTTTTTAATTTATTCAATATTTTCAGGAGTATAATATTTATTTGTAGAAGAACACCATTCAGGTATATCATCAGATACAATTTGTACATTTTTAATTAATTATTGACTTTTAAGGTCATTGTTAATTCTTAATAAAGGTTTTGATATTTCAAACATATTAGATCTAACCAAAGTATTTGATTTAGATTCAGTATTTCCTGATGAAGTAACTTAATATTCATTTTTGTTAACAAGTTTTCCTTACTCACATTTTGATTGTTATTGCACTCGTCTATAATATATTTGTAATTATATACTCTGCATACTATCTCTCTTTAACAATTTTCCAATTGTGAAGATGATTAGGTTACTCTAGATTCTGTTATCTTGCTGCACTTTAATAAAATAACTTATCTTCTTATTATTATGGCTTTGTAGTATTGTGCATAGTATCAAAGAAACGCTCTCTTTGTTATTTTAGATTTACAGATATACTTATAATCAGCATTTATTTTGTGGTATTATTTGTGATGGAATTCTTAATTCAAAGCATGAGCACTTTATTTAAAATCATGTTTTTAAGGATCTTCAAAGTTTCTTTTATACAATGATTCACCATCTCCCTATATTAAATGATATATTAAATACTTTGCTTGCTTATCTTTGCTTAAAACGAGAAGGTGGATCTAAAGATTTAGGAAACTGTCCTGTACTATAAAATGATAACATAAATAATTTAATAATATTTCATTCTTCTTTTTATATCTCTGAAATAAATACACTTTTTTAAATCACTTCTTCTCTATAATGATTATAAAGTAATTCAATGTATTTATTAATAAATATCCATTTGTCTTCAGATAATTTATGGTGTTTCTCCAATCTAATTATCTTTGAAACAAAATGAGTTATTTAAAAATCTAAACATAAATATTTATGGAATGATTATTGACTCATTTAGACATTTGCTTAACAAAATGAACATTTATAAGTTGTTTCCATTTTATATTATTCTTATTAATCTATTATTTTATGTAAAATATATATATTAATAAATAAATGAATCTAAGATAATTTATTTAGAAATCATAAGCCTTAAAACTTTATAGAGAATATATAAAGATAGCACCAAATCATGTTAGAGATGAATGGATATAGGAAGTTAGAACATAATTTGAGGAAAATAGATATGCAGATGATAAATTAGCATAAACACTTATAGCTGCAGGATTTCAATAATTAAAAAAGGTGAAGAAATGGAATTGATGACAAATACACAATCATTGTTTGACTTTGACTTATTTATTCTTTCTTCTTTTCTTACATTGATGATGTAAAGTTAAACCCATAACAGCAAAAATAAATCCAATAGTCCAACCATAAATACATTATTTGAGTGTATGATAAATTAAATAAATTCTGGAATATGGTACAATAAGCATAGAAATGACAGCAATTAAATGTCTAGTTTTTAATTTCATTCCAATAACCAAGATTTCAATTAAAACCCAACTTGTATATAATCCTGCAAATATTGAATGACAAGATGGAAGTCCATATTTTAAAGAGCATGAACCATCTGGTCTATCTTCCTTAAAATAAATTACTTTGACTACATCACAAGTTCTATAATATATTCATATATATATAATATACATATGTGCACATAAATGAGTTCCTGCACGAATCAGTGATCTCATGTCTCTTCTTTTCAATAATAATATTCCTAGTATCAATCCAAAAATCCAAGGCAATAATGAAATAATGACCATAAATAATTCATAAAGTAATGATGCATCTGTCAAACCATTTAATCCTTCTTCTTAGACTATTTGCCAGAAAGGTGAAAGAGGACAGGCATCCATCAATTTTATTATTAATGGACAATCTAAACAATGTTCAAAAGGAGGTTATCTCATTTTATTATTTAACACTCCTTTTATTTTACTTTTTTCATTTATACACTAGATGTACGTCACTTTAGCTATTAAAACATATTATTTTTTATATATTATAGAAATCAGTATTACCATTTTGATAGTCCATTAAATTATTGTTCTTATTAGTAATAATTATGATCATAAGATTGCATATTTTATTGCCTATCATTTATATAACTAAATACATATTAAATTATGGCAATGTTTAACCACTCGATTAAGGTTAATATTTTACAGGTTATGGTGCTTGATTGAAAGAATATATTAACATATGCCATCCATTTTACTTAACAAAATAGTATTAACTTATACTTCAAATTCAAAGACTTTGTCATCTGTATTATAATAACTGAATTAAGCATTCAAATCCTCTCTACGATCCCACATAAATACAAACCAATACGGTCCATACTTATTATCTAATCTATGTTTAACAAAATCTGCGGGATTTTTGAATTCTTATTATTATCTGCTTGCTTTATAGTATTCTAAAATGTCTAATTTTAAGGCTTCATTTATTCCGTAACCCAATTTTATTATCTAATTTCATAGTTAAATGTACTTCTAATTTATCTTCATCATCAAAACTATTTGCTTTCTTTATTTGAGGCTTTTAATTTGATTTTTCTAATTAAGGTTGCTACTTTTACATTTTTAATATTATTAATTTATGTTATAATCAAAAGAAAAAGTCTAAGAATTATTTAACTCAATTGATTAGCCAACATTATAAATATCATCTATGTAGTACTCATTAGTTAAAAATAATTAAATTCTTCAAAAAATAAATTAGTTTGAATTACATAATTAAATAAGAATTTTGGTCCATGAATTATTTGAAACTTATTTTTAAGAATTTAATCAACAAAGATTAGATTATTAACAAACTCTATATTCTTAAAATGATGAAAGAACACTTATTATTAAAAAAATAAAATAGTGAATTTTAGAATTGTAAATAAGTTTTAAAATATTTAAAAACAACTAAAAATTATAATAATAATAAGGAAATATTGTAATCTTATTAAGATAAACTTTTATAATTATAAAGAAAAGCAACTTAGTAATAATTAAGTTTATACTCAAAATTAGGAATTATTATCCTCTCATTAACTGAATATTCATATAACTCCTAAATCTGATGATAGTAGTGAAAGAGTTGGAGCTAAAAATGGAAATGATTTAGAGATCAATAGAGATGAAATTGAATTTTATAAATAAAATGAATTAAATTATCATTAGTAAAGAATGTGAATTTTTATTAGATAGAGAGCTGTTGGTAGACTATATAAATAATTTAATATTTTATATAAGTAAATGATCAAATCTTTTGAGTTAAAAAATAAAAACTATGAATCTTTAAATTAAATTACACACTAAATGAATGAATGAATTAATCAGTAAAATACTATTACACTATTACCTAATGAATAAAATGAAGTTTAGCAATAACTATGATAAATTATTATAATGTTAAATTCAATGAAACTAAGAAAATGTATAATATAATGAACAATCCTATACTTAAATTAGTTTATTAAATGAATAAAAATATCATTTCAAAGTGGTTTCTTTTTGTTTAAAGCTAAACTAGATCAATAACTGAGAAATGAAAATTTTATTTATTAGGTTCTAAAATTTAGTAGGATTTATGCTAAAGTCTAAATAATTAAGTTCTCAATCCCAGAAAAACTAATACAAAAATACTATTTTAAAGTAGAGTAATAAAAATGAATGATAATAATATTTATAATCATTTTCCAGCTTATTCTGCTTCCATATGAGTATATGGTTTTTCTTTAACTCTTTTTTCTTATTTTTTATGCTTTAATATTTTTAGATGAATACTTATTTACTAATTTAATGTTTTTTAATTGATTCTTCATTTACAAAGTATCTTGCACAAGAAACACAATAATATTAACCTAATCCAGGTAAAGTTTCATCAATTGGTTAATTTTACCATTTTTATATATTTTCTGGTTTAATATCATCATGAATTTAATCATTAGCTCTTTTATAGGATTTGGTTTTCAACAGACGATGATGTTACTTATTTTTTGCAGAATTTCCTTTTCTTTTATAAATACCACCCATTTAATAAATAATATTTTAAATATTTCATTATTCTTAATCTATTAATTTGACAAGATCACCAATTCCTTTAATAGTTCCTGTAGATACTAACCATTCTCTAAAATTGCCTTAAATAGCATGCTAAAGTAGTTTCTGATTTTCTTCTCTCAGATTGGATTACTTGATTTAGGCTTGAAAAGTAGCAAATAGTTAATATCTATCATAAACAGCTTTAATGTATTCAGGGGGAGCCAATAGTGGAAGAACGATTCTCTTATTTAAAATAAAATTAGTTACTTTTCAAAATTCATCTATTAAGTTAAGATTTTCTTTTCTGTAATTTCTTTATTCATTCTATCTATATCAAAATTACATTCTAAAATTAAAGGAAAATCTATGCATCCAAAATGTGATTCTGGTAAAATAAATTTACTAAATTCATCAATAGGTAAAATGGACCAATCAATCTTACTTTATCCAATGATTAAGGGTTTCTAGTATTTATCTCTACATTATTTATTTATAGGTATTTATGCTTCTCTTAATCTTTAAAGTGTTTTTTCTGTATTTGAATTATTAGGAGCAAGGATAATAGATCTACAATCACCATAAAGGATTGGTTAATATGAACCATAATAATGGATTGTTGAATCTATTGTATTGCTAATTTTAATATAATTAGATGCTACACAAACCGTTATCTTCTCACATGAAGTGATACTAGTGATCATTTTAACTGAGCCAACAAATATTTAACAATTTGTGCATTGAGATATTGATAATGTGTTTACACAACAATCAATATAAATCATAGAGTCATCACATTAAGATATTTTTAAATCTCCTTCAATGTTATTTTTGATTGTAACAGACTTTGTAAAACCACAGATTGATGATGCTATATAAATATAATACATTATTACCAAATTCTTAACATTAAATATTTTTAATTGTCCATTCTGATACAATCTCTCTTCCTAATTTATTAGTTCGATCAAAAATCATTTAACTTATAGATTTCTATTCGTTATACAAAATCATTGATAATATGTTAAATTCTTGACTAGTTATAGTATCTTAATTATTTGTTAAAAAAGATATCCAATCTTTAATATTTGATTTAACAAATTATATTACTTACTGTAATTCATTTTATTAAGATTGAACTCTCATAGTTTTTGCTCTTGGAGAATTCAATGGAGAATATGAATTAATTGGTTGTCTTTATCTTTCTTAATATTTTACATCGTTTATATTGATGTTTTCGAATATTGAATGTCTTCCCGCATGATTAAAATTTTGTAAAGACAAGAATAAAGTTAATTATTTGACATCAACTAATTTACGTTCTATTATTGGCTAATTTTCTAAAGCCAACTAAAAAAAAGTAAAAATAATATCAGCATCTATATTAGAAACTGAATAATTTTGAGCTAGGTCTTTAAATTATTCTAAAGAGATATATTAAGTATTTATTTGACTTAAAATCTAGGGATTCAATTTGAATGGAAATATAAAGTGTTCAAAAATAGTAAATTTGATGTTTAGAGCTCTATTATCCAATTAAAAGGACATCTAAATTGAAATTTAATTTAATCAATCTGATTTATTAATATAGTTTTACAAAAACATATTAATCCTTAAGTTTCTTTAATAGATAAACAATAATAAAAAGTAAATAGAAAACACAGAATTAGTTTTGAAATAAAAATAAGATTTCAATAAAATATATATTTATATATTTATGTATTAGAATAATTCTGAGGTAAATCATACATAATCATAATAGCATTATGAATTTATGAATAGTAATCTTGTGATTGAAGAAATCGCAGTGGAAATAGAAAATTATAAAGAAGTTGTCCAAATTGCTGATGAAAATAAAATCAAGGTGGCACTTGTAATGTATAGCAAAAATAAAAAACTAGGTAGACAACTAAAAACTTAAATAAGAATTCTTACTTGCAGACAACTTCTTATAATTCACCCAAGTTCTTATCATTTCTAGTATAAGTCAAAATTGTGATTATGACGATCCATTCTTTCATTACATTCTTATGATAACTAAAGTCATTCGTAAGGCACTTAAAAGAATGTTAGTCCCTAATAGTATTAAAACTAAATAGGAATTCATTGTATTGTTAATCTAATATAGAGATCAAAGAAAATCAACTTTTTCGTTGTTTCTATTAAGATATCAATATTGGGTTCATTACTTCCACTGGTTAAATTAAATCCACTGCTTTTATCTATATCCACAAGAACATAAGAGATTTAATTATTAAAAAGATTGTGATTGATTAAAAATAAGAGAGAGTTAGATTTTTAATGCATTTTTTTAGAATTGAAAACATCATCAAGATACCATATGTACAATTAGATTACAAACATTAATTTATTAAAACTAATAAATTCAAAAATGAATTCCTCATATTAAATGAAGAGTCTGAAAATCATCAAACTTTATTTCATGTCTATAAACCTATGGATGATTAGATTTACTTTATAAAGAGAGTAATATTTGAAATTAATAATATAATAGATTCATTTACCTGCTACTTTAACCTCATCATTTATGAATGTTTTTCATGCTAAAGATGTATATATAAGTAGAGCTAAAATACTTGCTTCCCTTTCACATCCTAATATAATTAGATTATATGATTGGTGGCTTGAGATTCTCAACTATTAAACATATTTATTTATGTAAATTGAATATTGCACATATCCACGTTATATATCTTAAGCCAAAAATTTACTTAGCTATGCTTATTTTTATATGAACCCTATGTCATGCAAATAAAAACACAAATTAATTTAAGATATTATGTTATAAATAATGCAAGGATTAGAATTTTTAAAATAAAGAAATATTCATGTCATCGATTTAAAACCAGAAAATATTATGGTTACAATTACTGTCACTGGAGATTTATAAGTAACTATTTTATAGATTTTAATAGGTCTTGATTACTGATTTCAATCCCAATTAAAATAAAAAATAAACTATAACTAATAGAGAAAATATATCACCAGCTTTTGGAGCATTAATTATGCATTTAATTTTAACTTTTCCAGGAGATGGCACACTAAGAAATAATTATATTAATAAATTCTAAAATATGAGCTTATAAGATTCGATATCACTTTTTGATTCATGGGCTTAAAAAGTAAAAAATAGAAATCGCGATTTTTCATTTTATCTCTTCAAAAATTTAATGCAATCAGCTCTATCCCTTTTAATAAATTAATAATAATATCATGATTTCAATGAACTTAAAACTATTATTTAAAAAATCGTTTGATTTATAATTAATATTTGATGTCATATGAATTTATTTTAAGGATATTATGTATGATTAATAATAATATATGATAAATAACAAATATGAACTAAAATAATATTCATTAATATCTTCTATTATTAAATCTTTATTTAATTTTTATAATATAAAAACTAAAAAGTATTAGTATTTATTATCACGTTTTAATTATTATTTTTACTCTCTGTACTTTTTAAAATTTGCTTCTAGTTTGTTATCTCTTAAGTGTTAAATTCATCTTTTAAGATATAAATAAACTACTAAATGATTAATAATCAAAATAAGAAACAGTCCCTAAATATTTAAATTTAAATAAATTCCTTTGTATGTTTTAAGTAATTTTAATGTCTAAAAATGATCAAAATACTATGGTATGACATATCTGTGAATTATTATTAGATTTATAACGAAGCTTTTTTTAATTTTACAATCATTTATTAAAAAATAACACACTCTTATGATTTTTTCAGAAGCTGTAAAAACTTTTACATTACTTTTTAGCTTGGAGAAGACGATGAATATGTTCGACTTCAAAAAATAAGTTTAGGAATTAAAGAAGTTTCCATGAACTTAAGAAACATGTAAATTATAACAGATCATAACATCTTAAAATCAAGTTTCTATTTATAACTTATAATAAGTGATTTGCTCTTATCCTTTCTAATAGGCAAGCATTGAGTTGTTGATTTCAGCTTTCTTTGATTATTTTAAACATAGGTTATTCCTTTTGGCTTTTTATAGGGCACTTTAAGAAGTAAGTGAATTATAAGAATACAGAGAATTTTTAGGGAATAGAAGTACCAGAAATTTCAAGATGACAATTAAGTAATCAATATATAATAAATAATAGTGGAAATGTTAATAAGATTATTGAAGAATAATAAAAATAAGGTTCCATACCGTTCTCAAAATAAGTTATAGAGAAATTGTTAATAGCTAAAAGATTCGCTTGTTCTTACTTGAAGAGATTCTTTTAATTGGCGATTGAACTAAATGCAGATTTGGAAGAGATGTCAAAGATTTTTAAATAGTTTATCATACATACTAGATGCCATAAATTTTAATAATAATTAATTGATTAATTCTTTGATTGCAAATAGAGTATATTTTATGACTTTCCATGGAAGAATAAATATGATTTAGAATTAGATGATTGTAAATAATTTTATAATTTTTAAGTTTGTAAAAGATGGACGATTGAGGTTACCCCTAAATGGGTTTTAGAAAGAAAATAATCTATGTCATCTTTTAATTATATCTAAACAGAAAAATAAATAAAACTTGAATTAGAAGATGAATATATAACACCAGCCAGTAAAGTAGAGTCTGTTGCTGATTATGTCGAGATTATGTAGAAAATAATCTGTAAACCATTAGAAATGGTTTCTCAACATGAACTACTTCATCTACATAATAATGATAATATTGAGATCCTTATCAAATTCATCATTAATCCTCTTGAAATGGAGCTCATAGATGATTGGGTATTTATTATAACACTATTTAAGGGACTAATATTTTAAAGGAAAGAAATAGAAAAATAAGATTACAAAACCATTTTTAAATCTAATATTATACCTCTAGATTATCTTTATACAATTAGATCTTTCAAAAGCCTTTAATTTTTGACCTAAAAAATTAATCATTCTAGATTTTATCTAACAATTTAAGAAATGACTCCTAAAATATGTATTTCATTTATTTCATAAATTAGTTGAATAAATTCTAGAAAGTTTTAATATAGAATCAATTTAATTGAATTTAAATCACTTAGCCATGCTAATAGACTAATTATTATTGATTTGTCCGAAAACAAGTATATTAAGAATAATTGAAATGGATATTCTATTTTTATTGTTACTTTATTCAAGTAATACATACATAGAATCTTTGTTATTTGATATTTTAGACATAACAGTAGATAAATATTAACTGGGCTACTATATTTAAGATTAAATTTGGAAATATATTATGGAAACAAAATGGATAGATAATTTAATTAATTCTATATTTGAAAAGAATTATAAATTTGGTAACAAGAAATTTCCTATCATAGAAGATAATGAACAAAAATCATAAATTCTTAATATTTTATCAAAATTTAAAGATCAGTAAAAATCTATTGAAATTGTGAAGATAAGTGCATTAGATGAATTTATTGGACCTTTAGGAGGATAATCTGATTAATAAAATACTGAAGATTAATTATTACTACCTGAAAATATAACTTATGCTTAATTATTAGAATAAGATATTGATGCTATTAGAGCATATTTAGATGAGAGAAGAATATAAAAATCTATTAATTACAGTAGAAAATAAAGTAGAAAAGTTGAATCATAGATGGTGAGTTATCGTTCTACAACTATTTCACATAATCGTAATATGAGTTAGAATGTGCCATCATTACCATCAATAAATACTCCAAAATCAGTTTCTAATAAATTATCTGAATTATAAAATGCTGTTAATGATTCAAAATCAAAAAGAGGTAGTGTTGAAAAATAAGAAAAAAGTACTATTTCTAAAACATCTTAATGGGCATAAACTTCTAGGTCTTCTTTGTCATCAGAGACAGGATTTTCAACTAGTAAATTAATAATGCTTTATCCATCAGGAAATCAAAAAACAAATCCAAGTCAATTTGAAATAGAATAAACAGATTTTTATTATAATCCAAATACTTATGAACATCTAATAAACTTGTTAGAAAAAATTGTAAATATGATTTCAAATCATTAAATTAGAAACCCTAACAATCATTCAGCCTTTTATAATTTAATTTTTAATTAAGAATTAGTATTAAACTTATTTAAATTTTATTTATATGAGATTAATTTAAAAAAGGATACATGTTTTCAATGTGGTAGAATTATAAATTCTATTTATTCTCTTATAAAAAGATTTGGAAATTATGAATAATAAGAAATTTTTAGGGATATATTTTTAAAAATAATAGAATATCTTAATAAAGTTATTATCAACATTAATAGATAAAATTCTGATATTAATTTTACGAGTCAATTTATTATGTTTCAAACTATTTGTAATGGTTTTGCAATATTTGAACCTTATGATGCAACAAAATTAAGTAAGAATATTTATAAATTCTTAAATGAAACAATCATCCATTTATATATTATATAATTCTTTAAGAGCAAATAAAATAGTTTATACTAATTTTAATTTATTGAATTCATGAATTTAATCTTTGAAAAGGCGCCGACATACTTATTATAAAATATATTATTTAATGTTGGATTAATTAGCTCCCTTTATAATGCATATACAACTTTTTACGCTAATGGTTTCAAAAGCCACAGTTATAATGAAAGCTTATTTTATTATATTACAAAGTTAATAAGGATTATACATAGTAATTTAAATAAAAGAGAATTGAATGTAATTTTAAGTTCTTTACAGCCTCTTGATTCTTGGAAATGTTTAATGAAAACACTTCCTAATAACTAGATTATAAAAGAAAAGAAATTGAAAACTCAGGAAGTTGAATTACAAAAATTAAATCTTGAATCTTAATAAAGTATCAGATAATCTATTTTAAATGAAAGTAGATCATCTATATCCTTATCATTAATTAATAATAATAGAAAGTATTATATTATACTATTTATTTAGATTATCACAAAAATAATCAACTCCTTAAAAACTCAGTGCTAGAATATAATAACTTTAATAAAAAAATCTATCAGGTTAGTCCACATCCTAACTAGCCTACTGATATTAAAATATTATAATGTTATTAAAAATAATTTTTAATTATAATAATTTCTAATAAAAAGATAATACTTTATTCTAATTATAATCATTTAGTATATAAGTTCTTTTTATTAAGATTTTTTTCTTTTTTATTTAAATACATTATATTCATTTATTTATTCATATTTTTTAGGTAAGTGTATATAAGTTTTATATGAATTAAAATCATTCAAAAATGAGGAGTCATTTCAACTTTTAAATTAGGGTAAATTATCTAAAACCTTCTAGATTTTTTGTTTCAAAATCTATATTCATAAATCTTATTTTTTAGTTTTTCGTGTTAATTTCGATTAATTTTATAGGGAAAATGATTTTAAGAATAAATAACCTTCATACTAGATCCAATAATTGTTAATAGAAGCAAAAAGATTTTAGGGTTAAATATTTAAATTTTACTTTTTTCATGAAATTTTAACTTCATTTTCTATAAAAAATGACTATATTATTAATATAATAAATTATTTGATAAGGATTAATTTTGGATTATTTTTAACAAAGTGTAAGAGAAATAGATTTTAGTTTTAAGTCATTGTATAAAATTCAAGAGTAGATTAATTTAGTTTAGTAATATTTGAAATAGTATGGAATAATTTAAAATAAAATTTTTCAAACATATAATTTTGTTTGGAATCATTTTTTTATTTGATGAAAAAATTAATGGAAATATATCTAAACGAAATTAAGAGTATTATTGATTTAGAATAAGAAAAATAAGATGTTGGTATTTTAAGTTTATAAAATAAATAATTAAAATAAAGTATATAAATTAATTAGCAATTTGTATTATCTACGTCATAAAAATGATTATATAAGGATGTAAATAATAATTTTTTAATATCATTAATAATAAAATAAGGAAATGAAAACTATCTTAATTTTTGTACTCTTAGTTCTTACATACAGTGCTGATCCAGAATAATGTTTGAAAGAGAGATGTCCAAATGAATATGCAGCTTGTTAAAAGGAAGTTTTTGGATGTGCATCAGCGGCAATGAAATGTAAAAATCAATGCGGTGGAGATGATGCAGAATGCATGTTAAATTGTGCTTTAGCTTCAAAGAATGCCAAATTGATTGCATTGTAAATTTCTTTATTTATTTAAGAGCTTAATGTGGACATGAATATTGTTAAGATGTTGCTGTTTCATTCTGTGATGTTGAAAGTTGTGTTAGTTCTTTTAAGAATGAATGCACATAAAATTTAGGATTAAAATCATTTTAATGTGCTTCAACTTTTCTTGAAAGACATCCAGAATGTTAATGTGTAACTGAGTTCTGAAAAAACTTAGAAATTTTAAGATATAAGCATAGAATATGATATATATGCCTTTATCTAATAATTTGTAATTACAAAACAATATTTTTTCTTTAGATTTTCTTCATAACGTCATCAGGATATTATAAAAAAATCTTATATATATGATGTATTATTAAAATTAAAATGAAAGCACTTTTGTTCGTTGTTCTTTTGGCTTTTGCTGTTGCTTAAGATGATCCAGTAGAATTATGTGTCAGAGAAAAATGTCCAGATGAAGTAGCTGCCTGTGAAAAGAATGCCTTTTGTGCTATTGCTGCTACAAATTGCTCAAATAAATGCTCAGCTGATTATGATTGTTTAGTTGAATGTGCTAATAAATCAGGAAATAAATTACTTATTGCTTTGTATTAATTCATAACTATTAATTTTAGGAGTAAATGTGGTTAAGCTAATTGTTATCCATCATTCTAATTCTCTAATGAATGTGATGTTGCTACTTGTGCTGCTGTCTTAAAAGAAGAATGTCTTGATTCAAATTCATTATCCAGCTTCTAATGTGCTTTTGGCTTCTTTGAAAGACATCCAGAATGTGAATGCGTCTAAGAATTAGTCTGAACAACAATATTATACAATTTATCAAATATAATACATTAACCATTCTTATATCAATCAAATTATCATTTATTAACTAACCTTTCTTTCATATTTTACTATTTATTCTTTAACCATATTTTATTTATAGTCTTTACAATTATTTTAAAACTATTTAAATTAACAAATCCAATTGTTTTAATTTATTACAATTTAATTATTTCATCATTATAATACGAAACATCTATTTATCATATTCAAAATCATTAGATTCTGTATTTAATTAAAAAAAAATATTATTGTTCTAAAATTGTAATTTAGGTCAGCATCTCTTCATTTTAAAAATTCTACATTAAATATAAAAGCACTCACCCAAAATAGACTAATAAATATTTATTATTTTATTACATCCTTTAATCATTTTTATTTACTTCCTCTAATCGTCATTAATCTTATTTTAGTAAAATCAAATACATATTGAATAAGTCTTAATTAACGAAAAAAATAAATGATTAATTACTTCTAAAATTTTCGGGTAAAGAGAATCAAATTTAAAATTTTGTTTAAAATTTATATCATTTCAAGAATTCTTTTTCAATTTTTATGTTGTACATAACCTCAATTTATTAATATTCTGATCTTCTATGAGCCTCTAACAAAAAATATGGTTTTTTACTATTTTATCAATTTATATGTAATTGATTAAACAACTAATAAGAGAATTTATCTAAATCAAAAATTCTTAATAATTATTTTTTATATAAATAAAAATTTATTAGATTATCTTAAGTATTGGATTACCATCATAATATGATATGTCCAACTGTAATATTAAGTTTTATGATCTTTAGACATTATCCTTTATTGAAAATAAAATTTTTACTTTTTTATCATCTTAAAGTTTACAATTAGAAAATTTAAAAAGGAAACTATTAAAAAATAGAAAATTGCTATTATTGTTAATCAAAATAATCTCTCTTCCTATTTTTTCAAAATTTTTATTAAATTTTTATTAAATTTTTTCTTAACAATTTTTTCATAAATTTTCTGAATAATTGGTTCTCAGTTGTAACATTTCACTCTTAATTAAATTTATTAATCACACCTCTTACTTTTGAAATCAATTTATTTTCCTATTTTCTAATTTATTATCAGAACTTTTATCTTCTTTATTTCATCAATTAATATTTGTTTACTTAACAAAAATTTGATAAAATTTGATGTTCATCGATTCAGAATAATATAATGAATTTAACAAATTTTATAATATTATATTTGCTTTCGAAACTTAATCAACATATATTATTTAATATAAACAAAATTTTCATTGTAATATATAAAAAAGATTTTATTAAATACGAAATATAATAAGTTTCTAAAAGTTGATAATCAAATTTTCATTAAAAATAGAATGTTTTTATTTTGATCTGAGATGATTTAAATATTAAATTATATTTTTCTTAAAATATAATTAAAACATGAGAATATAAAGTACAGATTATACAGTACCTTATTATCAAGTTTATCATGGAAAGTCTTAATATTGTTTAAAAGGTAAGTTAGTAATGGGGTATTCAAGGATTAGGTTTGTAATATCTTTTATCTATTTGAATGCTATTTCTTTAATACAATTATTTAGAATCTATCCAAAACAGGAATTAATTTACACAGAAATATTATTAATAATTTTTGCTGATATTTTCATGATGATTACTGTTTTTAGCGACCCAGGTTTAATACCTAGACTCAATTCTCAATTTTAAAAAGTAAATTATTATATGAATAAGGTATAGTGAATGTTATCTAATACCATAAAAATAAAAATTCACAACTGAATTGTTATTGGTGATTTAATAAAAAGTAAGTGAATTAAAGTTTTGTGACTCATGTAAAATCTATAAAACCTAAACAACAGTTCATTGTAGAAAATGTGATAATTGTGTTTAAGGTTTTGATCATCATTGTGTATGGTTAGGTTAATGTATAGGATAAAGAAATTATCGTTATTTTTACATTTTTATCTTAATTTTAACCATAATGCTTACTTTATTTTTTGTTGTACAAATCTTACATATGATTAATTTGGATAATCTCATAATTTTAGAATTTATAATTTATGCTTTGTAAACATTAGGATTTCTAATTTTCTCCAGTTATTTATTAGTTTTACATACTTATTTTATTTTTACTAATAAAACTACTTACGAATATTTAACAATAAATCGATTTGTTATAAACTATTATAAATTATTATTTTATTAAGGATAAGGCATTTTATTTCAAAGAAGATTAAATAGATTGTATTAAAGTATTTGGTCAAAATTATTAAAACCTATTAGGTCTTAATTTATATCATTCAGCGAAAAAGTATAATTCTATAAAAATTATAGGTTCATTATGAAGCACCTTCTTATGTTGAATAAATAAGAATTTAATAAAAGATGTAGTATATGTTTAATGATACAATTGACAAAATTTAATTAGAAGAAAAGACAAAAACATATTAAAGCGAATTATGTAGTGGTAAATAAAATAGAGAAAAGTTAAGTTAAAGATAAAATGAGATTCCTTTACATTAGTAAGAATTTGATTTTAGATTTTTAAAAGTGGAATCAGAAAGTAATGGTGAGTAAATAAATTAATTATCTCATGATTCTTCATAAAGGGAAGAAAAAAAAGACTTAAAACTTTATGGACTATCAAAATCATAACATATTGAATATAATAGATTAAAAGATGTTTAGAAGGAGATTTTTACTGCAAAAAATAAATAAAATGATTAAATTGATAAATAATTTAATGAAATAAAAATTGTTTCAAAAGATAAAAAGGGGTGAGGATCAATAAATTTATATTATTATTATTGAATAATTTTTTAAATTGCATTTTAGCTTAAATCATATTTTATAAAAATCTTTTAATTTAAAAAATAGTACTTTTAATTATATTGAGTTTTTAAAAAAAATCAATCGAGATTAAATATAATTAATATAATTATCAAAGTGATGAAATAGCTTAGAATAAATGCAAAACATGATAACTTTTACCTTGAATAAACCAATAACATTAATTGAAATTGTAGGTAGAAAAGATGAATCATATAATAAAGACAGAATATATTACAGATGATCTGAAAAACCTTTATCTTCTAATTTTAGAAGTTTAATAACAAAATCAATAATAAGGTAATTATATAAGAATTAATTAATTTATATCATAATTATAATCGGTTAATATCTATTTATTATTGTAATATTTTAGCCTTAAGAATCAAAAAATTATCGATAGATGTAATAATTAAAATTTCTTAAAGAATTCAAATCCCATATATAGAGAATATATTAATAAACATTATTTTTTAATTTCAGATTCTATGAATGGAAATTTTACCTAAATGAAAGATTTCTAAATTTCAAAAATGTTTTATTTTAAATTTTATAAATATTATCATGAACTTGATGGATAATAATTGGTTTTTGTAGAATTATAGCCAAACTTAACTTCAAATTCTTTAGGTGAGAGGCTTTATGCTAAATTTACTTTTTCTTTAGCTTAATTTTATCTTTGTAAGGTATTCTATAAATAAGATAATTCTAATTATTCTAATTATTCTAATTCTTAAATTTTTTAATCATATTCATTTTTCTCTCTTAAAACTCTATCTTTTTCAATTTCAACTTCAAATCTAATTCTATCTCTTCTTTCTTTCAACTTAGCTAAAGTATTTAAATTAGCTTATCTTTCCTCTTACTTACCTTAGAGAACTTTAGAACGATAAGTTTCATGATCTAAACTTCTCTGCATTTTAGTTTCTTCCAAATCTTATCGATGCCAACTTCTAAATTCCTTTACTTCAGTTTTCTTTTTATTGAGCATTTCTTCTTTTATTTTTTTTAAAGTTTCTTTCTATGCTCTTGAAACATTTAAAGAAAATGGAAGCGGTGCTTCTACCTTCTATCTTATTTTTTCTTCTTTCTATAATTTTAATATATATATGTTACTTTTAATTACAATTCTAATCTATGTTTATAAATTTATTCTGCTTTTAAGTCTTCAGCTTAAATTTTCTTTAATATTTTTTCACGTTCTTATCTTATTTAATCAATTCTATTCCTTATTTTAATTGCTTCCTCTTCTGCATTCTTTTTTTCAACATAAGTAGAAAATAAACTCTTAGAAGTGATTTTAGGTAATTCTCCAGACATTTTATATAATTTTTTTACTTTTTATTCCAATAAATTTATTTAATATAGAAATATAATAATCTTCTTTAAAATTTTATATTACATAATCAAGTAGCTTTTTATAATTTCTTAGGAAATTCTATAATAAATTTAAATTGTATTACATTTCTAATTAAATGAGTCTTTTGAAGTTTCAGAATTACAATAATAATCTGATGCCAATGAATTTTTTCTAATCAATTTTTCATCAAATTATTTATCAGTTAGGTAATCTTAGTTAGATTATTAAAATGAACTTTTTCTACTTATAATTGTAGAATTGCTCCTTTATATATAATGTTTTATTTCAGTATTTGAAACTTATCGATCATAACTTTTTTTTACTTATGATCCTTTTAAACCATTTAAAAATGACTTTATTTGTCGATTTTTTAATCCTAATTATGCAATATACAATCCTTCCGTTCTTTCTTTTTATCTTAAATTCTTCTTAAATTTATATTCTTTTTCCAATTCTTTTCTATCTTCATCTCTTTATTAAAGAATATTTTTTTATGTATTTCTAATCATTTAAATAATTTAAATGCTCATTTCTTTATATTCTTTTTTTTATTAGTTATAGTCTTAGATCACCTATTTTATATTAATAAGATACTTTTTATTATTTCTAACTATTATTACCCTTAAAATTANTCTTATCGATGCCAACTTCTAAATTCCTTTACTTCAGTTTTCTTTTTATTGAGCATTTCTTCTTTTATTTTTTTTAAAGTTTCTTTCTATGCTCTTGAAACATTTAAAGAAAATGGAAGCGGTGCTTCTACCTTCTATCTTATTTTTTCTTCTTTCTATAATTTTAATATATATATGTTACTTTTAATTACAATTCTAATCTATGTTTATAAATTTATTCTGCTTTTAAGTCTTCAGCTTAAATTTTCTTTAATATTTTTTCACGTTCTTATCTTATTTAATCAATTCTATTCCTTATTTTAATTGCTTCCTCTTCTGCATTCTTTTTTTCAACATAAGTAGAAAATAAACTCTTAGAAGTGATTTTAGGTAATTCTCCAGACATTTTATATAATTTTTTTACTTTTTATTCCAATAAATTTATTTAATATAGAAATATAATAATCTTCTTTAAAATTTTATATTACATAATCAAGTAGCTTTTTATAATTTCTTAGGAAATTCTATAATAAATTTAAATTGTATTACATTTCTAATTAAATGAGTCTTTTGAAGTTTCAGAATTACAATAATAATCTGATGCCAATGAATTTTTTCTAATCAATTTTTCATCAAATTATTTATCAGTTAGGTAATCTTAGTTAGATTATTAAAATGAACTTTTTCTACTTATAATTGTAGAATTGCTCCTTTATATATAATGTTTTATTTCAGTATTTGAAACTTATCGATCATAACTTTTTTTTACTTATGATCCTTTTAAACCATTTAAAAATGACTTTATTTGTCGATTTTTTAATCCTAATTATGCAATATACAATCCTTCCGTTCTTTCTTTTTATCTTAAATTCTTCTTAAATTTATATTCTTTTTCCAATTCTTTTCTATCTTCATCTCTTTATTAAAGAATATTTTTTTATGTATTTCTAATCATTTAAATAATTTAAATGCTCATTTCTTTATATTCTTTTTTTTATTAGTTATAGTCTTAGATCACCTATTTTATATTAATAAGATACTTTTTATTATTTCTAACTATTATTACCCTTAAAATTATTTTATTCATTAAGTGAGATATTTAATTTATTGTTAACTTAATGAGAAAATTATTATTCGCAATCTTCTTATTCTTACTCTAATTCAACTATACATTAGTTTTACATTTGATTATGGGGATTTGTTTTGATATTAAAATTCTAATATGATTAATTGGTCTATAAAATTTCTAATATTATAAATGAAGACTTTAAATACTTGTTTTGTTTGATTTTTCCATAATTTTCTTTATTTATTGAAAGGAGGAGGAGGATTTTTGAGAATTTGTAATAATATCTTTGAAATCAGTTATGGAAGTCTTAATTTAAAGTTTAGATTTTTGTTGAGGAAGGTCCTTCTTTTTATTTATATATTAATGTAGATATTTATAAATAGCTTAGGTTCTATCATATTTCAATTACTTATCATTTTCTATCTGTTCATCATTTATTTTATCTTTTTTTTATTCAAATAGCATAGAACTAGCAAGGGGAATTAAATTTTTTTAGGGAGATTCAGAAGTTTTTGATTAAATTGCAGGAAAAAAGGATTGATCACTCTTGAGAGGAGAAATAGATAATTTTTATGAATAATTCATTAATTTGTTTAATTGAAATAAAAAATTAAATTAAGAGAACAATAAGCAATCATGAACATTTAATTACCTTAGATAAATCCAAAAAAGGTTAACTATTAATTGATTTTGTGATGATATTTTTTCTTTTAAATTAGGTTTTTTCAAGAAATTAAAGTTTAGTTTAATTTTACTACTCAACAATATTTTAAATTATTCCTTTATCTTGTTTAAAATCAATAAAAGGTAGAGCTTTATTAAAACTAGTAGATCTTCTTTTATTGCTTTTAGAAAATGAATTGGTTGTTGCATCATCAGATTATTCAATATTTTTTCTTTATGGCTAAAGATAATAGTTTGATGACTTATTTTTGAGTAGACTAAGGATTTTTTTTTATTCTTAACATCTTAAAGATTTAATTATTTCTTTTTTTGCATCTTCTCTTTCTTTAGATCTTTAATTTTATTATTCTTTTTTTAATAATTAAATTTATTCAATTTGAGCAGAAACTTCATCTACGACTTAAATTGATCTTTATTTCATTTATTTGATTAATGATTCTGAATACTATTTAAAATATTAATTTTCTTATTCTCTAATTTTAGAAAATATCTAAAAATAACAAAAGATAAGATTACTTGACTTCTAAGAGGTTTTGGTCTTTAAGTTTTTTTAATTTGTTCTTAATTAATTTTGCTTATAGAATCAACTAATTAATCTTATTCTTAGGAATCTTTATTCATTTCTTTTAAAGTCTCATCCCAACATATTTCATATTTATCTTGAGATGAAGTCGTAGATTTTCTGTCTTTTTGAAGTTTATTCCTAATTTTTGCTTTCAATTAGAAATCCTCTAAAAATATGAGTAAATTTACATCTGATTCTACTAATTTCTTTGAGAAAGTATTTATTATCTGCTATAAGTTCTTTTTTCTTTTCTTGAATTAACTAATTAATGCTAATCATATCATTAGAAATTTCTTTCTAATTAATAGTTTTATTCATTTAAATAGAAAACTATATAGATTCATTATCTTTAGGAGGATTACTCTATCCAAAAGAATATTAATAAGTAGTGCCTGTATTTGGAGGGGATTGATTGGATGATGTTGCAATAATTTTTTATATGGCATGTTATGATTTAGATTTAATTGTTTTATTCAATAAAACTTTGTTATTATGTTATCGAAATTCATGAGAACTAGGATTTATTATGGGAAGGTAATATTCAGTTATTTTCTCTTAGAAATTTGATACAGCTTTAGAGATTAAATCACTCATGTAAATTAAATTATTGAAACATTAATTAAAGGAATCTTTAATTTAATGATTAATAATAAGTATATGATTTGATTTGTTACATCTAGTAAGAAAAAGAGAAACAAATAAAACTAAAAAAGAGATCAAATTATACTCTAGTAAACTTTAAATATAAATAGATGAATAGATAGAAAAAACAAGTGATTTGATACAAATATATATATATGAAAGAGTATTGAATCTTTGTATACAAATAATTAATTAGATCTTAAAATAAATATTTTATGAATTGCTTAACACATAGTGGTCTTTTTAAGTCATTATGGACTCGTCCAATTTATAGAGCAGGCAATTTGTATACTTGGGGAGTTCACAGTTTAGGATGTGGAATCAATTAAGATTCATAAAGAGATTAATTGAGACCAAGAAGAATAGATACTTTTAATGGTAATGTGGCTAAGGTATATCCAAGTGAATACTTCACCGCAGTTATTACAGGTATTAATTAAATATAAAATTATTAGATAATGGAGATTTGTACACATTTGGACACAATAATCTTGGACAATTAGGTTTAGGTAATACAGAAGAACATTAAACTCCTCAATTGGTTAAATTCTTTAGAGATAAAGGTTTAAGAGTTACTGACGTAGCTTTGGGATCGAATCATGCTATTGCTTTAGCTTGTAATATAAATAATTTTTAATAGTTAAGCTGATGGAAATGTTTATACTTGGGGAAATGCAAATAATTCATTTTTAGCCTAACTTTAAGGTAAAGCTAGTGGATTGGGAGATAACTATTAGAATAATGTTTTAGCACCTGCAGCAGTTTAAAAATTAGTTGGCACTCCTAAAGGAAAATTTGTTAGTGCTGGTATAAATTACTCAATTGTTGTTAATGAAAACAACTAAGTATATGTATGGGGTGCAGGGAAAAGAGGAGAATTAGGTAATGGATGCTCTCTCAATTTCAAATATCCAGAACTTAATCCTATATTTGAATAATTGAGCAAATCTGGTTATACAATCTAAAAAATTAAATCTTGCTTTGCTGGTACATTAGCTTTATTAAGTATAATCTATGATATTATTTTATTAAGATGATGGAATAGTAGTTGGATGGGGCAGAAGTTATTATGGTTCATTGGGAGTTAGATAATAAGAATATGTTGTGACAGATTTAGTAAGATTTTATAAATATTCTAAAGGAAAATTATACACCTACTCCAGTTAATTTAAAATACTTCTAACCCAATGAAAAAGTTGTTGATTTTGATCTAGGATATAATCTATCCCTATTTTAAACAGATTAAAATAGAATCTACTTGTCTGGTTATGATGAGACTTACGTTCCAAGACCGATTGATTTACCAAAGGATGAAAAGATACTCAAGTTCTCTGCTTCAAATAACAGTTATGCAATTTTAACAGGTAGTATATTAGATCTTAAATTTAAGATAAGAACTTTTACACATCAAATGAGTATGTGATACCATAATAGAAAAGAAACTTAGGATTCTTATTCAAAAGCCAACCATAAGAGTTATTTAATAGCACAAATATTGAATCATTTGGAGGTGGATATAGAGTCAGATATGCTATAGTAAATAATTGAAAATGGCTTTATCTAAATATCAATATATAAAACATTATTATTATTGAATTCTTAATAAAATTTGAAAAAAAATTAAATAAATTAAAAAGGATATAATTTAATGGGAAAATAATACGCTAGAGAACCTGCAGTTGCAAAGAAATCAGCCAAAGCTAAAGCTAGTGATTTAAGAACTCATTTTAAGAATACTTATGAAGTAGCAAGAGCAATAAAGGGATAAACACTTGCTTAAGCTCTTAAATATATGCAAGATGTCCTTTAACATAAGAGATGTGTACCTTTCACAAGATTTAATGGTGGTGTTGGTAGAACAGGATAAGCTAAAGAATTTGGCAGATCCTAAGGTATATTAGTTATATATATAATTGTTTAGGTAGATGGCCAGAGAAAAGTGTTAGAATAGTATTGTCTCTCTTATAAAATTTAGCAGCTAATGCTTAGGTTAAAAATTTGAGCAATGAAAAATTAATAATCAATCATGTTCAAGTTAACAGAGCATAAAAGGGAAGACGTAGAACATACAGAGCTCATGGAAGAATCAACCGTAAATTATAATAGTAATAATAAATTAGCATTCCTTTCATCAAATGCACATATTGAAATTTGGGCAGCTGAAAGAGATGAGAATGTTAAAAAGGAAGTTAACAATAAGGTTGTAGCTCGTTAATCAAGAAAACAAGCAGCAAGATCTAAATTAGCAATTGGTGCATGAGATATATTAGTATATTAAAAAATAAAATAAATAAATAGATGTAAAAACTATTTAATTTATTTATCTTATTTTTATGATTAATTAAAACAAAGATTCTAATTAATCTATTAATTAAATAGTATACATTTGTAATAAATATATTTATAAATTATAGAATCATTCTAACTTAAAAATTAAATCCAAATGAAAACCCTGTTATTATCTGATTATGCTATCTTTAATTATAGCATAATCTTTAGCTATATGTGATTCTGATTCAAATATTTGGTTTTTGTTTCTTTATAACCTTGTTTGTTAGAATTCTATGAATTTGAATATAGAAACTGTAAGGCTTTACCATCTGAATATAATAAGGCTATTAAAGCTTTGAATGAAATCATTAAAATTGATACATTAGAAATACTAAAGATGGATAATCATAAGAAGGAAAAAGAAAAAAAATTGCAACAGTAGATTATCTTTTTGTTATAGCTATAGAAATTTCTCTAAATAGATTAATGGTTTAAATAAAACTATAACTAACAAATGATGATACATAAGATTTAATTTAGATATTAAAGAAAGATTTAGTTTTTTTGATATTTGTAGACTGCTTAAATCTGTGATAAGCAGAACTAATTTAGATCAGTTTGTTACTAAATAATTTGATGATTTTAATGCTGAATTAAATTTCATTGGAGATGGATATAATTATTTAATTTATCTATATATAGGCTTAAATTTTGGTTATGGATTTTAATGTTAAAAAACACTTAAAATTCAGAAAATGATTAACAGTTGATAATCCGAATGAATTTATTAGAGATGTCATTAATTAAAGTGAATCTGATTTATCTATCACAAATTTACCAAAGTTAAATGTCTCTGAATCAGATTTTTGATATATTATTAAATATAAATAAAATGTTAAATTCATTCAAATGTAATAATCATGGATTGTAAAAATAATATCTATGCATCGAATAATATTGTAGCATTGAAGATAAATTGATTTGTAAGAAGTGCATTCATGATCACTAGCATCATCTTATTGTTAATAACTAATAGAGTATTAAAATGTGTTCAGAATATATTCAATTAAAGAAATAAGTACATGATGACCTTCTTTTAATATCTAATAATATTGCCAATCTAAGAGTCAATTTAATGAAGGAATTAGAATTTATGGAACTAAAAATTAAGGAAGTTATTCAACAATTAAAGATGAAACAATAAATTGAATCTACGATAGAAAAATATCTATAAGTGAAAAATGAAAACACATTAACCGAATTAGAATATTAATTCATTGCTTAATATTTAGGTTAGGTTTCTAAAAAAGATCACAAAGACGTTAAATTAGATTTCGATTTTAAAATTTAATATGAAGCTGCTCAATATGTTGAAAGTCTTCTCTAAAATGTTCAATCTAAAATGTAGGTCTTAAATCCTTATAGAAATATCTAAAAAATTGACTCCAAGATTCAAATTAATTAATTTATGCAATTACTCAAAAATGAGATATTAACTGTTAAACCTAATGAAATTATTGTAACAACTATTTAAGTTCTTCGGAATTGCAAATTAATTGGATTTATGTAACCATGTATTAATGGGATCGATTAAATGTAAGAATAAACATTACTCTTTACCATACATTAAGGATATAATCTTCTTGAATTCATCTATCAATAGCAATTGTAATTGAATCACAATTAATTAAATCTCATTAATAATCAATATTTTATTAAAATAACACCTATTTTACTTGAATCAAATAAAGAATATACAATAGCATTACAATCAAAAACAAAAGTACATTTAAATTAATTTTATAAATCAGCTATTGAAAATCCATATCTAAAATTTATTAAAGTAAACTATTTTTATTTTTTAGGTACTTGAGACTGACTACAAACAGATTGATCAAAAAGTTGAAATTATTATAAATCATGGTTAGTTTCCAATTTTGATTTTAGAGACTATTGTTACAAAATGATTATAAAGTGTTATTTCTACATATTTATTGGAATTGAAAAGTATGTTTACTTTTTATCTTCTTTCTATTAATATGATTATTATTCTAAAATTCTCCATAATTTATAGTATTAATTACGAGTATTTAGTTGATGAAAAAATAGCAATTATTTCATATGAAAAAATTAAAATAACAATAATGATTGATATATTCAGTGCTAGGAATAGGAACTCAGAATTAACTGACCTTAGTGCTAATCATTCTTCAACATAAAAATCAGCATTACAAGAATTGTCTCTGCCTAAAATTAATATTTTAGTGTCATAGGTTGAACCAAAGTTAGAAAACTTAATTAAAGCTGACGGTGATTGTATTGAAATCAACCCAGAAACTGAAAGGAATATAAAGAAAACAACTCTAAGGAGAGACATGTTCTAAAATGAAATTTAAAAAGGGAATAAATAGCATAAAGTAACATTTCGAGATTAAATCTCTGGATAATCTCTAAAATAAATTAAGTACTATATTAAGGAACCTCCACAAGATCATGATGAATGCTGTCCTTGTTATATCTTTTGATAATAGTCATTTATTCTTGAGAAAACAAATTCTTGATATATTTATTTATTTTTGATAAATCTTCCTTTTAATGAATTATTTATTTAACATTTATTGATAATTATTAGATCATATATTAATATATATCAATATCTACAATTTTTTTGTTTAAACTACATACTATATTATATCTAGTAAAAAATTTTAACTTCAAATTTAGAACTGACTTTAATTATTTTTATAATAGGCTTTTTATAACTTTTAGTTTCTCACTTTTACTATGATATTTTGTATTTTTTTTCATTTTTATAGATTTAAAAAATTTTTCAATATTATTTTTTATATGTTTTCTTTACTAGGATAAAACCGAAAAATAATAAAATTAAGCAAATCAAATTATAGCAAGTAAGGAATATGATAGTTTTATTATTGTTATCTAAAGATGCTTAAGAATTAGAATATGCTTATAAGATAAATTTTTAACTTTAATATATAAAATATTAATAGATAATACTTAGATTATGTCAATTTATATAATCAACAACTTTATTAATTAAAAAATAAGTATATCTATACCTTTTATATTATTTGAGTAATTCTTCCTATTAAATAATAAAATAATATATTAAATCTTCGTGTTATTTTAAATATATTTAATTTATTTATTATATTCTATGTAATTTCTTTTTGAATTTGCATTGATCTCACCTTTAATTAATCTAATAATTATTTACAAAATTTAATCTTCAAATTATCTAACTTTATTTAGTATATTTTTTTCATATCTAAATTAAAATTTGTAATATTGGTGTAAAAGGTAGTTTTAAAATTTATAGTTATATTTGGTTTAATTTTTGCTAAAATTGTTAAAATATTTAATGCAAATGTAATTTTACTGTTTTGGAATAGCATTTTAGTAATATTAATTGAATTTTTAGATTTACTATCTTGAAAGATAAGCATCTTCTAAAATACTTTTCATAAAATTAGGAAGCTCTTACTCTAAGGATTATTTTTATCTTTTAAATATTTATCTTAAATTTAAGCCTTTATTAATTAATCAACCTCTAAATAGTACATTTCATACCACTTTTATAATTTAAAATAATCTAAGACAAAAAAGGATTTCCATAACTATCTTAAACAAATTTCCAAAATTCAGAAGGTTTTCTTTCTACATAAAATAACTTTCTTATTATCTATGCAGGATTCTCATAATTTACCCTATATTACCTTTAGACGACCTATTCTTTTAACTAGACTCTTTATAGAAATGTTCAAATTTTTATTCATAATCCTTTGACAAAAATAATTTATAAAAACTACTTTTCTTGAAAGATTATATTAATATTATTATCTATTTAATAATTTAGTAGATAAATTATAAAATTAATTCAATTTTTTTTATGTTTATGAATTTTTTCAGTAGTTTTAAAATCAACATTATATAAATCTCTTTAGAATAGGTATTTTATACCTTATTTGAAATTATGATATCCATTTTTTCTCATCATATCATTATTTTTTTATTATAATTTAATCATATTAATTTTATATTAGTGTATTAAAAATATCAAATTTAATGAATTGGGAAAAGAATACTAACACAAAATATTCTAAGTTTCCTAATGCTGTTCAATAAATAAGCTCATCTATATTTATTTGGTAATTGCCTAGATGGAAAATAATTTCAGCATTGACTTATTCTTAAATAACTGTACTCTGAAATATTTCTTTTCATTTGATAATTCCGCAATACTTAGGTATTGAATGTATTTCTAGTTCTCCTAAGGGTTTGAAATTTAAAATTAATAAATAATTAATTAGTAAATAATTCAATTGGAAAAAATATTGGATTTGTAAACAATAGTAAAAATGTTGTCTTTCCTAATAGCTTGTACTAATTATTCCTCTCTTTTTGGCCTAACCAAATGTTTTGATATTGAAAATTTATTTTGATTAGTTTGATTATTATCTTATTAGAGAGATGAAATTCTTTAACCTGATGTTATACGTATGTCTCTGTGTTATGAATGTTTAAATCCATATAGTTATTCTGTTGAATTAGTTTAAAAGTCTCCTTTTTTCAGACGAGATAAATTAGTATAACTTTTGGAATTTGCTTGTAATTCACTAAATAATCATAAATTATAAATTACTTGGTTAAACCTTTTTAGTATAAATTAAATCTATCCAATTAACTTGCTTTAAGAGATACTCCATTTAAATCTGCATTATAAACCTACTAATTTATATATCTTTAGATATGTCTTTTTTTTGTATTAAGCGAAAAAATTTTATGTAATGCTTTCCTTTCATATCCTTAATGATAATAATATTGAATTCCTTCTGTTTTCAATTATTCTATAGATTTTAAGGCTGGTGTTGATTAAGATTAACTTTACAAAGTCTTCAATTATTTATGAGATGAATTTCTTGGATTATTGTTAAACATTTTATAATTAATATTTCTTTAAAATGAAAATAAATACTCCAAAGAAATCACAACATAATAAAACTGATAATTCTAATAATTGCAAAACATTTTATAATATGCAAGAGCTCAATTAAACTTTGAATTAATTTTAATTCTAGTATCCTCAAATAAAAGAAATAAATGAAAATCTTTTATTTAAAAATTCTAACTAAGTTTTTGGAAATCAAACTGAGTAAATAATAAGAAAAGGATTATTAAAAAAGGAGAATTCCTAGGAACAAAGAAATCAAAGAGGGAAATAAAAATATGTTAGAAGGAGAGTTAACACTTCATATATAGTGTATCCAATAGAAAATTATAGGAATTTTTCAGGTTAAAAATAAAAAGAAAATAAAATAGAACCAAGATTGTAATATCATGTTTAAATTCCAGATACAATGAAAATACCATACTTATACAAAAAAAATGGATTAATAAAGAATTAATTAAAATAATTATAACATCATTAATAAGATCAATAAGATGATATTAGAATTGCAAGCAAGGTTTCATTTCATATTAAACCCAAGTCTAACATAATAAAAAAAATAAATTAAAATGTTAATGAATAATTGCGTATAATTTTAGATGAGCATTAATCATCTGATTTATCATTTATAAATGGATGGGAATGATTTGATAATAATTTAATATAAGTTTTTGTTTTTCTGTAAATCAGAATCGTTTAATTTCATCTTCTTCTTCAAATTTGAATGTTGGATCTTAATTTAATTTAGTTCTTTGAAATTCTTACTTCATTCTTTATCTTTATTTTATTTCCATTTTTTCATATATAGATGCTTATTCATATTCTACTTACACATATCTTTCTTCTTCATCTTAATATGTTTATAATTGTTTAAGCATATTAATTTATTCAAGATTGCCTTATTTTTACAATTTCTTTTTATTTGCCCAATTTCTTAATTTACTCCATCCACTTCCAGCAACTTTTTTTTCTTTTACTTCTTAATAATCTTGATCATCAGGTAATAATGGTATATTTTTTGATTCTTTTTCTCTCTCTTCATCTGAACTTCTATCCTCCTCTAAATATATTAATTTATATAATAATACCAAATACTCCTAATTTTTTAGCTTAGACAGTTTTTAATATTGTTTTTGATATAATATTTCTCTCTAAATCTTAAATTTATTATTCGTTTGTTTTTGTAGTTATTGCTTATTTTATTTTTTAAAATATTATATAAAGAAGTCCCTCAAATTTAACAAATAAAGGTAATGATTTCCTAGTTATTTTATTTACTGTTGGATTACGTACTGCATACATTGGAGAAATTGGTGATATTTTCTCTGCTAATCTAGCTATAGCCTCAACAAATTCTAAAAATTACATTTAAATATGTTTAGATTCTCTTAATTCATCTCTTTATGTTTACATGCTTTATAAATAAATTAAATAAAGCTCTTTTTCAGTAACATATTTTACAAAATCCAATTATTCATTAAAAAGTTTAAAATCCATTAATGTAATATATTTATTATGTTTAAATGTAATCTTTGACACATAATCATACATTAATTATAAAAACTGTATCTTCATTTTTATTGTTGAATCCATCAGTTAAGTCCAATATCTAGTTTCTCTCCAATCTTAAGGTACTCCAAATTCTTGAATTAAATCTAGTACTTTATCTTATTAAAATAACATATCCAAAGCATCAGTTATATTGTTACATTAATTTGTTCTTAAGTATTATTCTTTAGCTAAACGAATTATTATTTCAAGAAATTAATATCTAACTAAACATTTATCAAGCACATGAATAAATTCAGCTGATTTTTGAACTACATAACTTGATAAATATGTTAATTATAAGTCAATATTATTTAAAATTGATTTTGAAAGTATATTTGTTTAAGATATAAAATCAATAAAACTTTATTGATTTAAACAAGGTGTTTCATAATTTAGAGTTTCAGCACAATAATATTTATAACAAGCCAAAATATTCTTGTAGAATATTTTCACCTTTGTTTTTAATACTTCCAAATCTTCTGGCTCAGGTATATGTTTTTAAAGTCTTCCACATTCAAAATCAAAATCAAAACAATCTAGAAGATGTCCTTCTGTATCTGCCTAGAAATCTCTAAAAATTGAATTTTCTATTGACCACGATTTCTCTTTTGCTTTATTAGGATCAATATAAATTATTTTTTCTTATTCTCTAGGTCTAGTTATTACTGTTGGAATATAATGTTTTTAAGAGTCAAGTACTTTTTTATTGATTGTAGCTGATAAATAATTTACAATTGAGATTTTCTAACTATAAACTACAGAAGTATCAGCATATATCATAGGAATACCTTAAACTTTAATAGGTTCAAAATCTTCTAATGCAGTTATACGTTAATCTTTAGCTGTAAATTGTATATCCAAAAATGGATTACTAAAAAAGTATTTAATTTTTCTATTAGGTGGACACATTCTTAATAAAAAAAAGATTTATTAATCCTATTCCATAACCATAGGTCTATAATTTTCAAAGTCTAAATGTAAATAAATTGGATAATCACTAATATTTCCAGATTTACCAACTACATATTGAAATCTGATTTCAGTCCAACCTTCACATAACCAACAATTATCTTTAGATTTATTGTTAGTCCAATCTGTACTTTAAATTCTTTTAAATAATGATGGATCAGCTAATTGAAAATTTTGATCTAATTTATTCATTTTATTTTTTAAATCTATTCTACTTATACTTTAATCAACAAATTATTATGTAGATAATCTTGTTTATTATTTTTAAACTAAAACACTATATTCTTAATCTAATTCTTTCTAATTTACAAGAAAGCCTCTTGCATTAATACAATAATCACTGTTACCTTCAAAATGAAATCCATATATAATTTAATTAAACATTATAGCCTAATGGAATATTTTGGAATCTTCATTATTGAAATTATTATATGATAAGTCAAGATGAGATAATTCTGAATGTGGTTTACCTAAAACCCTTTATGGATAAAAATATTTACTCAGAGATCATCTAAATACATTCTTTATGCTATCCTAACTTATTAAAAGAAAAATCTAAGACTTTCATATATTAATTTTTTAGAAGAGCTCTAAAAAATACGGTTCCCCCTTGATTTCGTATTTAATTATAATGTAAATATACTTCTTAAAGTGAATTACTCTATTTATATAAATTTAGTTACTGTTTTCAATAAATTTCCAAATTAATCCATACTTATATCTGTAATTTAATTTTTTGAGAATTTAATGACTTTAATTGTTTTACTCTATTAAAGAGTTTTAAGAATAGTCATTATAGGTCCATCTCTTAATTTATTATCTTCTAAGTTCAGTATTTAAAGATAACAATTTTTAGAATTTAAGAAATCACAAATACTGGCAATTCCACTATTTCCAATAGAATTGTTACTGAAATCTAAATCAATAATACTACTAGGTAGATTTTTGGCAATCATAGTTATTCTATTGTTATTTAATTTATTGTTTTTCATTTGGAGTGATTTTAAATTACTAAAATGAGATGATGATAATCCTTCAGAAAACAAATCTACATACATATCAGATCCTAATAAATTATTAGCAATTAGTTTATCATTATTATTATTAGTAAATAATTTCATTTCTCTAGGCATCAGTTTCTCTTATTTAATCTAAATATTATAAAAAAATCTCTATTACTTTTTCAGTCATTTTTTAATAAATGTTAGGATCAATTTAATAAAATTGCTGCATTTCTTAATATCTTTCATTTTCTTTAAAATATTTACGAAATTCTGGTATATTTGGATGCTATAACTATGGTCTAATAGGACCTAATCTAGAATCAATAGGATTATGTTTGTCTGCTGAACATAATCTTTCAATCTCTTTACGATCATTGTCATAGATTTCTTTTATAGTTTACATAGGTATTGCTCTAAAAGTTTTGATATAATCATATTGCTGAAAATATTAAAAAGAATATTTTACATCATCTAAGTCAACTAATGATTTTGAAGTTTGTTTTGTTTCAGTGGCAAATAAAAGTCTATCCTTAGGAATTTCAAGGTTTTTCATATTGATTTTAAGAAGAGGTTCAGATGAACTACCTTCAGTCTTTTAAATATTTCTTTTTTATCTATAAGTGGAATCTAAATTGAAAGGCTATCTAAATAATGTAAAATAAATAATGTAACAATTATTAAACTGGAGATAATTTAAATGTTGGTCTCAATTCTTTTTGTTATTAATGTAAACTTATACTCTGACTCTAATCTAGGAATGGTTCATGAATTGTTTTTTAACCAATCAATTTATTACTAGCTAGAAAGATATAATTTAATAAATCAATTACTTAAAGATTAATTTGTAGATAATTAAGTATTTAGAATGGTTGACTTAGGAACACCCAATTTTGGTCTATTCCTTTTAATCTGCATAATAATTTATAAATAATACTAAAAATAATAAATTATTATAATAAATGAAATTATTCTTAATATTCATAATTTCTGTATATAGTAAACTACTTTAGAATGAGACCAATAATAATACTATAGATCATGAAGAAAGGAAATAATTAATGGATGATTGGGAAGGATAAATGGCAGATTTTATTCCTGATGATATGTTATCATTTGAATTATAAAAAGGAGAAGTCGAGATCTTAGAGCAATATATAAAACATCCAACAAATATTAGAGGAGCATTCTTTTTATCATTTATGAATAAAGATAAAATTGATTTTAGTGTATTCTAATTATCAATTTATTTTAGATCAAAGATCCAAGAGGAAAGGTAATTGATAACAAAAATTAAAAGAAAGAAGCCGTTTTTTCTGTTAACATCACTAATCCAGGAAACTATAAATTTGTGTTCAGCAATATAAATGTAAACATTCATATAATTTAGAGGGCAAACATAATCATATTGTGACATTTGCTCTTGATGTTCGAAATGCAACATATGAGCATATAAAGGAAGCAGACTTAGATCCAATTTAGAAAAAATTATCTAATTTATATACTGGATTGAATGATCTAATGTTTGACACTAAATTTTCATAATAAAAAAGAGAAGGAGGTTATTAATTTTTAAGAGACAATAATAAAATGTATTTCATTTATACTATTATTGAAACATTAATTATTGTTATTGTAAGTATTTGGTAAGTATTTTATATTAAAAGAATCATTGGAGTTTAACGTAAATTTGTTTGATTAACATTTTTTATAATTTTTATTCAACATTTATTAAATAACATTTAAATATAATACCAAATATATTTACTATCAATTTTTATGCTTTTTCTTATTTTTCTTTTTATGATTAGGTTCTGTAATTTATTCTTATGTAGATTGTTGTTACTATAATTATGGTTATTATTATTATGCTGATTTTTAAATGCTTATTTATTTTTATTCTTGTAAAAGAACATTTTATTCAGTTGATTATATGATAGGTTGTGTAACAATTTAGTTAATTTGAATTTATTATTCAAACCTTTTAATTTTACTACCTTATTTTCCAGCAATTTTAAATCCAAATAATGTTGGTTCAAAATTAGACTTTATTTAAGTATCTGGTAATAATTAATATTTTGGATGTAAATCAGGATATGTCTATAAATATTTATTAAATATATCACCATCAACAAAAATTATGGGAATGACTTTCCAAAATATGCACCATCAATATCAGCACATTTTTTTTTAGGCATGTAAACTTCTTCACAACGAGGACAGAAAACCTATATTTAAATTTAATTTAAACCTTAACTCTTGCTGTCTTCAAATCTTCACATAATCCTATAGGAATAACATTCTATTTCTCACAATAAATCCTTGGACAATGACCAAATTTTCCTTGTAAATATCTTTCTCTCATTATAGCAGAACCTTTGGATGTAAATATGAATCTAGCATGGAGTAAACCATAAATGTCAGACGCTTCCTAATAAACCTCTAAAAATCTTGTGTGATGTAATATAAGAAAACCTTTCATCTTCTAAATCTTAATCTTCAGGAGAAGTAGGATGCAAAATCATATTTACGGCTTCACTATGATATTTGTTTGATAGTTACTTATAAAAAGTAAATCTTCCCTTAATTCCAAGTTGATTAAATGGATCGCGAATATAATCATCATCTACTTCACATAAAAATTAATGATCTTCATGAGCACAAAACCATTCTATCCAACCTCCTGGATGTTCAGAATATTGAGATTCCTCTTCCTATAAATTTTGATCATATACCAGACATTCTTTCTCAAATTATTAATTAAATAAAAAAAAGATTTTAATTAATATTTCTTCAATATTTTTTTAATTTGCATATTTATCTAATCTAGTCTAAATCAATTTCAAATATACATACTTAGTTTTAACAATTTTTAGCTTCTCTCCTAATTTAGTAATTTGAAAGAATAAATAAATATTTTAATTAATGATAAAATAATTATTTAGAAGATCCTTAATTAATCAACCTCAACTCTTTACTTTTAGTGAGTATTTTAAAGAGAGAGATAAAGCTGAAATATTTGAATATTACAATAATAAATTCACAGATAAGAGATACATTATGTATACACAAAAATGGAAAAATGATTTAGAAAAGAAAGCAAAACGTCGAGCTAGACATTAAGAATTAGAAAGACAAAGGGTATTACTCTAATTTTAATCTTGATTCATAGACTCCTCCTGTGGCATAGGAATGCAAATTTATTGTGCATGATTAAATGAAAGGAATCGAATTGCCTTCAATCCTTAAATTTGCTGTATGCAAAATTGGTAGTAGCTAATATAAGGTTGTTAAGGATGATTAGATTATTACAGAATTTATGGAAGGATTAGATATTAATACAACAATTGAATTAGATCAAATTTTAATGGTTGGAGCTAAAGATTATACTGTTTTAGGTAGGCCATTTGTAGAAAATGCAAAAGTTTTAGCAACAGTAGAATAATAAACATTAAGCGATAAAGAACTTGTTTATAAAAAAAAAAGAAGAAAGAGATATTAAAAATCTTAGGGACACAGATAAAAAATTACCATATTAAGAATCAATGAAGTAGTTCACGATGTTAATGATCAATTATTAAACAGAGCTGTTGCATTAATCTGATATATATATATTAAAATATAAATGATAATACATAACATTTAATAATCATAATTCATTGATCATTATTTTTTATAGCAAATGATTATAATAATTCTTTTAAAATCTTATGAACTCTCGATTACCTTTAAGTTATACTTAAAAGATTTAAACTATCTATTCGATTAAGTTCTTTCATATAAAAGATTTTTCTTATACTTATGCTCCAATTTCTATTGTTTATATTTATATATTCATGTCTTACTCATTAATTCTAAATCTATTCTAAATTAATTGTCTATTATCAACATTTTTATTTAACTAACTTTTTCTTTTAATTAAAACTTTTCAAATATTCATTTTATTTATTTATTAAATATTTCGTTACATTTTTTTGTTTCTATATCTTTATTGATTTAAATATTATTAATTCTTAAGTTTATTTTGAATTTATATTATTTATTTCAAAATACATCTTACTTAATTTTTATGGGGAAAAGTTATTTTGCTTGTTTATGGCTAAAATTCACTCAAAAAAATAAAGAGAATTAGCTTATTTCTTTTTGATGATTTATTAAATTAACTTAAATTTCACTTTTTTTGACATTAAAGATCAAAAAGTTAAGATCCAAAAATCATTTAAGTTTAATCCTATAAATTAATTATTTGCTCTTTTTCCATAAAAGTATTTTATTATTCTAATTTTTATGTAAATATTTATGATTTATAAGATAATTTAAAGTAAGAAATTAAGTATTTAAGATAAAGAGTTCTAAAATCTAATTCTATTACTAATTCTTTGACTTATATCTATTGTTAATTCTTAAATTTAATTCTTTAATTAATTCATATAATTAAATTAGATTAAATAAAAAAATTGATTGAGAATTTCACCAATTTTAGAAGATTAAAAATAATTAGTAAGATAAAGAATTTATATAAAATAATATATATATATTAATAAAAATTTAAATATAATATGTCGTTGCAATATAGCCCAACAATAAATGCGATATTGAGTGGCTTCTAAAGAACAGGGTTATCTTAAGGATAAGCTTATCAAAGAGAATAATTATTTTCAGCACTTGACAAACTTGTAAAGTTCATAATTTATAATGTAGAGTGGTTAATTATATGATCGTGATGTTGCTTAACAATTGTTTGAATAATGTTAACCTAATCAAAGAGGTCAAGTTTAGTTAGAGGATTTTGCATAAGTTATTATGGAAGCAGACAAAGTGTTGAAGAAAAAAATAAATCAAACAGAATAACAAATCTAATAATATAGAGATGAATTAAAAGAATGTTAACAATAAGCATAAGAATAATAATGTAATATTGATATAAATAAATAAAGATAATTAAAAATTAAATCCATAAGGAGTAGATAGAGACTCACAATTAATAATTGTAATAAAATAAGCTCACAATATTCAATTTTCTGATTTTCAAAATAGTTTTGTCATAATATCTTTGGATGGTAATGAAATCTAAAGTTAAATGTCTTCTGGAGACAAATATAATCCGATGTTTAACTAATAACTAAATTTGTACATTTTAATTTAATAATAAGTTAAATTTAAACTGGTTCTGAAGAGATTTTAATAAAGCTATTTGTTCAAGATAGAAATCAAAGAAGAATATAAATAGGCTAAAGTCATTTAGATTTAGGTGAAATGCATGATCAATAAGTACATTCATAATAATTGTAATTAATTAACGAAAGATTTTAATAATTACAAACGTATTTATAAATAGAATGTTAATGGATTCATAACAAAGTATAAACAATTGGTTTATAATTAGTTGAAATATCATTAAGAAATGATTCTTAAATATGAATAAACAATTTAATAAAGTTTAATTGATATAGATGATTATCATAGAGATTTATTAACAATTTAATAACCATTTTTAGAAAACAACTTAAGAAATAATTTATAATAATCTTTAAAGTAACCTTAAATTTCATCATTCCCTTAATAAAACCAAGCATTTATGTATTAATAATAATAAAATTATGTGTAATAATAGAAACCCTTTTAAAGTTAATAACAATAATAAAATATTTAAATTCATTTACCTGATACTACTAAAATTGAAGATCAAATATCAGATGAATTATATTATGGGTTTATTTTATATATGATGATGTTGCTCTTAACTTTATTTTAATGTTTTGCTCGTCCTGATTTTTTGGATGTAAAATATATCATTATGATAAGTTAATCTTAGCAATGTTATATTTGATAATAATATGTAGAGATTGTTTTGAACCTACTTATATCAAAATTATCAGCGCTTTAACTGTTTTAAGTGTTGTTTATGATATAGTATGGATAAGTATATATAAAGTATTGAAAAATTAAATATTAGAATTGGTGGAGTGGAACTGATAAAACTCTACCAACTTGGGGAGAGGCAGGTGATCCTATTGTTAGAATGACACTAGTTTTTTGTGTTTTTAACATAATTTTAAAGGTTGAATTACATAATATAATAAGACTGCTTTGTGCTATATTTTATTCCATTATTACAAGGAATCTCAAGAAAATAAAATATTATTGTTTAAGTTTTGGTAATTCGAATTTCATGTAGGAGTACACAAACAAAATTTATTTGCCACTAATGGCCTTTTAGTGTGATTGTTACATTTAAAATTTTTTTTCATAATTTATTATAACTTTGGCATAAATATGTTCGTCAAAGAATTTTTATTATCTAGTTATTAGTACAATTAATACAATCGGATGTGCTCATTCTATTATATTGTTATTATATTGAGTGCAATCTCAGCTTTTCGTTTTGGTTCTCAATATATTAATAAAGTAAATAATTACTGAATAAAATCGAAAGGTAACAAGAAAAATTAGATACAAAATTATTTAATGAACTTTAAGAAGAGCTCAAATTATTAATAATGAATGAAGATTAATTATTTGAAATTAAAATAATTATATTGATAGTTTATAAATTGATATTATTTTATATTTTATCTAAAAAATAATAAAATTTTAATTTAAGAGTTAAAAATCAATTGATTCTAAATTTATTAAAATTTTTATAAAAAATGGAATATTTATAAATTCAAATAAATAATTAATTTAGAAATCATATATATCCAGCAATACATAATAAATAACAATGAAATAATTGATACACAAAAGAGTAACTGGATTAAAATATGCAAAAAGTTGCTAATCATATAAACTATCAATGCACATTACTGTAGTTAATGCAAATAATATGTGTTTAGAATACATCATAGCTTAACATTTTTATAGTTTTAAAGAATTACAAATACTTTTTGATGTTAATACTTTAGATAAGTAATGATAATATCATTCTTTTAGATCTATGTTTAATAATAGTTTTAATTACATTTTTCTAAAACTATATATGCTATTAATGAATTATTACTCAATTTTTTGTTAAATTTACTTATTATCACTGTATTCTTCTATTAATTTTATATTTACATCAGTTAAAGTAAATTGATAATTATTATAATTCAAAATTGGTTATTTTAAATCAAACAACTATTGAGTACAATGTATGTAAAATAACAGATAATCAATCCTTTTTACATTAGTTTTTGAGAAAATGCAAAGAGAATCTTCGGATTTGAATGGTATTATTGGTTTTTGCCTATATGAAATTGAGTTTATATTATTCTTTATAATTGAAAACAAAAATATAAATTATTGGATTCATATCAAGTTGTTAAATTTTCTTTTAGTTGATTAAAATGATTAATTTTATTTATCATTGGTAGTTAAAAGAATTTATCTAAACTAAAAGGAATTTGATGAAGATCTTTATTTTTTTTTCTTTGATTTTTTTGGAACATTCAATTTATCAAGCACATTTCTAGTTACACATTCTTCAATTTGATTCATGAATTCTTTTGGTATCAAATTAAATTATTATTATTAATGAAATTATTATTATTGCTGTAATGATTCTCTAAATTTGCGAGGAGTAGTTGTTTCAGTTATTCCACAATCAAATTTCTTATTTTTATCTATTTATTCTAGTTTAACGAATTTTTCCTATTTATCTACTTTCTCAAAAGTCATATCTAATTTAGTCGAATCTTATCTTTGTTCAGCTTGCATTAATGGATGAGGTGGAATCTCTTGATAATCTTCTTGAATCTTGTATTATAAATGTTATATTGGCTTTTTCTCTTAGTTCATTATAATATTGGCTTATCGAGAGATTTAATCAAATTACTGATTCATGTATAATCTTTCACTCTATATAGATATTTTGATACTTCTTGCTATTCTTCTAATTTCAAAATGTCAAATAAAATTTTAACAGTTTCACTAAACCGTGGTGGCATAAACTTTCTAATTTATTTAGTCAATAAAATTTACTATTATTCTGAAGATTTCATCCCAGATAAGATTCTGTGAAAAATATTGCGAAATGCTAATTCATCACATTCTTCATTTTAATAAAATTTGGTTAATCTCTTAGTTAAGGTAACTAGAAGTAATTATAATAGCTGTTCGTATTGCTAAAGTTATTATCTATTTTGGAATCCAGAGTAATAAGACATTTGATTATAGAAAATTATAAACAATATAATAAATCAATTATTAAAAGTTATGAGTTGGTCTCTTTGTGTAAAATTGATTGAAGCATCTATGATTGTTTAAATGATTCACTTTTAGTAGTAAATTTATTGAAGTTATCTTCAGATTAGATTCAAATGATGAGAATGATGCAATTAACTTAAGTTATGTTTTGTATCTGGATATTGATTATCGAATTCTTTAGTATTAAAGTTAATAAATTAATATTTATCCTTAATTCCATTGAAATTAATAGCAAACTCATTAAAAGATCCAATTCCTGAGATAATTTAAAATTAATTTAGTATTTTATTGAGCTTAGTCATATCTAATAGATTACTTAAATCTCAAAACATCAATTTATAATTGTATTGTTTTTTGATCTAAGAGTCAATCAAGAATAAACAAATTTCAATTCATCATTTAAAATTATTTAAAATAATTAATAGTTTAAATACTTCTGTAATTTTATTATTATCAGTTAAACATTAAAGATCGACACTACAATTTTAATTAAATTATACAGATAATGAGATTGCTCATATATTATGAAATTTTCTATGTTTTTTTAACAAAAGAACAATAATATCAAGAACATACTACAAATATTCATACAGAATATTCTTTGCAGTCAATATAATATAAATTTACTATAACAATATCTAACTTCTAATCTAAATCCATTTTAGAAACCTTATCCTCTTTCACTTTTAATTTATAAATTCTTCTATATAAATCTTCCTTATGGAACTTGCTAATTTAAGTCAGATAGATTCTGTTGAATCATGAACTAATGATATAGAAATTGATTTAATCTTTTAGTTTATTACATCAATTATAGCAGAATGAATTAATTAGGATTTAAATTTGTATTTGAATTCCTTATCTTGTACAATCAATTATACATCTTTTAAGATTTTCATAATATATAAGATGTGGCTAAATCTCTCAATTCAAAAATTGATTTATCTTGATAGCAAACCACTTTTCTGATATAATAATTTCATTTCAATATTTTTTGAATTGTATTCATATTTTATTCGATTATATTTATATCAGAAAAATTTGTCTTCTATAGTTGAGAATTCTATTCTAAATATGAAAGTTATCTTTTATAGATTATTTAGTTATCATTATCTGAATCTCTGTCCTTCTCCATATCTGATGGGTAATCTAGTTCCTATGATTTAGTCTTATTCAACTATCTTTCAGATTATTGTTACATTGATATCAAATATAAAGGATTCTGCTTTTATATTTTCATCCTACTTAGTATTCTCTAATTTTATTAAACAGGTTCTTCTTGAACACACCCACCAAAAAATTTTTAAGTCCAGTTTAGTTTCTTTTATTATTTTACATATTTTTTTTAATCACAATTTTAGTAACTTTAATTATTTCTTTATGATATAATATAGGATCTAAATTTTTATTTTAATACTAATTTCCATTTTCACTTTCAAACAAACCATCATAAACTTGAAAAATTATCAAAATCATCTTAAAGTATTATTAAATATTCATAAACAAAAATAAACTATATATACAATAAATATACACTTGCATTACAATTTAAATTATTGTTAATTCCATTATTCTATTATCCTTTTAATATTTCTTCTACCCTTTTTAAATTCATTATCAGAATATTAATTTTTCTTTTTTACCTATTATTATATCTCAAAATTTCTTCAATCATTTATAATACCTACCCCCTTTATTTCTCGAATTTAAAACATCGATGATTCATTTTTGGAATAAGAAATTAAATAGAGATAAATCAACCAAAATACCAACGTATTTCGATATTTATAAACGCTGCAAAGCTCAAATGAAGTCAAAGAAAGTCTTAAGAATCAAGAAAAAAATCAAAAAAAAAATTTGCATCATTTTTATTAATGAAGAGTACCTCGGTTCTCCAAAAAATACAAATTAATTTTTGCTTCAAAAGCATTAATCATTAGAAATTAACATAGAAAAAGAAGTTTAACCTCCAGGGAGCATGTTATCATTTCTATTAAATGAAGACAAGAATGATCATTAATTAACTAATCCTAATAATTTTAAACTTCCCATAGAAACATCAGAACTGTCATAACACCAACATAATTACTACCAAATTTGAACATATATCTACTTTCTATTCTTAAAATATTTTTATATTATTATCATATATTTTTTATTCCAAGTAAATTATTTAATCTGAATCTATGCATTCTCGAACAAAAACTATTCATACCCATGATTTTTAACTGTTTTATATAAACTATTTAACTTAATTTAATAATTTTTATCTAACTCTAATATAAATTAAAAAATCAATTCCATTATCATTTATTGTAATTATTCTAGTCACATATTTTAACAAATTTTGTACAGGCCTAATTAAATTTAATATATTGAGTCTTATTCCTATTAAAATTTGAAGAAATATTAATTAATTAAAATTGAATTGACAAATAAACTATTTATTTTATAAATCAATAACTAATTTAGAATATCCTCTTTTTAAAACAGATCTTAGAATTACATTAGAATACTTCTATAAATCCTCAATTCTATATAAGTCTATTATTTTAATTTATATTTTTTGAGTAATTTTTTTAGTTATTTAGGCATTTAATCTTAAAAACGAATAAGTTTAAATTGAAATTCAAGTTTAAGTAATATTATCAAATTACAAAGTGTTATCATGAACCTATCAATTGTGATTAAAAGAAAAACATAAATTTTAAATTGAATATGTAGTTTTAACTTAGAAATCTTCAAAGGCTTCACTTTTTATTTTTGTTCTTAGAATGAAGAGATGATTAAAATTTCTAATATACTAATATTAAAAATTTATTTAATGAATTCTAAAACTAGGCAAAATATCACAGTGTTAACAATAATCATTACTGCTATCATCGGTGGATCCTTTTTATATTTGAGTTCGACAGAAAAACATTACGGTAATAACAATTAAATTATCTAATAAAGAAAGTAGTGATTGCGTTTTATTGAGATCATATTCACATTACTATGGAATATTTTGTTTAACAATAACAGCTTTTTTAATGTTAAATCATATATATCATTATAGATTGTTTCTATTAGCGTCATTCGCACTCAAAGATGAAAGTTGTATGACTGGAGTTGATCAAATTTAACTCATTTCTGGAATTATTGGAATTATTTTCGCCTTATTACTTGCTGTACTTATTCTTATTTCATTAGTACGCTCTTTATATAAATGAGCCATGCGGAAACTTAAGAAAATTCACTTTGATATATTTTATATTAGCTTTAATATTCTACTGTTTAGGATGCTTTGGGATGTGTGCTGGATTAGGAATATTAAATTAATGAAAATATATAATTATATATTTTATAATTCTAATCCTTTGAAGTATTGTTATCAAATGTTCTATTCTTCTAAGCATTATATTCTAGTTCATTATGACTCAAGTCTTAATATCCTTTAAAAAATTACTATAAAATTAAAAAACTTAAATTTAATCATCATCCTATATATGATCTTTAAAATAAGAAAACTAGAATAAAAATTCAAAATTATTAATATTCAATTAAAAAAGCTTTTATTGTTAACTCTCCTAGACTTTAAAATTTAAGTATTAGCTTCTAGAAAATTTAATTACTTAATTGGAATAAAATTTTAGATTTTTTTAACTCTATAATCTTAAAAATGTTTAAATTTAAATTAGCAATCATTTTATTGATTAGTTTTTAATTATCAATTCCTAATTTTTAAAAAGGAAAGTTCTATTTGATTAGCCATTTTTATAAATATTAAATTATACCTTAAAAGTGATCTATTTTTGCTTATCTTTCAAGCTTATTTATATTAATTACAATTATTTATTGATTGAAATTATAAAACTTTTGAAAACATTGATAATTTTTTATTATTTTATTTATTTATTGTTACTCAATTTATAGGTTAATAAAAATTCTTGTTTAGATCTTTTATTCAATAGAATTAAAGTTTTTTGTAATAAAATATAACTGAGAATTAATCAAAATACTTTTAGATTTTAAAGATCTATAAGGCAAATAACTGATTTTATTTTTATATTATCTCAATAATTATAATTTTAATTAAATTTCCTGTTTCTTTTTAAAGCTTTTTTAACAGTTATATCTATCGATTTTCGGATTCTCGCTTTAAATCTTCTTGATTTGACTGAAAATATTAATTAAGAATAATTATTCTAAAGATTATAAGAAGAATTGAAAAATTTTGTCAATTCTTCAATTTAAATTTTATCCAACTTTTTATGACTAATTATTGTTTTTGAATCAAAGGGTTGCTTTAGGCTTACTTTACAAGTTATAATTTGTTTATTTTGAGATTGAGAAGTAATTAAACTTAAATTCAACATAATTTACAATACATAATGGAAATTTATATTGTTAATCATTAAATCTTAATTATTATAATCATTAGAAAACTTTACTCTTATGGGTTGTCATATTAGAAAATAGCAAAAGCCAATTATTGTATAACCAGATCTAAAAGACAAAGAATATATATACCAAATTAAAACTCATGTGCCCGTAAAAATGTAAATCTACTAATGGGGAGAAATTAACTTATAGTCAATAGGTATATTCATGAAATCTAAATTAGTTAATAGTACTATTATGAGAAGAAGAAGTACTACTCAACAAAATATTTTCAATAGTTAAAGAGGTTCTAGATCCTAGTAATGAATATAATTATGTTATTTTATTCACAATTAAATGAATTCACTTATGAATCTAAATATTACAATGTTAGAAATAGGTTTTGAAAGAATTTTTCTTTGTTAATTTTTCAGAATCACTGAATAATTAATTATTGAATGTTTATAATTAGAGTTGATAAAGGGTCTTTCTCATTTTTCAAATATTAAAAGCTTAATTTTCTTATCATCTTCATCAAAGTAAATTTCTTATGATGATTAATTTGGTTCTTTTTAATAGAAAAATAAATGATTCAGCATGAATCTTAAGTAATAAATGAGTTCTAAAGATAAATAATAATAATTATGTTCAAAGTTTAAAATTTAGATGAATTCCCCAAGATTTTTGGAATTTAAGCATGTTAAATTTAAGATACCAATTTTTTTAGGGAATTTTCCATTATTATGCAAAATAATAAAGCTTTAACTATTTATTTATAAAAGTGTTATACAAATAAATAAAGTTAATATTATAATTGGAGTCTTATAATTAGAATTGATATATTAAGTAAACCACAACTTTTAAAATAGAATAGAATTTTTAGCTTTTGTAATTTGTATGCTTATATATATTTATAAAAATTCATAATAAATACACTGTTAATTGTTAAAAAGGTATTCAATAATGTTAAAATTTGTTGATATTTTTAACTTAAACAAATTTAAAAGATTAAAATTTACTTAGAATATCGTGAGTGATATAATAAATATAAAGAATTCTTTTTTATATTTTCTACAGAATTAAAGTCAAGAGTGTTCACTTGATGATCATATAACTACTGGGGTGAATACTATAAATTAGGTGAACAGTAGAACTAAACTGTATATTATATTACATGATTTAGAAATTCGAGTATTTCTTCAGAAAAGAAATAGGAATTAATGTAAAAGACAAGTTTAAAGTTTATCGAATATATAAAATATAATATAATGAATATAATTTAGAAATTATTTGAAACATCTAATAATTAAATAAGTATTCAAATATACGTATTTATAATTTGATATTAATCTTTGAAATTTAGTTCATATTTTTTTAGAGAATTATTTGACGAAGAGATGGCATATAAATCGAGTAAGTAGATAAAGACTAATATGTCTTAATAATGGCTAAATGATTGGAAGTGATTAAGGATAATTAAATTTGAAATTAGATTTAAAATAAATTAAAATATATATATTATTCGATGCCAGCAAAAAAGAGAACCACTAGAATTGGAAATTGGTACAAAGCTGATGATGAGAAAGTACATTTCGTTAGAAAGAGAAAAGTAATAAAGATTATAAATGAATAAAGGCTCTAAGACCATCTTCATTACGAAGAATTAGTCCAGGATAGGTCTTAATCTTATTGGCTGGTAGATTCTAAGGCAAGAGAGTTGTTTTTTTGAAACAACTTAAATCAGGACTCTTACTTGTAACAGGACCATTCAAAATTAACGGTGTACCTCTTAAAAGAGTAAATTAAGCATATGTTATCCCAACATCTACAAAAGTTGATATAAAAGGAGTTGATGCAAGCAAAATTGAAGATGAATATTTCAAGAGAACTGAAGCATAAAGAAGAAAGAATGAAAAAGGATTTTGGGCTAAAAGAGGAGAAGTAAATAAATAAATTGATTATTTAGTTAAGTGAAGAATAATAAACAGCTGAGAAAAAGAGATTGGAAGAGAAAAGAAAGACTCAAAAATCAATTGATGACGTATTAGTTGCTGCAGTTAAAAAGACATCATTCTTGAAATAGTATTTGGGAGCTCGTTTCAGTATTGGAAAAACAACAAGAGCTCATGATTTAGTCTTTTGAGATTTAAGTACAATATTCAATATTATAAATGTAATATATATAATGAATGTTGATTGAAGACCAGATTATTCTTTTTAATTAATTAATTTTTTTATTTTATTTGAAATGATCTATGAAAAATGCTTGATAAAAACTCTTGTTTTATTCTGTACAATGGGCTTACTTTTATTTTTTAAAGGATATTTCATAGATCGTAGATACTTATTGGATAGAAGTAAAGGAACGATGAAACCAACATAACCTGTAATATTATTAGTAATTGATTCACTGCGTATTGATTTGGCTTTCAGTCAAAATTTCACTTTCATAAAAAAAATGAGCAAAGAAAAACCTGATTAAACCTTGTTTTTTTTATCTTTAGCTGAAGTCCCAACTGTTACAGGGCCAAGATTGTAAGCAATGACAAGCGGAAATTTTCCACCTTTATCTAAATTATTAGACAATTTTCATGCTTCAATAGTATTTATTAGTAATTATTTTTATCATAGATTAAAGAAGACAATTTACTTTTTTAAATGAACAGATTTAATAAGAAAACATTTTTTGTTGGAGATGATATATGGATGGGACTCTATCCTGATTAATTTACAGTCTAATTTCCTAAAAAATCATCTAATATTAATGATTTAAGTTCAATTGATGAATTCATTTCTTTAAAATTAAATAAGAATATAAATTAAGGATATGATTTGATTGTTGCACATTTTCAAGGATTAGATCATGCTGGACATAAAAATAATAAAGTTTTGAATAATCAAGATTTAGAAGATCAATTAGGTCACACCGATGGAATCATAGCATAAATATATGAAAAAATGTCAAATGATACTATTTTATTAATTACAGGTGATCATGGAATGGCAAATGATGGTAATCATGGTGGAAATAGTACAGAAGAAACTAACACTTTATTGTTTGCAATAAAAAAATAAGGGAAGTTTTATCCAAAATATATGGAAAGCATTCCTTAATTGAAAGATAATTACCAATCAACTTTAGTCAATTAGTCTCAATATATTAGAAAAATCAGTTAAATTGATTTAGTCCCTACTCTTGCCATTCTATTAGGCATCCCCATACCTTATAGTAATCTAGGATATCTTATAAATGAATTCTTTAATAGTGAGAAACATTGCCTCGATAATCTCAAATAAGTAATGAACTTTGTTGAAACTATTCATAATCGATAAGGAAAATTTACTTATTCTTAAAAAAGTCAATGGTAAAATTAATATCAAAATGTTAAGAATTGTAAAGATGCTTTAATTCTTATGAATGATATTTAAGTTGTTGCTAGAAAAATATGGAATGAATATAACTTTCCATTACTTCATTTAAGTTTTCTTTTATAATTCTTAATATTCATCTTTTTCATTTTTACTATGATTGTTCTTAAGTAATCTTCTGAAAACGATGATCATATTAAAACTCAAGAAATTATTTCAGCTTTTAAACATGCTCTATAAGATAATCAAAAATTAACTTTATTTTTAGTAATATTGGCAGCTATTTTATTTTTTATGTATGAGATAGAAATACTAATAACGATAGTCCTCACATTAATCCTTTTTTATTTTGATTTTATCTTATTTATTAAAATAAAAAAGAATCGTATTCTAAGATAAAATTAATAATAATGGAGTTTAATTCAATAACCAATTTAAAATCCTACTGATTTCGATAAGTTGATTAAAATATCTCTCTATTTATTTTTTATCTATAAAATTATTCTCCAAGGTTAATTATTATTGTCAATTTAAGAACTACAGTTTGAAGAAAATTACTTATATAAAGAAATTAACAAACTTTTAATGATAAGTTCCATTATTTGCATATTGAATTTAATATTTAGATTAATTAATTAATTAGAAAATGAATCGATATTTAGTAAAATAAAAGATACAATTATTTCATGTGCAACTGCTATGATAATTTATTATGCTTTAAATTTTGAATAATTATATTATTTAAAAAACGAAGGATATGAATTTTTACTTTAATTTAGATATTTGATGTATTTATCTGTTATATTTTTGCATGTTTGTCTATTTATGTATCAGAAAGAGAGCCCAATATTGGATAAAATATTAGCATAATTTGGTTTAGTCTTAATTGACATATTTTACACTTATCTAAATGTTTTATGTTAAGGATAGCCATACAGGGAATTAGTTATCTTACATATTCCTAAAATTATTTATTTGATTTCATTTTACTATTTTTTTTCAAAAGATCCAATATTTTTGTTTTTATCTTGCGTAGTAGTATCAGATACTAATGGATTAATGATATATTCATGTGAAATATTGATTTTTATCCTTTTATACTTTCATTGGAAAAGTTTACTCAAATTTTAAATGATTTCATTTTTTGCAATGTTATCATTAATTTGTTAAATTACATGGTTTATTTTTGGTAATCTATGTACAATATCATCAATAAAATTAGAGAGAGCATTTGTTGGTGTATAGGATTTTCATTTATGGTTAAATCCTTTTATATTAGCATTTTTTTTATTGGGACCTTATTTGGCTGGTTTAATCTTCATTCGATATATAGGTCCATAATTGTGCAAATAGGGAGAATTAATTGATACATAAGGTAATAATATAAATTTGATAGGGATATAGTTAGAAATTCAAAAAATTTGTTTAAATTAATGTTCTTATTTAATTTTTATATTCAGATATAATTTACTTAGATTCACAGCTATAAAAATGCAGGAGGATTGATCGATATTTAATTTAAGTACATATTTGATGCAGTGACATTTTTTACGGTGTGCTTGTTTATGTTTTTGATCTGAGTGAATAAATGTTTGTGTTATTAAATAATTGCATAAAATAATTAAAAAAAAGATTTATTTAGAGTTTTGAAATGGGAAAATTGTAAGAATTAGTCTAAATAAAGTTTAAAACCAGGACGTTTGATTGTTATGCTCGCAGGAAGATATGCTGGAAAAAAGGCAATTTTAATAAAAGCTAATGAAGAAACTACAAAAGTAAATATAAAAACAAATAATTAGGATTGCAAATTCCCAAATGGTTTAGTTGTTGGAATTTAAAGATATCCTAGAAAAGTAACAAAGAGAATGGGATAGAAATAAATAAGAAAGCGAACTACATTAAAAGTATTCATAAAATAATTAAATTTAAATCATATAATGCCAACAAGGTTAATATTAATATAATAACTAAATAATAGATATAGATTAGAGGAATCAACACTAAAGGAAGTGAGAGATAGAATAGAGAGAGTAAAAGAATCTGAATTAAAGAATGTTGAAAAAAGAAAAGAATTGAGAAAGAATTTAAGAAAGTATTTAGCAGAGAAGTACAGAACTTTACCAGCTGGAAGTTTAGCAGACAAAAAAGCTTAATCAAGGTTCCTGTTTTCTAAGTTGAGATTTTGATATATTAAAAGTATAGTAAAGAATTAGATATAAATAATAATGAAATATATTTGTTTATATAATTTTAGATCATTATTGTTACTATTGTTACTTTAATTTTCTCTAGGTTCTAGTGTAATAAAACTTGGCCTTTTCTTCTTGAGTTTGGAAACGTCCTAAAAAATGAAAATAAATAAATACCATGTCCAATTTTAGAGGAAGTATCAACGAATTTGAGAGTGATTTCTTCCAAAGATTTTCTGCTGGTTTATGGAACAAGAGACTTTCTCAATAAGACAATTCTCTTTTTGGGTCCAACAATACCTCCCTTAAGCATAAGGAAATCGTTTCTGATTTCACCATAATGAGGGAATCCTCCCAATGGAGTAATAGCCTTAGATGTCAAATCTGCTTCTGTGGATGCAGTATTCTTGTCACCAGCAGCACCAATTCTATAAATTTTCTTATTCATTTCAGTTCTATGATGATAACCTAATTAACCAGTTCTAGCAACACTATATCTAACATTAGCTGGATGCCATCCTCCAATACATCCTACTCTTCTCCAACCTCTATGGGTTTTCTTTTATAAATGTTTAACACCGAATCTTTTAATCACACCTGCAACTCCCTTACCTTTAGTTACACCAATAACATCAATTTATTCGTTTTATTTAAATACTTAATCTACTTTTACTTCTTTCTCTAATAATCCCTTTGCATAATTAACTTTTTATTCTGTTGTACCTCCATTTACTTGAACTTCAAATACATGATTCTTCTTTTATCTTAAGTTTAATTTGCTCATTTAAGTATGAACAATCACTCTTACGACTTAGCAATACTTTACAATTCTTTTTAATTGAGTTTCCAAATTCTTTGGTTCTGCATTAGCTTTATTATAATTTGTAAAAGCTTTCTTCTTTGAATTCATCCAATTTTTATAGAATCTTCTTAAAGTGTCTTTTGCAATCTTTGTACTCCAAACTGTTGTTAAAGCTCTTAATCCTCTTGGTGTTTCAATATATCCTACTATACCAACAACAGCCAAAGGTGGAGTTTCAACTATTGTTACAGCTTCTACAACTTCTTTTCCATTTAATTTTGATCCTGGTCTTTCAACAGTTCTTAAAATGTGGGTCATACCAGCTTTGAATCCTGCAAATGCTGTTAAATGAACTGGTGCCTTTACATTATCTTTTGGAAAAGCTCGGATTCTTCCTCTGTGATGCTTTGTTCTCTTTCTTGGTGTAAATCCAAGATTTCCATGTCTTGGTGCTTCAAACTTTCTGTGAGACATTTTAAATATTAAAAAAATCTTTGAAATTTTTTAAATCCTTTTCAAATTTAATACCCATTTTTTATATTTCACATTTTTCAACATACATTAAAATTTTATTTATTAATTCTCTTTTCATTCTTTTATCAACTCTCTCCTATTTCTTAATTTTTCTTTTGTTCTACTTTTCCTCAAATATAAAATTATACATCCTTCTAATTATCTTCTCCCTTCTTATAGTATTATATTGTATTGAAATTACTATAATTTATTTTCTAATACTAAATATTCTATAATAGTGAACCATTTAAAAATTCTATAAAATTTAAGTAATCCTATATTTTTTTAATAATAACCAATTCTTATTTTTTAAAGGAATATTTTAAATTATTGATATTATAGTTTTATAAAAAGTTAATATGTAAGCTATCTCTCCTTTTTAATTCCTGAAAATATTCTCAATTTATTAAAGTAAAAAACTAAAAAGATAAAATGCACATAATATATATTGGGAATGATCAAGAAATTATTAAGAAGAAAAATAATTCTATTAATATAACTCAAAATAATTATAACAAAAATTAAAATAATAAGCTTCTGTGTAATTGTTATTTTTAGATTAACTTGAATATTTTAATCTGATTTATTCATATTTAGAATAAAATTACCTTTTTAATTTCAATTTTCATATTATTTTATTATAGCATAAAAGTTAAAATGTTTAAGTCAAAAATGATTGAGCAATAAACAGATTTCTTCTGTGCTCATAATCATAACCTACCTATTATGTCAGTAATTCTAAATTAATAAGAGTTAAATTTAACAAATAGGTTATTATGCTCTGAATGTATAGAGAATATTGATTAGAGCTCACTAGAACTTATTGGATTTAAAAAAGCTATTTAATTGATAGATGATTAATAATCATAGAAGATGAAATTTATTGAAAATTTTCTAGAAACAAATATTCAGGAAGTTGATCGCTTTTTAAATTAAGTCTCAGAATTTAAATCATAAGTTGTTTAGTCATTGGAATATCTTAATTCAATGTCAATGCAGTATATTCTAAGCTTAAAACAAATAGGAATTGAATATTCAAATTACAGTTTTAGCTCAGGATTAAATTTTTTAATAAATAAAGAAAAATCTGCCTTAGATTATGGATAATTGATGAAAGATATCAATAAAATATTTAATATTTGGTATCAAAAAGCGAATCCAAAACTATAATAATTTAAAAGTTTTGAAGGATATACTAAATGCTAAGAGATTTTAGATTATTATTTAGAATTACACTAGAAACAACAAGCACCAACAAAAGGGGCCAATTTTAAATTTGTATAGATTCAAAATAATACTTAAATTTTTTAAGAAGAATGGTGTGGAGCAGTAGCAATCAATAATGATAATTCAATTGTAGCAGCAGGATGTAAAAAGGATATAAAAATATTTGAGTTCAAATAAGGAATAATGAAATGTGTTTAGCTTCTAAAAGAACATAAAAATGATGTGAATACTCTTTTTTTTTTAAAAAAGACTTAACCTTAATAATTAATTTCTGGGGGAGATGATGATATTATTATTATTTGGTCATCAACTATCCCTTGGTACACTAACATATTAAAATGGTCATGTCATTAAAAATTAATAGGACATACATCTTATATATGGTGTTTAATTGTGAATAATATCGAAGATCTAATAATATCAGGAAGTAGAGATAAAACAATAAAATTTTGGGATAAAAAAAAATCTTAAAATTAATAATTATGGGAGTGTTCTTAAACAATTTCTCATCATACTAATTGGGTTTACTCACTTAGTTTAAGTTCTTCATAAAAAAAATTGATTTCTTGTTCAGAAGATTGTTAAATTTTGATAATTCAATAATAACTATCTTTAGAATGGTGTGTGATATAAGTTATATAAGTTGAAATTGAAGGAGTAAGATTATGTTTTATAAATGATACTATTTTCACTGTTTAACCTTATGAGGGAAAATATATGTAGATTTATGAACTCAATGAATAAGATTAGTATATTAAAACTAGAGATCTAGCTGTAAAAGGTGATAATGAAGTATGCAGAGCATTCTTTCCATAACAGTATATTTCTTAAAAAAAACTTTTAATTAACAAGAATGGTTATCATATTAATTTAATTTGTTATGATAATAGGTACTCATTAAATTTAATTTAGTGGAGAATTCATTATTGTGTAATCAATAAATTTTGGTGAGGTCCCTTATGGCCAGTTGTATGGCACTCTAAGTGATAATGGTCAATATATAATAACTTGGGATCGTAAATCAAAAGAATTCCAAATAAGAGAGTTTTAATTCACATGAAGATATAATTAATTTTATTCTGAAATTATTCCAAAATCTTATTTAATTTATTACACCACTCATTTTTCATATAAAATTAGCAAAAATTGTTCATATAAATTAAAGTGGTTTTTAATTTCTAGAAAAAATTTTGGCAAAATCTTCGAAATTGTTACTTGAATTAAATCGATTTCAAATTTAATTCTTATTTATAATATTATTTAGTATCTTTTAGGATATATAAATATAAATCATTCAACTACTTTTAATTAAATTTAATTATTATTGATTTATTTTAGTTATAATTGTTATTCACAATGCTCTAATAAAATGAATCTATCTATTAAAATTAAAATTTAATTTCCAATACATTTCACCTCTGAAATCTTTTTATTTTCTATTAATTCAAGAAACAAATGAACTTCATTATTTAAATTTTCTTTGCTTTTTACATAAGGAATTCTATTTAAAATATCATAACTAATTTATTCATTTATCACTGATATTTCAAAAATCCCATCTTCTTTTATTTATAAATGAATACAATCTTCATTCTCTACTATTTTACAAATAAATTACTGTAATTAATATAAAATTGATTCTTCGTTTTCTTTCCATTCCCATTCAATTTATAAAATATCTCTCCACAAAGAAGATAGGATATTTTGATTGTTTTATATTTTAATAATCTAATATTCAATTTTATTTTTATAATTGTTGTATACTCCAAAATTATCAATTAAGTAATCATTTTAATCATAAGAAATAATTACTATTTTTTTATTCTTATCCTTAATATAATTAATTATTCTCTAATCATTCTCATTAAACTCATTTACCAAATAGATAAATAAACCACATTATTAGATCATGAAATCTATCCAAAAATGCTAGAATTCTTACCTTTCCTATATATTGGTAGAATTAATTAAAAATAAAGATGGAAATTCTAGTTGCTTTATCATAAGTTCTAATCTATAATTTTCTTAAAATCCATCATCATAATATTGAATAATCATTTAATTTAAATCAACCTATATTTATTTATCAACACCATAAATTGATTTGATCATGTTTTTCAAAAAATTCTAACTTTGACTTAATATTCCTATTGAATATTTTAAATTAGCGTTATGATCTTTTAATTTTATACTCCATTTATTATAAATTAAATCTTATAGAGAGAGATGTTCACTTGTTATTACATTATCAAACTAAAACTAATTTTATAATTAGAGTAAATGCTCCAAAGTTAATTATAAATTAATAATTTTAATTTTTTATTATTAACATTCTACTTTTAACTTTTCTAATTTTTATTTATCATTTTCTTAGTCTGAATCATAATCAGGTTTATTACAATCAAAACTAGATTCAGCTTCATTTTTGTCATCATTTTCTATTAAATGTGTTTTATTTTTTTTTATCTCATCTTGACTCAATTCATTTTCTTCCTCATCATATTCTGTAATTTTTGAGTGATGTTTTATAGGATCAGAGGTAACCTTTATTTATTCAATTCGAATTTGTTCAGTTTATACTTCAGTAGATATAAACTTAAGTTTTGCTTTTTAAAATGATCTGTTAGAACTTTATATTTACATTGAAATAGAAATCTATTTTTAAACCTTATAATCTCTTTAGGTTTTTTTTTCATTATTTAAAAATTTTTCGTTTACTTTTGGTAATTTTTAAATTTCATTACTTTACTGAGTTTAATCTTCACTTACAAATTTTGAAAAGTCTGTTTAAGTTGTTTTGTATTTTAATTCAATATTTTCTGTTTGTTAAAATTTACTAATTTTATTCTATATTTATTTTGTTTATGTTTCTGTGTTAATCATTTTAACCTTGTTCTTTTATATTGAATGGTTTTATTTTTCATCAGTTACTGTTTAATTATTCTTAATATTACAACATTTATTAGGAGATAAGGATAATGTTTCTCCTTCTAATAATGAAAGAAAAAATTTATCAAAAATTTAATTTAGTTTTTGTAAAGATTTGATTAAATCCTTTGATTTCAATATATCCATTTCTAAAATTTCTTAATCAATCCAACTTAATTAATTTTTTTTTTCTTTATTGAAACGAATGATATAAGAAACTACCTTATTTATAATTTCCATAAATATTTTAAATGAATTATCTTTTTATATAAATTTATTTGGAAATATTTAATTTTTTCGTTAAGCATCCTATTGTGTAGAATCTATTTGTGGAATTTCATTTTTATATTTCTCTTTCCCTTAATCTTAGGGTATAGATTTTTACTTTTCCTATATAATTTTAGTTAAATGAATAGTCTTTGATTATTCTTAAAATAGTAATTATTCTAAAAGTTAATTTTTTTATTAGAATTCCTAAACAGATTTTTATAGCTAATTACTCTTCATTAAAATTTGCTAATTAAAAGAATCACTCATTTCTTTTTTTTCTTTTTCATGTCTTTTTCTCATTTAATCCAATTATAAAAATAACTTTTCCAATGTTTAATCTCTTATCTAATTATCTATAATAATTGATTAGTCTTTGCTTGAATTTTATGTTTTATTTTTTATGATTTTATCATTCTATAATGGACTTTTAGATTATTTACAATAGTATTTTTACATAAATAATTTATAGTTAAATATACATATTTTAAATCAATAAATATAGAATAATCCAAAAAAAATTAAATCCCAATTAGTTATTTTAAAGATAAAGATATGTATTCATTCACAAAAAAATAAAGATTTATTTATAGAAATTTTATTTGAAATGATACATATGATGTTATTTTCCTTTAAAAAGCAAATTTGACTTTTTTAAAATAGATATTCTCTCTTCTAAATTTTTAGATATATTATTTCTATATAAGGTTTATAAGGTTCAGTAAATAAGGGAATTTATGCTGTATGAACAAAAGTATTAAGAATGATATTTAAAATCATTATTTATAAATAGGTTCTGAGTATTATTTATTTTAAGATTCAAAATCACAAAAATTCATGAAATCTGAAATTTCAGGATCATAAAACCCAGATTATCTTGATTTAAATTTAAATCATTCGAAATAATAAGATTTAAGCAATAGTACACATATAAAATCAGGACACTGGAGTGAAGAAGAACATTTATAATATGTTTAATTTTTACTTAGTGTAAAAGGCTCAGGAAATTCTTAAAGAAAAGGATAACCACTATTCAAAAGAATGAGTTAGATTATTGGTACAAGAACTCCAAGTTAATGTAGGTATTAGTTTAATTTATGAAGATCTCACCATTAGAAATTTAACCCTTTTAATCCACGTCTTAGAAGAAATCATAAAAAAAACAAAATGCCTAATATAGAAAAACCAATTATGAGAAGTAAATAAATTATGAGATAATATTTTTTCTAAAATAAAATCCATTCTGAAGATGAATTTCAGAGTTAATGAGAACATTTTAATTATGTATTTAGTATACACATTTACTCTTTAGTCACTGACTCTTTATTTGCTATTTTTAATAAAATTTATACTCCAATTATAAAATTTCTAAACAATCCGTTGCAAGATCTAATTCCAACTATTTTTATTACATTTAAATTTTATTTAAGCATTTTCGGCATTAAAGAATTCTTCTAAAAAGTCATTTATATTGATTGTATAATTTTTAAAAAATTTCTAATTTTAGAGTTCGATCATCAAAATTTGAAAAAACATGACTTTGGAGTATAAAATTAGAAATTCTTTATTAATTTACTAATATAATACATATTATTTAAGGAAAAAGTGGATTTGATTATTTTTACGATAAAAACTTATATAAATGCAAATTTTTAAAAAATTAAACAGAGAATATTGAATAACATTTATTAAACTTACTTTAAGGCATACATAAAATAAATAGGTAATAATTTAATTTTATAGAAATTAATCTAGAAAAAAACAATAAAATTATCGTCATCTTGATTAAATATTGTATTAAATTAAATATAAATTTGAAATACAAAAGGACTTATTAAATTGTTAAAGTATTAAAAGAACATTAAATTTTTACATTATTTATTACTGAAATTTATTTGTAATTATATTTTAAATAAAAAAAAGCAGATATTTACAAATAACAGAATTAATAGATAAATAAATTTATTAAAGATGATTCGATCTATAGAAGAAGTGGATAATTCTAAAAAAAGTTTTTTAATCAATATTGAATTAAATTATTCATTTAATTTAAGCTAAATAAGATTTAAGATTTTGAGAACTCTATAAAGGACAATAAATTAAAGGATAATTCATTAATAATTATTAAATACCATAGCATTTTTAAATAAAAATAAAGGTATTCCGATAAGAATTAACTAGAAATATCAAATGATGTATTATTTTATAATATTTTAATGAAAGTTACTTAAATATCAAAGAAAGCTAAGAAAATACACTAATATCAACAATTATTAGTAAATTTACAAAAGTGATCATTTTGATAAGATTAATCGATTTATTTTTATTGATTGAAATTAAAGAAATGAACAAATAAGGAAAAGCCAACTTTTAGTTTTTGATTCAAATATGTATTTTTGAAACTAATCCAAAATTAAAAGAAACTACTTTAATATTAATAGAAACTGTTTTCAAATATTGTAATAATTCTTGCACCTTAATTTATGGCTTCAATCTTAAAGAGACATATTATTAATCAATCTAAGCATTCAGGATTTAATTATTTAGAAAGTTCATCTATTATTGTATCGTATAGAGATTTAACGAAGCTAATAAAATAAAATATTTCAATCTAATTTATTTTTTAAATGAAATATGAATACAATACTCAGCTTTCTTCTTTTGGTTAATGACTTTCCCATTCTGGAACAATTAATGGGTTCATTTATGCCATATATGCAATAACCCACATTAACCAGGCACAAAATGTAGCAATTGTCACACTTACAAGGGTTATTCTATATTGAGATTGATTATTACGTTCTATTTTCAGAAATTTCATGAGGACTCTTGGTTTTTTTAGTAACATAAAAATTGCATCCAAAACAGGCTGCTATTCCTAAAACTATGTAGATTATAGATCCAACCAATATTGACGAACCATTACTTATTGCCATTTTAATATATTAATATATTAAATAAATTATATAATAATATAGATCAATATTATTCATTTATTTTCAATATTTATTTTATTGAAAAATTCATTAAAATAATAATATATGAAGAATTTGACCATAAAACATATGAAAAAAAGGAAATAATATAATTTATATAATAATTTACTTATTATTGGATTGTCAAATAGAAATCACCATTCATCGCCAAATAAATCTTCTTCCATAGGTATTTATTGAACCTATTGTTCCCCTTCTTTTGTAGATAATACTTAAATATATTTATTTTATAATTTCTAAAAAAATATTCTAAATAATATAAAATTTTTACTAGTTAAATTATGAGTCTTATTATTAATCAGAAAGATTCCAATCTTTTTAAAATTATTTTATATCATATTCTGATTGCCCCTTAAATTATATAATCATTGCTAAACAACAGTTAATAAATTCTATGAAATGTTTTGCTTAAAATAAATGAGCTCCTTAAATAAATTAAATAAATATATCAATATTTTTTTCTCTGATTGCAATATCCATAAATGGTTTAATATGTTCAGATAAGATTTTTCCAAATACTTTTTCATTTTCTTTTATTTGAATAGGTTTTGGGAATTTCATTTTTTCAACATCAAATTAGAATTCTTCATAAAACAATTTAAATGTTTGTAAAAAATCTCCAGTCACTATATCTTCAAAAATGATATTTTTATCTTATGAATAAGGCTCTAAACCTTTTGATAACTCAATAATTTAGTTAGAAATAGAAATTTTTACATTGTCTTTTGATATTATTGTTATCATTTAATGAATTTATTTTAAAATTAAATCAATAAATTTAAAGATTATTAATATATTATTTTAACAGCCTTCTATTTTAGATTAAGTGTGTTTTATTAGATAATATTTATAAAAGGTTTCCTTGTATGTAAATTAATTTGGTATATTAGAATTGAACTTTTGAACCTCAAAATAATTTATTATATTGATAAAAATTCAAATAATAGTATAATTAATAATATCAATTTTATTGGGTAAAAAATGTTGGATTTTTTCAACATTTATTTTTCACATTTTCTACCTCATAAAAATACCCTTGAAAGTCAGCTAAAGACTTAAATAGTTTTATTACTTTATAACAAATCGTTTTAAATTTTTTTAAAGAATTTTTTTGAACTCTATTAATAGCAAAAATTTCTCTCAGAAAATTTAAATTTTCTTTTTGGTTGATAAGGTGAAAGCATACTTTTTGATTATAGTTTCTTCCAATCAAACTATTGAAACCATTTATGATTTTTTACATCTTCAGGTGATTAGGTACCTAATCTATTTTCTGGTTTTCTTTATATTAACTAAATTTAATAGATTTAGGATACTTAATTTATAAAATCACCAGCCTCTAAAGTCCAACCAATAGGAAGTTAAGATCTTTTAATTTAAATTTATTTAGATAGCATTTGATCTCTAATTTGATTAGCATCTGAGCCTGAATATGGTCTCTTACCGAACATACATTCATATGTTATAACTCCCAAAGCAAAGTAATCAACAGCTATTCCATAGTTTTGTTTACACATAATTTCAGGTGCTACATAACCTAAAGTTCCACTTAAATCTTCTGAATTATTGGGTTTCCAATAAGAAGCCAAACCAAAGTCTGTTAATCTTAAATATCCTTTATGATCCATTATCAAATTCTCTGGTTTAAGATCCCTATGAATAATCCCTTATTAATGAAGATAGTCTAAGGCTATTATCATACAAGCAACAAAAAATTCTATATTTGGTAAGATAATTACTTGTTTATTCTTCAGAAAATACTTTAGAATAATTCATATGTTATCTTAAATCTCCTCCAGTCAATAAATCAAGTGTTAGATATAAATTTTTCTTATCTTAAAAGGCTGCTATCAAATTAACTAAAAAGGGGTGTCTAATAGAAGTTAATAAGTTTTTCTCATTCATCACAACAGAAATCTACTATTTCTTTATTACTCTTAGCTTATTAATAATTAATACTCTGCTTTCGCCATCACTTTCATTGCAAAATATTCATTATTTTTTCTTCTCTAGACTTTCCAGACTTTTCCAAAACTTCCCTGCCCTAAAAGTTCTATAAACTAAAAATTTTTAGCTGATAGATCTAAATCTACTAAAATGATATACTTGAATCATCTTCAACTTCATTATTTTAGATATTGCAATTACCCATTTAAATAATTTTAATTACTTAATTGATAGACAAGAAAAATTTGTTTTATAATGATCAAATTTTCTCTACTAATTAATTTTTAGATATATAACGATTAGCTTGAATTAAAATTAGCTATAGTTTACTTAAATAAATACTAAAAAAGTATAATCTTTCAACCAAATATATAAATCCTATATTCTTATATTTGAAAAAAAATTGATTTACTTTTAGAAAATATTTAAATTTAATTTTAATAATAGATATGAATAAGTTTTAAGATTCATTGGGAAAATGTAGAACATTAATACATACAGGGCTAAAGGAATTGATGAGCCTATTGTTATTCAATAAATTTACCATTTATTATAATTAATGATATTACATTATCAATAATTCATATTTTTAATTTATTTGTAATTTATCTTATTATAATTGATTTACTCTACTTTACAGATATATATTCTAATTATTTAAAACAATATAATACTTAAGCATTCAATTATTAGATGATTAATGCTTAATGTCTATTAGCCTCTTCGGCTTATTAATATAAATTTGTCTCGTTATTGTCCTAAATTGCCTCAACTTTTACATACCCTTCGTTTTTTTCATTAAATTAAGATTTTTTCTATACAATATCTAAAATTACTATGAACATTAATACCTTCACTATTTTATCCTAAATTCTTATTTGTTTTTTATTTTATTTCTCTGACTATTTTTTTCGTTATTCTTCCTTCTCTTCTAAAAATTTGCATAATTGCCTTTGCTGTTGAAAAGTTGATACTTAAGTCTTTGGCAGCACTTTTAATTGTACAACCAGTAGAGGTCACTCTTTCAATCAAAGCTTGTCTCTACCTATTTGAAATTTTTGCATATTTTAAGCCAAACTTTCCTAAAGTATAACTAAAATAACCTACCATTTCTTTTTTATTCGTCTCCGTTTTACTCATTTGTAGGTTTTTTGAGGAGTGATTTATTATGTACTTTATTTTCTAAATCAAATGAAGAATCAGAGTCATGAGAACAAACAGAAGAGCTAGATATTTATTCTTCTTCCTTTTCTACTTAAGCAATCTATTAGTCTAATATTAAATCCATTAATTATGGTAATCAATTTAAATAATTGAAAAAAGTGTTGATACTTATTTAGCTTTTATACAATTAATTTTTATAATAAATTATTGGAACATCAGAAGTTCTTAAATATTTTATTTCTTTTATTCATGTTTCAACATAAGCAAATTGATGCCTAGCTTTATATTTATATAAATATTTAAAATTTTTATAATATTTTAACACATTATTACAATATCAAAAAGTCATTATATTCTACTTATATAATCATCTAAACTAATAAACTCCTCTTCTATTATTTGCTCTAAAGATTATGGTGATATTATCATTCGCTATTGATTAATATCTATTAAATGTTAGCATAGATTTAAAGCTTACTGTCTTAATTTTGGTTCAAATTCCTATATGCAATTATTTAAAATTATACATCAGCTTCTTAAATATCCTTAATTTTAATTAATCTTTTTTTTTTATTTAAATTTGATTGAAATTACTCAGAATATAATTTACATTCATAATCAACAGAATACTCAGATAATTTTGGAAATTGATAAGCCATATAAGGAATAAATTTGTAAGGTGACTCAATTTTTACTTTTTGCTATTGTTGTTCCTAAACAGGATTATGATTAATTGTGATTCCAAAATCTATATAATAATAAAATGTGATTAATACAATCAAAAACAAATATCCATTCATAAAAATAAAATTCTTCTAATTAAAATAATGAGAAAAGTTCAATTAATTTTAAACCAGATATTAATAAAAAGGGATTAGCTTATTTTCCTTTTCTATCAAATATTTACATTAACATACTTACCAAATATGGCCAGATTTATCTAAAAACTTAAGTTAAAGAATTTTGACTTAATCTTAAGACAAGAATTCTTATACAAAATATAATTAAAATTGATATTGCTGCATCTTAAGAATTAATATCTTTTATAACAGATAATATTGCATCTAATAATGTAGTTAATTTGGATTAATATTTATCGATTCCTCCAGAGTATATAATAAAACAAACTCTTTCAAATCCTTTAGTCTTTTTCATCATTTCTGCAGATTTACTTTTAAATAAACCTGCAAATCCTTAAAAAAATTTAGAATTATTTCCTAATTGGTCAGAAAGAATATCATTTTTATCTGAAATAATGTCAATGATTTCTGTCCAAAATTTAAGACATCTACCAGTACATTTAAAAAAATCTTATTTATTAAAGATATCTAATATATCATTTAAATATATTTAAGGTAATATATCTTTATTGTGTTTTAAGATAGTACATAAAAGTTCTGATGCAGTTTCAACAATGATTTAATTTTCTTTATTTTCAATTAAAGGGAAAATAAATACCATAAATTCTCTTGTATTTTCAATTATTCTTTCACTTCTAGAAACTTCATAGGTGTTTATTAAAGTAACTTATGATAGTCTTTTTAAAGTTTTTATAGCAATGATTGAACATTTATTTGAAAATTCAGATTCTGTTAAATTTAAAACCTTTTTTATAAAAGAGTCAAATAAAAATTATTAAATTTGATAATTTTTTTATAATTCGTATGATTTTTCACAATTCGATGAAATCTTATAATCTTCGTATAATTCAAAAATAGTTGGAGTAAATGGAATAATCATTTAGAACTTTTTATCTATTTATAAATCTACAATAGTATCTTAGTGATAGGGTTGAGTTAAATATTTATATTGGAATGAAGCAATTTCAGCTAAAATCACCAAATTTTATCTTATTTAAGTATGTAACTCTTTTCTAAATTCTTCAAGAACATCTTTTGGAGAAAACTTCCAAGACAACATATATATAATTTCCAATACATAACAAACTGTATTTATATGTCTAGATTACAGAAGACATTTTGAAAAACTTAGAAATACATTCCATAATTTAATTAATTCTTTATTCTTTAGATTTTAATATTAAACTGAAGACATGTAAGTATATAGAAAGAATAAAACTTCATTCTCAAATTTGGCTTATTCATAATTATAATAATAGGAACCTTTTTTATATTTATGTTTTTGATAATATTAAATAATTATTTGAACTTATCTAGTACGAACAAATGCAACCATAAATTCATCTGGAACTATTTATAAAGTTATTGATAACTCAATCAATTTGCACATATTCTAACTTATCTTTAATCCATTTTTATTCATATTAATTTAACTTTACCATAACTCTAAAATAGATGAAATTAAATTTGATTAAAAATGAACTGAACAAGGTCTTAGTAACTGTAAAATTGAATGTTTTATTTAATCTTCATCTGTATACTCTTATTCTGATTTTTATAATTGATCTTTCAATAACTTATTAAATTAATCGAATTTTTCATATTCATAAACAATACAGCCCATATTAGATAAATGATCCCAATTTAATGTACATCTCCAACATTCCAAATAAGATTACAATATTTAAGGAAATAATTTAAGTAACATTTAACAAGTATCTGAATAATTTTAAAATTATGGTTATGTTAACATTTAGCTTTTATCTGTCTTTTTGAAAAATAAATTTAATGTAAATAAATCAACTAATACACCAGCAGCATTAGGTCTTTAATCGAGATCTTTTGTATCATATTTGAATTAAAAAAAAAAACTAATTATAGCTCTTATAGAATTAGATAAAGACATAACTTCTTCAAAATCATCTCCTGATAAACCTGATTTAATATGAAGTTAATCAAAGTTAAGTTATTAAATATTAAACTATTAAAAATTATTATTTATTTATTATTTAAATACTTTTAGGATCTATAAATTTGTTGATTTTCTCTAAGAAATTCCTTCAAAATTATTTTAGTTATATTCACATTCTTCTAATAATTTCAACATTGTTATAACTATTATTTAAATTTTTTCTGTAATTATTCTAGGAGGTAGAAGTTAACTTATTGAATAAACCCCTACAACTATTGTATTTAAGTATCTTTATTTTAAAAAATAAACTTATGATGATTATAAACCAACCATAAGATTTTAAAAAAATTATGGTTATTCATAAAGTACAATCAATTCATTTCTATGTTACTATGATAAATATTTTTCTAATTCATAAGTATTTAACAAAAATACTTTTATCAAATTGAGTAACTATAATTATAGCAATTAATCATTTTTTTAAATTACTTACTCAAATTTCTACAAAACAGAATTAAAATAAAGAAGTAATACTTAAATTTTATTTTTATTATCAATTGTAAAATTAATAACATTTTCGAGTAATTCTGCACTTGTTGCATTAATTTTTGAAAATTCGTTGTTATTAAAATCAGCTAAAACAAATTAGATTAGAATATGGCAAATTAATTTATAATATGTATTTAAGTGTTCATCCTAACAAAATGTTGGCTTTGTTTTTTCTATATAAGGTTAAAACCATTCTTTAGATACATAGATTCTTTGTAATTTTTTAATCGTATCAACAGCCAATTCTAAAGAATATTCCTTGTTTTTTTATATATCTTTTAAAATAAATTCTAATCTTAGAATGATTGGATCAATTATTCTAAAAAAAAAAGGGGCAGATTCACTCAGCCATGTTTTTGTATTATATCGAATTAAAGGATTTTCATGATCTAAATAATTCAACATTTGTAAAATTCCTACACCTGTATTTAATTTAGGATGTTTTTTATAGAACACATTAGTAATTCTACAAAATATTTAATATCTCCTTTAATCTCCTTATTTTAATGCGTTTTCTATAACATAAACAAAAATGTGTTAAAATCTTTCTGCTATATATAAAATGAATTCAACAGCTAATTAATCATGATAATTATGATCTAAAAGAAGCCATAACTTTTGAAACATTTATTTTATATAGTTTTTTTCATCTTAATTACTTTTATAATCATATTAAGTATTATCCATAGATAAAGATTCCATTTTTTCAAATGGTTAAATATCATTATAACTACTTCTAGTAATCATTTCAGTTAAGAGAAAAACATTTTAATGAATTTAAGCTTGTTTAAGTAATTCAATAACTGTTTCTATTGAACATAAACTAATTTTATTTGTTCCTTTTTCTAAAGAATTAAATAATTAAGATAACCAATTTGGTATTTCTGAATGTTATATATCTGCATGTTTCATTAAAAATAATTAAGATCTGAGTAGAATTTAAGAAGTAAGAGGAAATAGAGCTTCTTATTCATTTTCAATAGAATATTTATTAATTTGAACATAATAATTACAAAATTGTGAAATAATACCAACATCCATTTAATCAATAAGATTAGTGGAATTTTTAGGTAAATTGGAAGTTCTATCATAATTACTACCTAAAGCTATTGTTAAATCTCTTTCATTTTCCAATAATTCTAATCTTTATCTAATTTTATTAATGCAATCTAAAGTTTATGTTAACAATTGTTGAGGAATTAGAATTTAAAACAAATATTCAATTTATATATTCATAATTTCTTTAAGTGATAAAACAAAGAATTCATATAAACAAGTAGTTCTTTATTGAAAAAGAATAATATCATCAATTTTACTTAAATCAGAAAATTATGATCTCATCATATTATTTAAACAAAAATCAATAATTGAAATACATTCTTTAGTTTAATCTTATTTTTCAGCAATCATAAATTTTTTTAAATGTTCATATATAGATTTTAAAATTAATTCACTTTAACTAGAAATACTTTCAATTAATCTTTCACTTGCTTTTTACAATTCTAAAAGTTTATCATTTTAAGTTTCTTAATAGAGTATGGTTTTTTTATATATAAATTTAGCTAAATCGAATCCAATTTAAAATAATGTCATAGAGACAGTTTCTGGATGTTACATATACCAATTTTATAAAATTTTTAAAGGATCACTTTATTCAGCAATCAAAATCCTTTATAATGCAGTTTAAATAAATAATACAATTTACATATTTTCATTTAATTCATCTTCTCCAAAGAACCAATTATTGATTCTTCTTACAACAGCATGATCTAATTTAATAAACAGCAATAAACATTATTCTATTAAAATTAAATTTTCTTATTCTTAAAAGACATTTTCTGAGATTTTACAATATAAACACATAAAATCAAGAGCAGCTCTTTTAACAAGAGTTGATTCATCTTCTAAAGAAGCTAATAATGCATTAATAACTAAAGCTTTTTTATTAGGCATTTTATCATCTTCTAATAGATTACAATTTTCATTATCTATTTATTATTATTTAGTCCATCTTTTCATTAAATATTTATAAGCACCTAATCTACATCTTCCTGATCTAATTATAGATACCCATAATAAACCAAAAAACTACTTTAGTCCTATACTATCAGCAGCTTAATCCAATGAATTCATAACCTAAATTAATTTATTATAAATTACTTTTTTCATCATTTCTTCATTTGTATCTTCCATTCCAACTATTATTGAACTTATTAATCCACCCATACAAGGCAAAAGATCTTTTTATAAGGGATAATAATATTTCTCAAGAATATTCAAAAACATTGGTTTACATTAAATTGATGCAAATCCAAAAAAAGGAAATAAACCAAGAGAAAATAAAGGTAAATCTTAAACTAAGTCATACTCACTATTTGAGGTTAGTATTTTTAAAATTAAATCGTAAATCACTAAAGCATTTTCATGAATTGCTTTATTCCAAATAGGACTTAGACATTATGCTAATCTTTTACATAATAATTTTTTCTTCGGAATATACGATCCTTAGTATGTCTAAAACACACCTTATAATTTCAATAACCACTAATATATTATGATGATAATTTACTTATCCTAAATCAGACCATTCTTTTAAAGACTCATAACTTTTTAAAATTGACCCAATCTTTATTTTCTATTTCTATTATTCTTCTGATCTACTCTTATTTATACTCTGATTTTCATAATTTCTATTATTTTATCTTAAATCATTAAACATTCTATATTATATTTATATAATTTTAATTAAATTACATTAAAACTCAAATCTACTTCTAAGATAATTATTTATGTTTTTTTATTAACTCTTTAACATTCTCTTATTTTTGTTTTTTTATAGTTTCCAATCTTGCATTCCTAGATCCACTTCTACTCATACTAGATTTACTCTTATTTCTTTTATTTTCTAACTTTTTTATATTCTCTTTCATTTCTCTTCCTGGCTTTTTCACTTAATTCTCACTTTCTGTATATATTGACTCTTTAGTAATTGAATCTCTTGTTTATTAAAGTTAACTTTTACGTCTATTTAACTTTATCTCACTTTATAATTATTAAACTGTTGTTTTTTTTGTTCTTAATCTTAAATTATACTATCTAATACTATTTTTAGATCATTTAATTATTATTAATTAGTAAGACTACTATTTAAAACTCTTTCAGATTCATTTGCTTTTTATTATTGATCCTATTTCAAATTTAATTCTAATCTACATAATCTTTATTCTAATTTTTAATAATCACTCTTAAGTGCACTTTATTTTAATTCATTCATAATTACATCAGTCTTTTTATTTAGGATTAATTCAAATTCTTAAATCATTGGTGATTCTTTCTAATATGTTTATCGAATCTCATTTAATTCATATTCTATCTTTTCATTATACATTTTTTATTTTGTTAATTCATTACTATAAATTTCATCCATTGATATATTAATATGATTTCTTATGTTTATATTCTCTTATTCTTGTGTTGTTGCAAAATGTTACAATAATTTTATAAGTTTTATAAAATTCTATCATGTTCTTATTAAGTTTCTTCAACTAATCTCATTCTTTCTTCATACTTTTAATAAATGATTTTCGATGTCTAAATTAAATATTCAATTACTTTTTCTAATTATTATTCTAAATATTGAATATAATTTTCCTTATTTTAACCTAATTTCGATCTATCTTCACTTGTTGTACGTAAAATTGGAGATGTATTTCTTTTGTGTTTTTCAGAATAGCTCATAATTTTTGATTTATCAATTGCTGTTAAATAAATAATTTAATATAATCACTTTTTTAAATATATATCAATTTTATTTTATTATTTGAATTTTCTTTTTTCAACTTCCATTTATAAAAAATAATCTAATTAATATATCTTATATTAGTAATCTCTTTTAATTAAGCTTATTTTTCAAAATTTAGTTCTTAAAAATACTAAAAATTAATAAAGCATAAAAAATTTTGAAATATTGATAATAGAATTTTTTGAAATAAGGATTTTCAATGAATTTATATTTATAAGGTAAAATAATTCAATGCTTTTATATCCTTCAATTTAATTATATTTTTTTCCATGATTTAAATTAAAATGATTCTTAATAATTATTAATGATATAAGATTATTTTTGTAAACAGAAAAATGCCTAGTATTGCTAAAAAAAAACCATCAAAAGAATCCTTAAAAAAAATAAAGCTATTACAAAAATAAATAGCTAAGAATAGACTCTAAGATATAAATGAAAATTTAATTGGAGATATGGATGATTTGATCAATTTCTTTAAATAAAATAAGACATTGAAATTATACAAAGGTACTCTATCATATTTTAAAATAAATCCTTTAAATAATATGCTTTACCTTTTGTCTAATATATAAATTAACTAACATTAATACAAATAAAATTAAGAATAATTATAAAAAAAGGTTATATATGGTCTTTTACAATTATTAGAAGAAAAGAGAGTAATACCAAAAATATTGGGTTGTATTCAATTAGAAAATGGAAAATTTAGATGGATTAATAATATAAAATATTTATCGGAATTAATTACTGCAGCCTCTTTAAATGATGATTACAAATTAAAAAACTAAGAAAAAATATAAATTGATGAATCATAACCTATGAATGATCAATATTTATTATTGTTATCTTTGTAATTACTTTTACCAAATATAGATTAATTTTTGAATCCTAAACATTTAAATTATCAGGATTTTAATTAAATTTATTAAACATACAAAATTATTTCAACTGCTTCAGATAGTAATTAAATAAATAAATAAATTAAATAGATTTATACTAATATAGCAGAAAAAATTAATTCTTTAGGTTGTTATCCAATATCAAATGAGATTTTGAATAAATCAAATAATATCGAATTGTTAAGAGCTTTTATAATTAAGAAATTAGTAATAATTTCAATAGCATAAATAAATGAATAAAAAGTTGGATTACCTGAAATTGTAAGAAAAATTATATTGTCAAATTAAGATTCAATTAACTTTTATGGTTAAAAGGGAGGTGTGGAATTAAGATATCCTCTCTTTTTTATTAAATAATTATCTAAATAAGATGAAATTAAAGATTAAAAACTTTAATATTGTATAAGGTAAATGGATGAAAATTTGAATTGGTTAGAATTAAAATCTCTTTATTATAACAATATATTATCAAGTTTTTAGAATTATGAATAATTGAGTGAAGAAGATGTTATTATTGCTTAGTTAGAAATATTGGATTAGAATTTCAGTAAATATGAAAAGTAAATTAGAAAAAACATTAAAAAACCATCTGCTAAATCACAAATAATATAAATTGAAAATATTTTAAAAGAAGATATTAATATTTCTTAAATTCCTAATTAATAATTTGAAAAATTATAAAAGATTGGTTAAAAACTTATATAATTTAGAGAAATATGTAATTAAGAAGGACTTTAAAGACCAAAAGTGCCTAAATATGCTAGAAAAATCTTAGAAGCTCCTAATAAAGTTGCTGAACCTGCAGAAAGTTATAATTGTTTATCTGATCTTTTGAAATATTAAAGATTAAAATTTTCACATTTCATCAGATTTTTTGGAGAATATTTGATTAATAAAAATCTCCCTTATCCATATTTTTTTGAAATTCTTAAATGTGGTTAAAGTTGCGTTAGAGTAGATGTAAGAATTACAACAATAGAATAATTTGTTTAAGATCCTCATTTTATAAATTTTATGTTTGAAGAATATTAAATTGATATTAGTGGTTTATCAATAAGAGAAAGAGCTAATAAATTGGGAAATGTACCTTATGATGTTTTAATAAAGAATCATAAATTTAAAGAATGTTGGGGAGATATCCTTATAAAATAAGCATAAATGATATATGAAAATAGAAAAACATTACAATGGGAACTTGTTAAAAGATTGAAAAATGAAAAAGTATTGGAAGTCTTTACTTAAATAGAAGAATAAGGAAGAAATATCAGTTGGAAACGATTAGAATTATAGAGAGAAATTATTAAGTTGAAAAATTATGTATAGAAATAATAATGATAAATTCAATGTCTTATAGAAATATTATTTATTTTTAAATATTTTTAAATTCATTATTTGAGTATATTTAGTAAAAATATGAAAATTAATGATAACATATATGTAATGAAATATTCAATAATTGTTCCATTATTCTCCCCATAATGTTGTAAGTGATTTATAATCTTAATTATTTTAACGAGATAAACCGTTATGAGAATTAGGAAAAAATGTTCCTCTAAAATTTTACATTGCTGTTCGAGGAACTCTTAAATTTGGCTATTATGGATAAATATCATCTTCTAATTTTAAAACTTTAGTTTTATTATCTTATTATGAATTAACATTAGTAGGAGGAGTAAATAAACTTCTTGAAGGTTATTAAATAATATCATATCCTATAGCTGCTTTCTTTAATCTTTCTTCAGGAACATTTTAATGAGATTTATAAACTTCACTTATTAATGGAAAATTAGGATGAGCTTAGTAATAAATAGTTCTTTTTTTTAATGATGAAATAACAGGTTTTATATTGATTGTTTTTTTTTCTACTGTCTATGATTTCTTTAATTAAACTTATGATGCTTTTTTTATTAAATTTGGTGTTGATTTACGATGATCATCTTACTGTAATACCTTTTCCCAATGTTCTTACTTTTTTTATATTTCAATTTTATTCATTTCTTCAATATTTCTTTAATGTTCATCTTATAAAAGCTCTTTTTATATTTCTTCATTTATTTTAAGTATTTTTTATAATGCTTTACCATTACTTTCTAAATCTTCTTATTAAATAAAATTTTTTGGATCCAATTCTTTATTATAAATTTTCTTCTCATTAAAAGAGTTTTATTATGAAGAATTAGAATTCTTATTCAATATTTTATTCACATATTTCTAATTTTCATGTAAAAATAATTTAATTAATTAATCACCAAGAAAATAGTTTGCTAATTTAAACCTCTCTCTAAAATAATTCTTAAAATATGAATCTTAATATTTATGTGTAAAATCCAAATCACCTTTTACAGGTTTATAAGATGATTTTACAATTGATTCACATTTAACTTTCTATTTTTAGAATCCTTTATCAAACTCCTTAAATATTACTTAATACTTTTCTTTTTAATCTTCTAATGCTCTTTCAACTTAATCAAAAATTTAAATATCTTTTTATTTTTAAATAGCTTTCTCTTAATCTTCATTACTTTAAGATATTCTTTCTTTTTTGAATCCATTTTCTAATTCTTAAAATATTTATATTTCAGTTTCACTTTAATCCAAATGTTACTACACTTCCTCTTAAATTGGCTATACTTATAAAGACTTCTTCATTTTTTCCTCATATTTTCTAGCTTAAGATTCTTCCAAAACTTAAATCAAATTAACTCCTGCTCTCATTCTTTATAATCTTTTCTCTGAAAATTTAATTTCTGTATTTAAAGATTAAGGATTTTACTTGAAACTATTAATTTTCACTTTTTTTATTTCTTATCGGTTCTCCTCAATCTAATTTATAAATTTATTTGAAAACCTTTTTTAAATTCAACAGGATTTCTTTAAATTCTACAAGTCCACTTCTATAAGTTTCTACAAATGATTTATATTTTTTAACAAAGTCTCTATCGTTCTTCTCTGATAATTTGTTTATGTCACTCTAAATTTAATTATTCATTTCTTTACTTCTATCCAATCTAACAAATTTTGTAATTTCTCACTCATTTCATTCTCATAATATTCTCTCTTCAATATTTTTTTTGCTTCATCAAAAACATTTTTAAATTGCAATTCTATTTCCTTTTTCCTAGCATTATGTTCACTTTCTTGTATTTTCTTCTTCTACTCTTCAATCTAATCCGGTTACATAATAATAATTAATTTTATATTTTTAATTACCTCATTATAACAACTCCATCTATCAATATTATTTTATATTTTTTTCATAAATAGAATATTAAATCGTTTATAGCTTGTGATTTAATAAAAAAAAACTAAATGTAATTGTGTAAAATTTTTTTATAATCTAACTATATTTTATTATTATAAACTAATGATCCTTATTTACATTTAATCAATATTAAATTTAATATTTCATTAATTATTCTAAGTTTATTTATTTTAAAATTGCTAACATACCTCTATATTATTAAGATTTCATTAATAACAATATTCAACTTTTATTATAGATGAATTTTTAGAATAAGATGATTTATATTGAAATTTAGAAATGAAAAACTGAATAATCTAATTCAATTGCCGAAGGGAATGAAAAAAGTATTAATTTCTATATAAATATATTTTAATATAATTTCTAATAAAATATTAAATATTTTTATATAATTTCTAATAAAATATAAAATATTTAAAAATAATAGAATAATATTACCCTAAACGAAAAATGTAAAATTTTTAAAATAAATTATTTGTTTATTTATAAATAACTATTATTAATTAATTTTAAATGTTTAATTAAATGTTTTGTGGCATAATCACTAAAAAAGGTGATATTTGCAAAGATAATTCAGGAAATTTATATCAAGAGATATAATTCCGAGAGGTACATTAGAATGAATCTACTGATGGCAGAATATTAAGTGTCAGATTGTTTGATTGTTTAGATGCAAACATATATGACATGATTATTTGTTATAATTTTAGAATGTTTATAAGCAAGAAGGATTATAAATATCCAAGATTGGAGAAGAATAGGATCTTAAGTTAGGAATATGTAGGGAATGAAGATTGTTAATTTATTGTTAATGAGTCTATGTTTGAAAAAATGAAGAAAGTGTAATAGAATAAGAAGAAAGGTAAATTAGATTATTACTTCAAAAAAATTTGAAGAGTACTTGATATATATATATATATGAATATCATTTTAAATGTTTATTATACTTTAGTATTTTTTTTTGAGAAATTTAAAGGTGTTTATCTGTTTGTAAATGGTCTGGAGTTCAATTATATATAGCGAAGAGAATAGTCTCATAGAGGAAATGGGAGGAAAGTATTTAAATATGAAATTAGAATATGAAATAAAAATGAATTATAATAGAATTAGATAAATGTGTATTATTTCAGAGAATTAAAATTTTCATATTTAAAGGTAATGAAGTATATTTAATATTAATAGAAAATATATAATAATAGAAAATATATAATAATAATAATATATAATATATAATAATAATAATCTAACAACTTAATTGAGAAAGTATATAATAGAGAAATTAAAGAGAGCAAGAAAGCATAAGAATGATGGAATCATTATAAAAGTATTAATTATAAATAGTAGAGCATAGTGAATAAAGGATAAGATGAAATAAGTATGTAAATGAGAATAGAGGAGATAATTAGATAAAGAAGTTACAGAATCTAATTTAGAGAGGCGGTTGGATAATTAAATTAGTGAGTTGAGTGATTTTGTAGATGGAAAATAAATAGAAATGTTGGTGGAGATTGGATGTGATTTTATGATAAAAAATTATTTTGTGATTGTTTTAAGGCTTTCTTTTTTTATAGAAGAAAATGTTGTAAAAATACAATATTTAGAGTATAAGTGGTGTATTATAGAAAAATACATAAATATAAGAAATAAGAATTGAGAATATGTTAATTAATGGGGGACAGTACGCTCTTACAATGATTTAGAAATGACATCATAAATAAATGATACGTATGATTATGTTATGGATTATTTAATGTAATTTAAGTGAGGTGAATTCAAATCTTTTTATTTAAATCAAAAGTTTTTATGGACGCAGAGGATTATAAGGTAAAAGACATTACATAAGCAGAATTTGGAAGAAAAGAAATAAATTTAGCTGAAGTAGAGATGCCAGGTTTGATGTCAGCAAGAGAAGAATATGGACCCTAATAAATTTTGAAAGGTGCTCGTATTTCTGGATCATTACATATGACAATATAAACAGCTGTTTTAATTGAAACCCTTTAAGCATTAGGTGCATAAGTAAGATGGTGTTCATGCAATATTTTCTCAACATAAGATCATGCTGCTGCTGCTATTGCTTAAGCAAAGTCTGCTGCTGTATTTGCATGGAAAGGTGAAACCTTATTAGAATATTGGGAATGTACAGTAAGAGCTTTAGATTGGGGAAATGGTTAAGGACCAACTTTGATTGTTGATGATGGTGGTGATATGACAATGATGTTATTAGAAGGAGTTAAATGGGAAAAGAAATATGAAGCTAATGGAGAATTACCAGAACCAGAAAGAGCTGAATCTGAAGATGAATAAGCATTCTTAACTATTCTCAAAAGAGAAATCTAATAAACACCAAACAAATTTAGAAACTATGTTGCTTAAGTTAAAGGAGTCTCAGAAGAAACAACTACTGGAGTTCATAGATTAAAATAAATTGCTGCTAAAGGAGAATTATTGTTCCCAGCTATTAATGTTAATGATTCTGTTACTAAATCTAAATTTGATAATATCTATGGATGCAGACATTCAGTTATTGATGGTATATTCAGAGCCACTGATGTCATGTTATCAGGAAAAAAAGCTATCGTTTGTGGATATGGAGATGTTGGAAAAGGATGTGCTTAAGCTTTGAAGGGATAAGGTTGCAGAGTTTATATCACTGAAGTTGATCCAATCTGTGCTCTTTAAGCATGTATGGAAGGATATGAAGTTGTAAGACTTGAGAAAGTTGTAAAAGATATTGATATTTTCATCACTGCTACTGGAAATAAGGATATTATTACAGCTTAACACATGTCTTAAATGAAACATAATGCTATTGTTGGTAATATTGGACATTTCGATAATGAAATTGACATCAAGGGATTAAAACAATGGGAAGGAATTAAGAGAATTTAAATAAAACCATAATGTGATTAATGGATTTTCCCAGATGGACATGGAATTATTATGTTGGCCGAAGGTAGATTACTCAATTTAGGTTGTGCCACAGGACATCCATCATTTGTTATGTCTAACTCTTTCACAAACTAAACTTTAGCTCAAATTGAATTATGGATTAACAGAGACAATGGAAAATATGGAAATTAAGGTAAATTTATTATAAATATATTTTAGTTTACAAATTACCAAGAGAATTAGATGAGAAAGTTGCTGTCCTTCATCTTAAAAAATTGGGTGCAGAACTAACCATCTTGACTAATGATCAAGCCACATATATTGGTGTTAGCTAAAATGGTCCATTCAAACATGACGATTACAAATATTGATCTATTGTATAAAATAAATAAACCAACAAACACCCTTTATATAGATATTACAAAAAGAATTTTATAAATCTGATTTATGAACATTCTACTCTTCTTCTTATAATTTCCTTTTTTATAACATAATCAGGAATAAGTTTAATATAATTATGTAATACTTTATAAGACAAGCCTTACAATTTATATCTATGCCACTAATTTCTAATTGATTTTCATAAGCTTCTTCAAAATTAATTTTTTTTAATTTTTATAAAAAAACGTTGATTTTTTTTTATAAATTTAACTTTATTTATAAAATTTGGTTAATCATTAGAAATTAATTTATATTAATTATAAACTTGAGTTAAAATAGATATGTATATTATAAGTAATAAGTAAATAAATAATCCTTTTTTAAGTAGATTGCTATCATTATTGAGCTATTTCTTAAGCTGTTAATTATGAACTTGTTTCTTCATTTATTCCAAAGCATTAGCCATTAAAATAATGTAATTTTTTCATTTATAATAGGTCTTATTCATAAATTAACTATTTTCTGATATATTTTATTCTTGACTCATCAACTTAGATTTGATGATGGATAATTTAAAGCTACTATTACTAAATAATATAATTTAATTTTTATATTTGCTATTATTAAGAAAAACTTTTGGCTTTTGTTCATCTTTAAATTAATTTTAACCTTCAAATATTTTCTTTCTAACTATTAAAAGCTCTCATTTTTTATTTCTAATCATGAAAGATGAATTAGAAATCTTTCATTATTTTCAACTATCATATGAATTTAATTCAAATGACATTAAATCTGCTATGATAATCTTTATGTTTGAATCTTTTTTACATAAAATTATTTTCAGCTATTTCATTCTACAGTTGCAATTAGTAAAGATTGAATAATTTTTTATTATTGGCTTTTATGAAAGGAAAATTAATTCTAAGTTAATTCTTTATTTTCTTTATCAGCTTTATAATTATTTTTTTATTTATATATGTCTTTTAAATTTAATAATTCATTTATCTTTTTGAATTTATTATTTGTTGAAATTTGATATTTTTAACATTCTCAATCTTTTGAAAAATTACTCTTATTTTTTTTAGACCAATTGATTTCTGATTATCAAAAGTCTATTATAAGTGAGTTTCATAAAAATGTATACCCTTCCTATAAGATTGTTTCTAAATATATAGACAGTTAAAATTATGGATTCTTGATAATCAAAATAAATTATATTGTTATATTGAAATCATTTTATTTGTTTTGTTTTTGTTTCAATCTCCCCAGGTATTTAAATTACCGATTGCTGTCCTTTTTTAACTTGGCTTCTAAGTTTTTCCTATCCCTTTAGGTAAAAATGTTGTTTGTTTTTATTATGGTTATATGATAGGAGCTTACTTAACACTTTTTTCAGGTGTAGTAACTTCACTTAAGGGTTTGAAAGCTATAGAACTTGGAAATGAAGTTTTATGATTATGCATATGATTAGAATTGATTGTTATCACTTAAGAAATAGGTGTTTGAATACCAGTTTGAACTGAATTATAATTAGCAAGATTTTGAAGAATTTAATTTTCACTTCTCATACTTAAAGATTCTGTTATATTTGTATTTAATAAATATGTAATAAGCAAAGTAAATGGCTTTATAATCTTTTTCAAAAGTTTGTAAAATTTCCCTTAATCTAAAATTTTCATCATATTCTCTAAAGAATTTATTTCTAGCATACACTACAAAGAATTATTATTTGCAATCAAATTCATTAACTCTGTTAATAATTTAACAACTTTGTCCTTTCTTTTAACTTCATCTTAAGAAATTGAAAAAAAGGGTTATCCTATTTTACTTCTTTCACTAAGCTTGATGTCATTTAATTTTTATTGGGCAACTTATTTTTCAGATTCAGAAATAAGAAGTCTAAGTTGTAGGTCTTTAATACTATTATTTGTTTTATTCATAAAAATATTATTTCTTAAATTAATGTATAATTTTACATTTAAAAATTACCTTAAACCTTGTCTACTTATAAATCTATTTCTAATTGATTTTTAATATCATTTACTACTCTTGAAGATTAGTTTTTTTAATAAAAAGTTTTTCAAATATAGAAAAATTATATTCAAAGAAAAAAATAATTTGAATAAGCATATTTAGAAACAGTTCTAAAAGTTTGTTCATTGAAAGTACTCTTAGGCAATTTTTAAATAACAAAATTTTATTTTGAATCTAAATTTTTGATGATTATTTCCACTTCTATTTTTTTTTTAAAATCATGGCTCTTTTTTTTTTATTCACTCAAAAAATAAGTGCAAGAAATCATATTTTCTTTTTACTAATATTTTAACTCTTAAGTAGATTATAGCTTAAATTTAAATATTTTTTTTTATGAGTTCAATATCTAAAAAGAATTTTAAAGGGATTTAGATTTGTCAATCGCATATTAAAAATGAAAGTATATATATATCAAAATATGTTACTTACTAATTGTAAGTACTCATGAGCAATAACTATTAATTAAAATTAAAAATATGAATTTAAAATTACACAAATTAACATCATAATTTTAAATAAATTAAAAAAACAAAAATAAGTTCGACCATCTAGGGACTTGAACCCTAAACCCCCAGACCCGAAATCTGGTGCTCTACCAATTGAGCCAGACGGCCATATTCAATTATGTTGGCATCATTATCAATTAATATTAAGTCAATTTCAATTACATTAATAGAATCATCTTTTTAGGAAATGAAATTCTTTTATAACAAGTATTCAAGTCCATAAACAAGCATTCCTAACCCAACTATTGAGGAAGTTAATGAAAATAATATATAAATAATACCTTTGTTGAGTATTGTCTTTATGCACATTAGAACATGAGTAAATAAATATAGATCTCTTTTTTTAATATTATACTCCAAGACTATTAATGAATAATTACATCCAGAAGCAAAAAAAAGTTATAATGATACTTTGTGCATGATGATTCGAATTATCCTTCTGAAAAATTAAATTATGAACTCATAAAAACTATAAAGCTTTTTATCATCCTTATTTAAAAAAAGCTAAAGAATTTAATTATTACACATTAATTCAATTAAAAATATGTTTTTATTACTTTTTTAATAATAACCTTACTTATTTTCATGATACTTTTACCTTAAGTATTCCTCCTAAAATTCTTTATATAAATTTAAATTCTCACTTAAAAATCAGAACCTTTTATAAGGTATTAAATGATTTTAGATTCCAATCCACCGTCTAGTAACAGGATCTGTAATTGCTATCTTAATTAAAGACTTTGGATAGATACTCTTTAGTTTATTTGACATTGTTAGTTCTTAACTTATTCTTCTTTCTTTTTGCTTTAAACTTCCTACTATATTTATTCTTTTACTCAATCAATAGATGAATATAATAATTATTAATTTTATTTTAAAATTAGATGTTTTATTTATATTTTTATCTGATTTAATAAATAAATATAAAATATGATTTTACATTTCATATTATCATTAATTAAAAAATATTTTTCTCCTGGATTAATAAATATCTTGCAATAATTTCAACATCATACAAATTCCAATAAAGATTATTACTCTTAAAAACAACTATTAGATAAATTTAAGTTTATAAATTTTCTTTATTTACAAGAATGATCCTTAAGAGTTCACTTTTTGTCTTCCAATATCAATAAATTTTTAAATTTGTTTTTTTTCCTGTTTTAGCTCCTTTATTTATTTATTTTGTTTATTGTATTTAATAAAAATATTTATTAATCTATCTTCTGCCTCATTTAAATTATTTTATAGTTAATTAGTTGATTGTTAATTTTTGTTCTTCAAATTATTGTTTATTTCTTCAATATTTTGTTTAATTTCCTCCAATTTTTAATTTTTATTTTCTTTTTATTATTCTATATTTTCAATACAAAATTCATCATATTCTATCATTAATTATTATAAATGATTCATATTTTATTTAAATTCAGGGTTAATGATGTTCTGATATTCATTTAGTTCCTTATTAACTTAATCAAATTCTTTATTTAATTTTTCTTCTAATTTTTTATTAATTTTAATCTTATTAGAGTGTTGCCTTTACATGCTTGTTTAATTATCATATTCCAAATTAATTTCATTAATTTCCTTTTTAATATCATTTTCAAAATAAAATTTCTCATATTATAATAACAATTATTCATACTGTGCCTTTTTTTAATTAAATTTTCTTTTTTACTCTTCATTAGTACTGATTTTTGGTTTAGAGCAATCAATTTCTGATTTCTCTTAATTTATTTTTTCTTCAAGCTCCAAAACTTCTCTTTCTAAATCTATGAAAGACCTTTAAAGTAGTTGTTTTTATTGGCAAAGTTTTGATAATTTATTTTTTAAAATATCAATTTTGGATTATGATTTTTGTAATTATGTATCGTAGCATTATTATTCATTAACTTCGTTAATACTAAAATCAAAATCATCAATTTGAGTATCATCTTTATCTTAGGATTTGAGGATATAAGTTTTGGTTTATTAATTAAGTAAATCAATCACTTGAGATTAAAAAAAATCATTTACTTCCTCATATTTGTCCATTTTTTTAGATTACAAATTATATTAATGTATTATTTTTTGTAAAATAAAGTAGGCTTATCGATTCAGTTCAAATTAGAAGTAGACTGAATATTTAGATATATTCTAACAATTTACATTATAAATTACTAAAAATTAGTTAAATAATTTAAAATTTGAAAAAAAAATGCTTGATGAATTTTAGGGGTATTTGGAACCAATTCAAAATAAAAACTTCTTAGATTATTGTTTCTGTTTTATTATGGGGATTTTGATTTTAGCATTATTTATTTATCATTGGAAAACGAAAAATGATATTGGGTCCTTATATAGCCTTATAAACAAATCAATTCCCTAGAAAATAGAATAAACTAATTAAACTAATTTGAACACAAAGAATGGGCACAGAAATATATAAGATGATAAAAAAAATAATATTCAGAACTAAAAAAATAGTTCTATATAAAAGAAAGAAATTAAGGAAATAGAAGATAAAATCAAGGATAATAACATGTAATAAATAGAAAAGAAGATAAGTTCGTTGAAAAAATAATTAGAAGATATAATTAATTAGAATAAAAAGCTAAATGAAGAGTTAGATAATTTGAAATAAAAAGAAATCCAAAATCTTCAAAAGTAGTCAAATGAAATACAATAAGAAGTAAATTAGATGAAGTAACAAATAGATATGTAAATCAACAATAAATAATTACAATAAGTGGGAGTTTAACAAAAAATCGATAATTTAACAACTCAGCAAGATTAATTTTATATAGATATTAATCAAATAAAAGAGAAACTAAACAATTAATTTCATCAGCCTGAGATCTTAAAAATAATAAATGAATAAATAAAAATTTAAAAAGATATTACAGAAATTTAGGGCGAAGTAAAACAACATAAATAAAGTATTTAAAAATTAGAAAATGACAACAAAGATTCACTGCCATAACCCTTACAATCATTACAACCACCAAAACCACCATAACCACCGTAACCACCATAACAACCACAACCATTACAACCACCAGAACCACCACAACCATTACAACCACCATAACCACAACAACCACAACAACCACAACAACCACCATAACCACCATAACCACCACAACCATTACAACCACCACAACCACCACAACCACCATAACCACTATAACCACAACAACCACCATAACCATTACAACCACCATAACCACCATAACCATTACAACCACAACAACCACCATAACCACCATAACCACCATAACCATTACAACCACAACAACTACCAAACCCAACCCCACCATAACCACCGTAACCCCCATAACAACCACAACCATTACAACCACCATAACCACCGTAACCACCATAACAACCACAACCCTTACAATCATTACAACCATCACAACCACCATAACCACCATAACCACTACCCAATAATTAAACGATTGTATCAAATCTTTATAATTTAACTTCCAAAACACGATAAGTTTAACAATAATACAGAGCTTTTGTTGGTGATTTTATGGATTAAAATGCATTGATTACAGAATATGGAATGAAAAAAAAAGAAAATAAGGATAAATTAAAAGAACATCTAATTGGAATGAGAAATGCAAGAGGAGATGGAAATTGTTTTTATACATCTTTTGTGTTCTAATATTTAGATTTTATGATAAATACAACAGACCAATAATTTTAAGAACTCATTCAATAAATAAATATGCTGAAATTTTAAGTTACATTTTAACGATAAAATTTTAATTAATCTGAGTTTAATGAATTGCAAAAGAAATTTAAAGCAATGTGCGAATATCTTAGAAAATAAAAAATAGAGAATAGAATTTAATAATTTTATGACTATTTTAAAGATGACGATAATGAATTTTATGGTTTATCAATAATATTCTTAAGAAATTTAGCCTATAAGTTTTGTATTGAAGATGAATTGATATCAAGTTTGTTTGTAGCATAAGGACTAGATCTAGAATAGTAACTATTAGAATGGGAATATGATTGCGAATATAATGAGGGTGTAATAAACTTGTTAAGTGAAAAGTTAAACATGTAAATTTATCAATACATATTTAGATCTACTATGTAATTTATATGCGATTCTAAAACCAACTCTATCAAAATAATAAACTTCAATTAAGACCAAAACACTAAGCTATCAATATATTTGTTGTTTCGACCTGGGCACTATAACATTGGAGTTCCCAAATAGCATTGAAAAATTAAATTATATTGAGAATTATTATAAAACAATATTTTTCTATTATGAAATAAAAAAGTTTTGCATTATTAACTTTTGGTGGATTGTGTTATTTAGGATTCAAATTATACAAGGAGAAATAAAATTAGGATAATGGGTTGATTGAATATAATTAAGTGACAATCGAAAAAGAAAAAATAGATGAAATTGAAATCAGCAAAAATTTAGATAATATTCGCAAAATTTAAATCAGCAAAAATTTAGATAATATTTGCAATTAAACTATTAGAAAAGGGGAATAACCAAATAGACTCATGATAGAACCTTTTTCTGAGTTTACTAGTTTTAATTAAATAAATTTTTCATTAAGATTGAATTTAAAAAAATATCTGAAAGGAATGAGAAGAGCAAGAGGAGATGATAATTGCTTTTATACTTCATTTTGTTTTTAATATTTAGGTTATATTTTAAATAAAGCATCAGTTCAAGAATTTTAAGATTTTATTTCAATGGTTGATACTCTTCCATTTTCAGTTATTCATAATAATATAGAGTATGAATAAAATGATGAAATGAAATAATCATTTAAATAATATTGTCAGATAATTAGATCTATTCAAGAAAATAGAAATTAAAATTTTTTTGATTTGTTTTCGGATCCTCAAGGATAATTCTATGGTTTAAGTATTATTTTTCTTAGAAATCTGGCTTATAAATTTTGTCAAGAAAATGATGAGATTCGATCATTATTACAAGCAGAAGGACCTTTTTTGAAGGAATTACTGTTAACATGGAATAAGGAATGTTTGAGTATGGAAGGTGTGATAAAATCGTTGAGTCATAAGTTAAACATGTAGAAATTTTTTAATTATTATTTTAGTTAAACTACATTATTCAGAATAAATTCTTAGACTAATAATATTTCACAAGAACAATATAATTAAATTCCTAATTCTAAGCTTATAATTTATTTAGTTTAGGGATAAGGATTCTATTTCATAGGTATTCCTTAAAATTAGTCTTGATAATTATTTATAAATTAATACATAATAGTTTAATTTTCATTTTAATGAATATTTTAGAAAATATATTCAAAAAATTTATAAAGCCCAATAAAAAAATAATAAGCACTGCAGTTATATTAGGAGGATTTTATTTATTTTAGTAGCATTTAAACTTAAAAAAAACAAAATCTTAAATCATCCCTCAAAAAGATTAAAAAAAAAAGAATGAGGAAAACCAAAATCCACCTAATCAAAGCCAAACTTTAGATTTAATTTATAATGAAACTGTGAGAGCTAGGGATGTACCTGATGAGTACAAATAATTTGTTGGTGCTGAATAAGATATAGATTTTGTACTTTAAGAATATGGCATGGGTAGAAAGGAAGTCAAAGAATCATTATAAAAATATCTGAAAGGAATGAGAAGAGCAAGAGGAGATGGTAATTGCTTTTATACTTCATTTTGTTTTTAATATTTAGGTTATATTTTAAATAAAGCATCAGTTCAAGAATTTTAAGATTTTATTTCAATGGTTGATACTCTTCCATTTTCAGTTATTCATAATAATATAGAGTATGAATAAAATGATGAAATGAAATAATCATTTAAATAATATTGTCAGATAATTAGATCTATTCAAGAAAATAGAAATTAAAATTTTTTTGATTTGTTTTCGGATCCTCAAGGATAATTCTATGGTTTAAGTATTATTTTTCTTAGAAATCTGGCTTATAAATTTTGTCAAGAAAATGATGAGATTCGATCATTATTACAAGCAGAAGGACCTTTTTTGAAGGAATTACTGTTAACATGGAATAAGGAATGTTTGAGTATGGAAGGTGTGATAAAATCGTTGAGTCATAAGTTAAACATGTAGAAATTTTTTAATTATTATTTAGTTAAACTACATTATTGAGAATAAATTCTTAGACTAATAATATTTCACAAGAACAATATAATTAAATTCCTAATCCTAAGCTTATAATTTATTTAGTTTAGGGATAAGGATTCTATTTCATAGGTATTCCTTAAAATTAGTCTTGATAATTATTTATAAATTAATACATAATAGTTTAATTTTCATTTTAATGAATATTTTAGAATATATATTCAAAAAATTTATAAAGCCCAATAAAAAAATAATAAGCACTGCAGTTATATTAGGAGGATTTTATTTATTTTAGTAGCATTTAAACTTAAAAAAAACAAAATCTTAAATCATCCCTCAAAAAGATTAAAAAAAAAAGAATGAGGAAAACCAAAATCCACCTAATCAAAGCCAAACTTTAGATTTAATTTATAATGAAACTGTGAGAGCTAGGGATGTACCTGATGAGTACAAATAATTTGTTGGTGCTGAATAAGATATAGATTTTGTACTTTAAGAATATGGCATGGGTAGAAAGGAAGTCAAAGAATCATTATAAAAATATCTGAAAGGAATGAGAAGAGCAAGAGGAGATGGTAATTGCTTTTATACTTCATTTTGTTTTTAATATTTAGGTTATATTTTAAATAAAGCATCAGTTCAAGAATTTTAAGATTTTATTTCAATGGTTGATACTCTTCCATTTTCAGTTATTCATAATAATATAGAGTATGAATAAAATGATGAAATGAAATAATCATTTAAATAATATTGTCAGATAATTAGATCTATTCAAGAAAATAGAAATTAAAATTTTTTTGATTTGTTTTCGGATCCTCAAGGATAATTCTATGGTTTAAGTATTATTTTTCTTAGAAATCTGGCTTATAAATTTTGTGAAAAAGATGATGAAACAAAAAATCTTTTCTTAGCTCTTGAACTAGATTTGAAATAATAAATTTTGACCTGGGAATATGATTGTGAAAATAATGAATCTGTTATCAAATTATTGTCTAATAGCTTAAATATGTATATAATTTATATGTAATTTAGTGATATAATCCTATTTTTTATAGACGAAGATAATAAAAAACTAGATGTTTAATAATATAAAAATGAAAATCAAAAGGCCTTATTGGAAATGTATTTCATTTTTAGACCAGGGCATTATAATATTGCTCTAAAAAATCAATGAAAATTATATTCACATAAAAATGTAATATTTTTATTAGAATAACATATAATAATTTAGACAAAAAAAAACTGTGAATTACTCAAATAATAATCATTACTCATATAAATTAAAAAAAATTCTCTTTAGGCAAATAATTACATGATTTCTGTCAGATTTTTGATTCCTTCCTTATCGGTTACTTAGCTAAATCTCCAAGTTTGTGTTTGATATGACATTAATAGCTGTCACTAGATTTATTAAAATTTTGAGGTTGAGTTTTATCAAATTTTGTACAACCAAGCATGATTTATGCGGTGACTGAAAAGATTGTTAGGGGAAAAAATTTATTTTTGTTTCTGGCGTATTAATATTTTGCGGGTCCTCGGGTACTTTGGATTGTATTCTCCTCTTAACTTCAAAAAAATCAATTTGACAAAATCATTTTCTAGGTTTCTGTTCTTTATTAACAGATTAGGCTTCTTATTTTCATGAATTGAACAAATTTTATAGCTTAAATTTTAAAGTAACTTATATTTAGGAAATTTTGAATCTTGTTTACTCAAGTTTGCAACAATTTGAATATAATTTTGATAATTTTAAATATCTTGTTTTTATCTCCTTGCCATATATTAAAATCTAAATTGTTTTAGTTAATTTATTGTAACTTTTCTCTTGCAAAAGACATTTTATATGCGATTCTTAAATTATAGTGAGTTTCAGGATAAGGTCATACAATATCTAGTTTTTTAATTATTTGAATTTCTTAAAAAATAGATGAAATGGATTAAAATATATTAAAAAGAAAAAATCACTTAATTTATATTTTTAATGCAATTACTTTTTTTTTCTTTTTTAAAATAGTGTATTCTCTTTTTCTGGGAAATTTTTGCATTTAAGGTAATTCAATTGAAAATTATCTAACTTCAGTTTTGCAAATGACAGGAGTTGATGGTTAGTTTTGTGTAGAGTCTGTGAATAAAAATGAATTAAAAGTTTTTTTTCTTGAAGGAGATATAGAACAGGGGCTTTTGATTTTAAATTAATTAAATGAGTTTTGCTCTATAGTACTATTGAAATAATCACCAAACTTAGTAACATTTTAATGCATTCGTCTTTAGTGTGAATATGGTTTATATTTTGTGTATATAAAAGGCATATATTTTCGTTCTGAAATTGAATCAACATTGCTGAAACTAAAAACTTATTCATTTTGCCTGTTTGAAAAATCATTTCTATGAGAAGGTGTAAGTGAATGGAATTTATTAATGTGAAGACTCCTATTTTTGAATTAACATGAATTCATTAAATTATCGAAAGCGTAAAGAAAATAAAAATAATAAATAAGTATAAATCATTTAGTTTTTTTGGCTAATCTTAATTATATTTGATTTAACAAAAAAGAAGACTATTAAATTTCTCATATGCATGTATTCTGATCTATTCATGAAACTATAAATTTTTGACGAACAGTAGGAGTATTTCAATAACGAATATCTTTTCTTAAGGATCTTTGTTAAAATGAGATCGATTCATTGGTCATATGTTTATCATGGCTTTTCTTCATAATTCTTTAAAACATTTTTGCTTGAGATCTAATAACTTTTAAGGATTCAAATCTATAAATTCTATGTTGAATTCTTTCTGATTTAAATTTAATTTTAGAAATTAACCTTTTTGAAAATATTTTTTAGAGTATTCAAAAAAGCTCTAGGAATTTTAATTATAAATTTTATAGAGCTTAAAACATTAAGGCTGTAAGCAGAACACTTATTCTAAATAAAAATTTAGCCATTTATAATAATGTAACTGAATCATTTTGGATCTCCTTAATGATATATTTTTTAAGTAAGAAATAAAGTTTAATTCTGAGATTTCTGTAAATAAAACCTTTATAGTTTTGGTACTCCATATTTAAAAGAGCGGAACTTAGATTAGAAAAATTTTCTTATTCTTTTCAATTCTTGATATAAAGGAATATATATCCTTATTTTACATTAGATTTTTTGATTCAAGAAAATAAAGACTGCAAGTTTTCTCTCCTGAATTGAATTTTGAAAGGTACCAACCTTACGTTTTCAGTCAAAATCATGCTGGCTCAAGTCATTCTAGTAGCAGCGAATTTGCTTTGGTATAAATCAATGCGGATGGTTATATAAATAAATCACAATAGGTAATATATAATTAATAAGTTAAGGAGCCATAAAGCTGTCAATTTCAAGTTGAGAAGGTAAAACCAGAATTAAGTTTGATTTACTAAAAAGCACGCTTAAAAATAAATTGTAAAAAAAAAAAAGAAGAAGAAGAAGAATTCTATACCTTAATTTTTAATTTTCAATAAATTACCTAAATTAGGTAATATATGAAAAACTTTAGTGAGTAGAAACATACTAACACTGAAGAAGCAAAGTTTTTATGTATCAAATTATAGATTATCAAATTAAACAATTATAGAGAACAAATTAAAAAGTTTACCTAATATTTACCTATTTTATCATAAAGTAAAATTTAAGAATTAATTTCCTATGTTCACTAATAATTTATAGGGATTGGGACATTCCTATTGTAGTTCTTTTAATGCTTCATAATATTGCAAATCTCCAATTTCTATAATCATGTTTTTAGTTGAAATCTCTAAATTTAGAATGAATGAACTGAATACCGTATTGCATTTTAAACACAGAACTTTTATTTACTTTATCAAGTTATGTCATTTTTAAATAATCCATATCATATTCTGAAGTAAATGAAGTATTTATAAATTAAAATTTAATTGGAAAATCCTAAACCACAAATTTTTCAAACAAGTAATTTCGAATTCATTCAAAAATATATTTAAGAAAGCAATAAGAATATGATCCACATGTTGAAGACCCTATAAATGAATATGAAATATTTGATTTAATTACGACAATTAACGATCCTGATCATTCATTCACTCTAGAATAAATAAATATTGTTAACTGAAGGATATTTAAATATAAGAAAATCGTGTAAATGTGTATTTTACTCCTATTATTCATCAGTGTTCAATGGCTCAAACAGTAGGATTAATTTTGAAAATTAAATTAGTAAGATTCTTGCCTAAAAATTATAAAATATATGTTTAAATAAAAGAGAATATATGCATATAAAAGAATCAGAAATAAATAAGTTATTTTAAGATAAAGAAAGAGTTTTGGCTGCAATAGAAAATCAATAAATATTAAAGATTGTTAACTATGGTATTTAAGGAATAAGATGAATAGAGATAAATCGTTTTTTTTTATTATTATTATTTGTTTGATAAAAATAATTATATTAATAAACATATGAATTTCTTAAGAAAAGGAAATAATACTCCTTTGAGAGTAAACTAGAATTAAGATAAAACCCTTTTGCATCTACCTAATATTTTTTTATTTCAATAATCTCCAGAACGAAGATCTATTCACTAAAATAAAAGTTAGAATCAGAAATATGTATTGAAGAAATTAGATTTGTCAACTAATACAGTTGACTTAAAATCTGATAGAACTAAATAATTGATAGGGAATTTATCTTATTAAACAAGAACATTAAGTGGATTAAACATAAATAATTAGCAAAAGATCAATCAGGATTCTTATTTAATTTTAAAAGATTTAGAATACAAATTATTTGGTATTTATGATGGTCATGGCAGATTTGGGCATTTGGTTTCTTCATTTATGAAATTTAATTTAGAAAGTATAGAAAATGTTTAAGTTTATTTAGAATTTATAAATAGTTAGACAGGGAATATAGAAGAAATGAAGGTAGCATATGAATAAGTAAATAATAAATTACTAGAGTCAAATATAGACACATAATTATCAGGTAATAATAAATAAGAATGAGGATCGACTGGCATAAGTGTACATATAAATGGATAACACTTATTTTGTTGTAATGTAGGAGATTCGAAAGCCATATTAGGAAGAAGACAATTATTGAATAAATATTAAGCCATAAAATTGAATAAGTTACATAAACCAATAGGACAAGAGAGGGATAGGATTATAAAATTTGGAGGAAGAGTAGAATGTAATAGAGGTATAAAATGAATTAAATAAATAGATTTATATGGAAGACCTAAAAGTCCTTTGAGAATATGGATGTTAAATGAGGATCTGCCAGGTTTGGCAATGACGAGATCTTTTGGAGATAAAATGGGTATCAAAGCTGGGATAATTGCAATACCAGATATCATAGAAGTATTATTAACTAAGGATGATCATTTTATTTTAATAGGAAGTGATGGATTATTTGAACATCTAAATGAAGACGATGTAAAAATTATATATACTAAATATTAGATATGTAAATTAATTAGTAGATACTATCCATTATAAATAGAAAAAGCTGCAGATATGTTAATGTTAGAAGCATAAAAGTCTTGGAAATCATTTTGTCTAGGCAGAGATGATATTACATTCATATTAATCTTTAGATTTACTTGATCTAACATCTTTAAATTAGATATATGTATATCATATATATTCACTTTTAAATTCTGAAGGTTTCTCTTCTTCAAATTTCAGATGTTTTGTCAAACAATATCTTCTGATGTATCTGAACAATATCAACAATATTAAAATTCCCAATATTCCACATAATATATATATTGCTAACATCCAATCTTCTTCATTTTCCTCTTATTCATTCAAACCTATTTTTAAATTTATTTTTGTTGACTAAAAATCCAAATCATATGCAATTAACTCTACCATCTTGTTATTTTAAGAAATACTTGTTACTAAGACCTAAAACAATATTAAAATATATTACATAATCATTTATATCATACACTGAAGTTGTACCAGATTTTTCAACCAAAACTATTTATTTTTTATTGTATTATCTTGTATAATGATAGAGTGACAATGAAGATCCTAGTTTTATTACATTAAAATATGGAATAATTAAGGAAGACTTTGACTTATCTTCAAAATCATAAAAAACAGCAAAATAATCATTATTCTCATTCTTTTATATACATACTAATATTTATTATTCTATTAAATAAGTTTATATTGCTATTGTATCTTATATATTAGTAAATTGTAACAATAACTCTGAGTAATCTTCATTCAAAAATATCAAATAAATTGGACCATCTCTACTAGAAACTATATATTGATTCTCTTTATATTAACAAATTTATTCAAATTCTATAAATTACAAAGCAAAGTTCTATTCCGTCTATATTAAATTATTCAGTAAATCATATTCCTTTATCAATTTTAATTCATTATCAACAATTATCATTTTATTTGATGTTAATAATATTATATTTTTATCAATAAATTAAAAATCCTTTAATCCATCAATAAATATTTCTTCTTTCAATTTATAGTTTTCATAAATAGAAAATTGTGTACCAAAACCAAATCCACTAATAATTCCAACTTTCTGGCCTAGATCAAATTTTATACTAATTATTTAATCAGAAATTAAAGCAAAATCAACTTTATTTATTTCTACTGGCTTTGATTTCAAACCATAATAGATAAACTTCTTACAAACCAAATAAAATTATAATTGATCTTATTCTAAACTAAGACAATCTTTAATATTATTTAAAATTGATTAAGTTTAACTATCAGTAAATAGAAATAGAGAGGAGTTTTAAAAAACTATTCTTTAATCATCTCCAATATAAATTAGATCTTGTAAATCATCTTTCATCCAACTTGGTTAATTTTAAATCTTATTAATTCTTTGAATAATTTAGAAATTATCTTAAGAATTACTATCAATATCTGAAATTGGTCCATCAAAGTATAAACTTTAATCAATTTATATTTGATCATTATTTATTTGATAATCTGTTTCATTAAATTATAATGACTACAATTTCAAAATATCACCAATTACTTTAACTTTTACAGTAACTGATTTATTTTACAAATTATTAAAAATTATATCATTAAATGTAAATCTAGAATAAACATCCCTTTCAACAATTGTTTTTGGTGTAAATTCTAAAATTGAACTATAAATATATAGATTATTATCTAAAAGCAATAGTTCGTAATCTTAAAATGTTAATGCTAAAAAATTTTATTAAATTTCTGATTGAATTATTTATTAAGGCCAACTTGATAAGGAAAATTCAGAAAAGATTTAAAATTAAAAAATCTTTGTACTATTATAAATGTATAGATGAGTTTAAGTTTATAAATAATTGAGATTATCAATTGGATCTATAAGTAATTATCCTCTCAATATTCTATTCTCAAAAATAACTGCTTATTCATTTGTCAGAACAATCAATTAAGAATTAACATAATTAATATTACAAATTATATCTTGAAAGGATTTTGAGAATGATTAATACCAACCATTATTAGAGTTACTAATTATTATAAGATTATTTTTTTCATCAACTAATGCAATATCATTTAAAAACATTGAAACCATAGTACAAATGAGATCAACTTTTGTTTCTTATTTAAATTAATTATCAATGACATAATTTATAGTTACTTAAGTTTAGTTAAGGATGATTATAGCATTTTATTACAAGAAAAAGTTAGTAACTTTATTGATTGATTATAGGAGGGTGTTGTCAATATAAATATATAAAGTATCTTTTGATAAATAAGCCACAATAATTTGATTTTCAAATACAGTTCCTTGGACATTCTTAATGTCTGATGGAACATTTTGTGCTATAACTACTTCTTTTTCACATAGAATTTGTAATTTATTAATTTAACATGTTTATGAGAATAAATTAGAATCTTATAAATAGATTAAAAAAATTGATTAATCCAAATTATTCAGTATTGAAAGCAATTATTTATTTGTAAGCTCTTTTTCTATGTTCAATTAAATAGGGTGATTTATAATTCCTTATTCCTAAATTTATATATTAGGTCCTGAAACATAATTTAGAACTTAGTATTAATTTGCATAAAAATCAGATTCTCCAGAATTTAAAGCTTACAATCCTTAATCGACAATGTAGAAAGAATTTGTAGAGAATTTGAATTAAGTTGTTTCATTAGATTAAATTAAGTAGTATCCATGAATGGAACCAATCTATATTTAATTATTAACGATTTGTAACACATCATCATCATAGTTTATTGGATATATATAACCTTAAGATAAAAAATAATTAGAGTCCAAGTTTTTATTATAAATACTAGTATTATTTAAAATAAGATATTGATTAGTAGCAGAAAGTTGAGTTACTTATTCTGAAAAAACTTCAATCAATTTATTTTGGATCTTTCTTAAAGTGCCACATTGAATGTAAAATATATCATTTAATACTGTCATAAATTCAGGCTTTTTTTAACATCGATGATCATATTCAATTATACCTCCATCTTATGTATATTAAATCACTTAGAGTTCAGTTAAAAAATAAACATTTTTTTCATCTTTTAACACTTAGATGTAATTTGCTTCAATCTATTTTTCTAAATACAATGATTCATTAAAAAATGTTAAATATCCTGGAGATAACCCTAATAATCCCTCATAAAACCCAATTATCTGGGTGAGTTATATGTTTAAAGTGTTGTTATATGTTATTCTAGTTCCATTCTACAATAAGAAAAGAATTGATGTAAAAGTACAATCAACAATATATTGATTATTTAAATATGTTATAGATGTACAATTTTATACATCTTTTAATACAACTTTTTAGAAATCAAATTCTGAACTTAACTAAATATAAATTATGGATTTTACTTATTTTGTATAATTTATCGTATATACTATGTATTCATCTGCTTTTTTCGTTAATAAATCTACTCTTTATTAAGAATCAAAAGGCATAAACAAGGATGTAATTTGAATTATCTCTTCATCATTATCAATCAAACCAACAACTTAAACAGATAGCTTTTCTTATAATTTATCGTATTTTTCAATCCCTTTTGAATAATTCTCCAAAATCTAATCATATTTTTATGAAATACTTTAATTTCATCTTTGTTGAGTACATACTTTATCGAATACACAACACAGATAAAAGAGAACAAAATAATCTACATATAAATATTTGCAATTAAATTTATTAGTATAAATAATTTATATGTTCATTTTTTTCTACTTAAAGCAGTTATTGGTCTCTTATGCTATTATTGTTACTATTTCATATCAACTCCCATAGCTTCTAAGTCCTCTAAAATTTTTAAATTTATACTAATACCTTTTAATACAACCCAAACATGAGTATTCTCTGCTAAAGTACTACTTATTATAGCATTCAAATCAACCATTTCTCCATTTTCTAATTTTATTCCTTTGGTTGTTGAGTTTATTTATGAATAGAAATGACTATGTCGAAATATTGCTACATCTCCCAACCATTTCACTTTCTGTAACCCATCTCCACAATTTATTGCAAATTATTTATCTTTTATATGAACTTCTATTTTCATAATTAAAAAAAAAATAATATTATTTATATAATCATAAGCTTTCTTAATAAACTTTTTATAGCATTTATACTCAATATAAAATATTATATTCTATCTTTAAAATAAATTTATTATTTCTTATTTGATTTGATTTTCAATTAATTTCAAATCTTTTTTTTCTATGCTTTCATTTTCTTGATTTAATTCATCTTTTATTTTTAATCTCAATTTATTTATTGTATTATTATTATTTAAATAAATTTATTCCTAAAATTTAATTACATCCTAAATAGATTTCAGGTTCTCTTATGATGATTCATTATAATTCATTTTTTATCAAAATAATTTCTACCTGATCATATATTTGGATCTAAATAATACTTTTAATTTAATAGAAAAAAAAATTATATTCTATAATTTCTTTTCTAGATAATGACAGTCGATTGACTTGAAGAAAATTTTAAATAATTTATTCTTTTATATATTATTATTATCATTCTAACATCGCCAATTTATCTGAATATTCATTTTATTATTATTATTATTATTATTATTATGATTATTATTATTATTATTATTAT